AATGTTTATGAGTAAATCCCAATAGCAGAACAATAAATATTTAGATTTCCAATAATTTTGGCCATTGTAGTGGCTAATGTAGCGGCGCTACATTTTACTGTAGCGCTAGCGGTAGCGCCCGCTACATTTAGAGCATGTAGCGGTAGCGGTAGCGCCACTACATTTCAAAGTAGCGCTGCCCAGCTCTGCTAACAGCTAACAGGGCGATAGTTGCCGGGGCTGCTTTTGTCACCTTCTTTGAACAATGATGTTACTTGAGCTTATTTTCAGTCGGACGGCAAAGTTCTTCTTTCAAGTTTTTTTTTTTTTTAAATACTGTCAATGGGCCGGCCAGAACGATTGCTAATTCCATATTGACTTTATCGGCCATTTTTGTACAGTAGTCATATTCTCAAAAAATAAAAACGAGATTTTTGAACGGCTAAAGAATATTTATGGTGATTGAAGCCTGGTAAAATAGGCCTAAGGATGCCATTCCTCAAACATGATAGGTGGTGATAGTCGAGAGGGTGCGAGTGAAAGGTCTATACGTAGACGAATCCATACAGCAACTTGCAATATATATACCTCCTGAGAATTCAGCGACAAAATTGCATATAGTAAATGGTAGGTATTTGGCTGCGACAGCTCTTTGACCCGAGCAGGTCTGCAAAAACGAAAATTATTTTTATACACATATTCATTGCCATCTGGAGACTGATTTAATGGAAACAAATACTATTAGACTAATTAAGTAACATCTATTATATGTATATTCGTCGAAGTTTATTTTGTTTGGAGCCTACGATCGTTTTGGGAAGTGAACGATTTCTTGAAGGTTATGCAGTGAAGAAAGTTCATAATACTGATCCCAGATTAGGTGTTCAACCATGGTTTTGGGATATTAATTTGACATGAAAATTTAGTTGTTTGAATTTAAGGCATTGCGAAACTTTGAGAAATAGGCTGGATCAACACTGAGATATAATTTTATAATTTATGTACATTAATTTTTTTGAAAGATCATAAGAATAGTTTTATTTTTTTTATTCGAAACGAAAATCAATTATGCCCTCTATGGAATTCCGGATATTTTAAACCTATGAGCAACTTTTTCCTTTACAATAATTCATATTACATATTCTCTCATATTTAGGTCAGCAATTTCATGAATAAATCGTATGTATATTTTATTTTTAACTTAAACGTTTCCGGAAATGAAAGCACATCCAGGGCAAAATATTTTAGAATATCTTGAAAAAAATTTTTAATCGATCAGAAAAATTATTTTCTTTCGATCATAGATGGTAAACTATATTAATTCCAAAGCTGTCTATTTCTCAGAACTCAGAAGAACGCGAAATTGCTTACCGTTGGCCCGCGTTGGGCAAGTTGAGCATATTTACTTGCGTAGTTGCATAACTATAGCGAATAGGCCATAGGGTACGAAGAGTCGTGACACAAAGGTGGAGATGTACCGCAAAGACATCAACCAAAATTTAAAGCTGTTCGAGGAATTTAATATGTGTGGAGAAAGAAGTATTTCTTGGGTACCTCACCGTACTTGATAGGCTGATTCCGCTGATACTGATAGGCTGATCAATGCTAATTTTTATGACGTATATAGCGACTCAAGCCCATTACTATATTTGCCCAAGCCCAGGGCCAAGGTCCTGTACTCCTCCTTAATCAACTAGGCTACCTAGAATACCTCATTCGTGATTCGGTTTCATCGCATTTGCAATTTGCCAGCAACTATGCCCTATGGCCTTTGCATGGGCAGCATGGCCCTGCTGAATCCTGAAGCTTATTAGCCTAGCCTACGGTACTCGGTAGCGGGTAGCCTATTTGAGAAATGGAATTGCATTTTATTCATAACCGTCTAGTCCGTCTTTGTTCATAACCATATGTAGCAGGTATTCTAATTCTGTTTAGTTTCTAGAAAACATTGTTGTTCTGGAAGAATCTGGACTTCTGGTGCGTAGTGGATGATGACTCCTGGGAAAACCTACTTTTTTTTTTAAAGGCAAGTCCTGGGCTCATGCCTCCTGGCCTCATTGGACTGACTGACAACTGTGGCATGTGGGTGATGTGGCCTCCAGGATTCGGGACCAGACAACAAGCACACCTTGTTAAATTGTTATCCTGATAACACCTCATCCTCAGTGGAATTATAGATAGGAAATAGGAATTGTGATTTATATATTAAATTTCAACCCAGCCTTGTAATTTTACAGCTGATCAGTTGCAAAATATAGCTAGAGATGTAGTAGGGTACTAGTAGAGTGGATATAACATGATAAATGGAGAGTAATGAAATTAGGGATGGCATTCTAGCTAAATTGCTTTCTGAATGACTACGTATGTAATTGAGAAGTGCAGTGGCCATTGGCCAAAAATAGGAGCCCCCTCACAGGCCTCACTTCAATATGAGCGGGACAGACGCCGGGACGCGTGCTCCAAATTCCAATACCTACAATTGCTAAGCAGTATGGCATAGGCAAGTCTGCTCCCTTTTTCAACGGACCAGAGTGCTTGGAAATTATGTTACAAAGCATGAAACCAAACTGTTTTCAGTGCACAGGAGGAGAGCATTGCTGTCTAAAAACTCAAACAGTTTATCAAATTTTGCCCATGCTTACAAAGTTACAGTTAGGATTATTGGCTAGCATATAATTTTTTTATTGACAAGCTGCAAGTGAAGTATCTACTAATTGTGCCATTATTGATGATAGAGATAATGTATAGTGATGAAAAAACTAAAAAAAGTGACAAGTGACTTTTTTGTTGCTCTTCCTTCTTAAGTTCTATAAGATGTCTAGTGTAGAAAACCTCTACTTTGCTAGCTGCAACCAGATTTTTAGGAGCCATGATTCTATTAATCTGGATTATTAATCTACACAATTCTATTGCTGCCTAACAATGGTTTTGAGCTGTAAATTTAAGTTTAGAGCAACATTTTTTCCAAGCCATTGAAAGCATAATTTTTGAGTTGCAAACTCATTTGCCAAGCCACATAAACACACTCTCGCACCTGAAATAATGCAGTTATGTAGTAGTCTGGCATGATCCCAACTCTCAGATCATCAACAAAAACATTTTGAGTGCAGGCGACTTGCAGAATATTTTAGTGGGAGCATGTTACTGAAAGGCAGAAGTTCTAAGTTTCATAGATTGACACAATTATGAGCCCAAATCCACCAACAAAAATACATAACTTCAGAGCCACAACATTTCATACCCATAGAAATGAGTTGGAGCTTCATTAAAAACTAGGATTATTCCAATCTTGTTAGCAGACCAGTCAAGTGTCATGGATGGACCATTATTTTAATAGATCAATGTATAAATGGAAAGAAGATAAATAGGTTTCTAATCAGTTTAATATCTTTATTCAAAAATGGGACTAATTACAGTGCTGCATCACTATTGTTGCAACTTGGGCATAATTTTTTTTTTCTGGCAAGCCATTGACAAGAAGATGTACCTACTAATTGTACAGTACCATCAGTCATATTCATATAATGCATATTGCTCTTCTCATTTCTTTATTCATCCCATGAACTGAAATGAGTCGAGTAATGTATGAATTATTTGCACAAGTTAGTTGGGACATACATTTGCTTCTTTGTAATGATTCATTAACATTTCAATGCAGTCACATAGCCATACACAGTTATGCATGTATGACAGCATATACATGTGTATGTTCAGTTCAGCAATACTTACTCCTTTATTTATCTCAATCAGTAATCTCCTTATAATTGTATTAATAATCCTAATTTGGAATGCAGCAAAAAATCTACTATAAGTTAGAAGTTTATTCTGAATGTCAAATTCCTTAAGTAAATGCACTCTGCAAGAGGCAGCCAATTGAAGGATACCTAAATCCTAGGCATAGTTAGCACTGCTACTCATTCAGTTGCATTGCAGGGAAATCAGACCATCTCTGGGTTAGTTTTGTTAACATTGGGATGTTCAAAGTCAGGAATTCTCACAATTTTGTGTGAAAATCAGACTTGATATTTCCTCAAATTTGTGTATATGCTTTATATAATCATTAGTTAGTTTAGATTTGCAAGTTTGTAGCCAAAATATATGGTTGCATCCATTATGTTTCTTATTTCTATAATTCAATTATTTGAACCTTGTTGAATCCCTTGATCATCATCAGAGAGAAACACATGGAAAATTGATTACTTGATTTGTGTTTGATGTTTAACTGCCAAAGAAATACAAAATTGGCTTGTGTTTATGATAGCTAACACTTCTATGCATGATTCATATAACAAAACTAGTTTATTTTCAGTCTAGTTATTTGCAGAGAGTATATTAATACAACTACTTATGCATGGCTTTTTTTTGCATTGCAAAAGACAAACAATGTTTGGGTATTAGGTAATTTGTTCCTTTTTCTTTGTTACCAATAAGCAAATCCAGTACTTTTGTCTTTGTTTTCTTGCATCTTTTAATATTCATTGACATAGGTACTTCACTGGTGAAAACTCTTATTAAGTTCCTTCTGGATTGTAGGAACTTATGCCTACCACCCATCAGTATTCTAGTCTCAAAATCCTGGTTAATTATTCGTAATTCTTGCATTCTGTTAATCTTTGCTTGAATTGGTCAGGCAAGCTCATATAAGAATAAACAGCCAGGACCACAGTCCTCAGTCCTGTACATACGTAAGTGCAATTTAATTGCGAAGTATTGAATTATTAGTGATGGCTCGTGATACTCATATGCCAACTGATGGTGCGGCATCGAAGGTCAATGACACCGTTGACACGTGTCCTATCATTCATCAGAAGTCGTATCATTCCAAATATTTCGTATTTTCGCGGCGAGGATGCTCTTTTAAAGTATTTAGTTCTGATGAGTAACAATTTTCTTGAAATTAGGCAAGTCTTAGTCGTAATTGCTACTTTGTAGGTACTAATTTAAAAAACAAATTTTTTTTATTTATTGACGTGTTGTTTATCTCGATTTCAACTCTCCTAACGCTGCTTTGAATATTTGCAGAAACATATATGCCGAAGATACAGGTGCCATTTATTTCTTTTTAGTAAGTCCGATTTGTGTGGGCCTTGCATTCTCTGTAACTTTCTATCATGTAAAACACATTGGTGACGTATTAACCGCAAAAAAGACATGCCAGTATTAATATTGTGGTAGCGTAAGTTTATATGTTAACGTCGCACGCAATGGAGTTCTCAGATCTCCCGCCGTCAGTTGACGCGGAAACTCCGCGAAGTGGAGAGTTTGGCGAGGCTCGCGCTGCTCCAGAAACTGTTTCAACTTTAGCGACATCGAAAACGGCAACTGTGCCTCTTCCGGAAGATTCAAAAGTTGCTGTCGAAATGTTGCCTCCTGATGTTCTATCGCCTTCTGAGGGCTCTCATGTACGTGATACTATCGATTGCAATGAGCCTTCATCAGGTGTTATGCATGGGTCAAATGAAGTAATCTCCATGAACAACTTGCTCAACACATCTGTACTCAAGGAAAATCCCACAGATGTCGTAAATTCTGTTAGTATTTGTAATAATTTCTGCAAGAATGATAGTGTATATACGAAGGAAAAAGATAGCGTTGGGATTTCAGAATCTGATGATGTCACCTCCGATAGTCATCACGAAATGGGCAAAAGAAGTAACGGAATTCCTGCAGTTAAAGAAACAGATGTTTTGTCTAGTGGAGACATCGCATTAGAGACATCGGAACGGTCTTCCGATCCTGCCGAGGAGATTGACTCGGCCTCTGCGTTGGAAGGGAAGGACGACACAAGCGACCCCCAGCTCAATCCCTTCGTGCATCGCATTCATTTCCGCTTCCCCTATGACTACATTAAAGTGAGTTTAAGGTGCCAGATTTTTTCATTTATTGAAGCATATCTCTTGTTTCGATTTTAATAGATGTAATTTAAAGTTAATTAACATGCCTCTTAACCTGACTCGCTGTTTTATTATGTTTTAATAGTTCAAAGCAGTTTTATAGCACAGTGTATTTTTGAAGCTGTTGTTGACATTCTTCCACCGATATTTCTAGGAATAAAACTGGAGCAGTGAAACTGCCTGGCACTTGCTGAAACGGTGAAACCCACTATCACTAACCTTTGATCAAAATCCCATGGCTTCATTATCAACGTATTAATCATTTTTGTTCTTCACTTTTTTGACTGATGTCCTCAATGAGAAGGGTTTTATGTTGCTAAATTGAAGTAGAAAGTGAATTTTTCACTTACTGTATGTTATCTTTGTCCCTAAAATTGCCCTTGATGTAGAGTGTAGACTAAGTCCAAAGCTCCCCAATGCTCAGCTGTTGCGTAATGCGCTGCAATTTGCCTGCCGCAAGTGAAAGTATCGTGATGAGGGTAGCTATATACTAACAGTGCTCGATGCGTTAGGTAAACATTTATTTACTGGCGAAGATTGGTCCGTTCTTAGTAAATTTCAGAAAGCGTGAAAATTTAATTTTAACCTTTAAAAGTCCATAAAAACCATTGGTTTTCCGTAAAAAAGAGTCTTGGCATAGAGAATTACTTTTTTCTGTCCTTACTTTTTTTATTTTTCTGACCAAGAAATAATTGGTCGACTTATGCTGCATAAGCTTCAGGTCCAACTTAAAAGTAAAATATCGATGATGCGTTAGTTTGCCTTTTTTAATATTTATTAAAAATTTATTTATTTATTTATTATGAGTCTTAATAATTCATTCGACATAAATTAATTATTCTTATCGGTTCAAACATGGATCTAAGACTTATACTCAAGTGCGTGCGTCGCTGAAACTGCGGTTGGCGGTCGATCGATTTCTGTATGATTACTCGTCTTTTAGCTTTTACTGTATCGCATTTTGTGGTATTCCCGTAAGATATAAGGGCTCTCTATGGTTTTAAGCTTAAACTACTGTGTAAACACAAAGATAAAATTCATTCTTATATTATAGTCAATAGTTATTTATTTAATACTTTATTATTTTTCACTCATAATAGGTGGAATTTTAAGGTATTAATTTAAATTACAATGATATTAAGAGACTGCGAGTGTTGTGGTGTCGGCCACTAAAGTAATTACTTCAAGCGCTGCGTTCCCAGCGAACCTCTGCAGCGTCTGGCTAACCAGACCAGGGACCAGTTTTTCGATCGCGTCTGGGCTAGGCCTTTTCATCACTAGTTTTTCTTCGTAGTTTGTTTTACTTTATGTAACCCGGATTACCATGTTTGGGTTAATATGAATCATGAAAAAAAATAGTTGAAGGAAAACTTTTTGCACTCGTGGATTTTCCATTTTTACATGTGTTTTTGATGTTTAATCAAAAACCTCTTAATTTATTTAAAATATTGAAGAAATTCTTCGATGTTAGTATGTAAGTGTAGTTCATCTTGTCTTGTGTGTTGTAGGTAGCGTTGTTGACAGTCGTGCTTGTGCCAGTCCGCGTGTTCTTCATATCGCTCTCCATCATCTTGGCGTACTGCGTCTCTTCCGTTGGACTCTACGGGCTCACACAAGAACAATTATCCGAGAAACCCTTCACAGGATGGAGGAGGTAAGCTATGATAATGGTTATTTCCATCAAGCTATGATAGTGGTTATTTCATCAAGCTATGATAATGGTTATTTCATCAAGCTATGATAATGGTTATTTCATCAAGCTATGATAATGATTATTTCATCAAGCTATGATAATGGTTATTTCATCAAGCTATGATAATGGTTATTTCATCAAGCTATGATAATGGTTATTCCATCAAGCTATGATAATGGTTATTTCATTAAGCTGTGATAATGGTTATTCCATCAAGCTAAGATAATGGTTATTTCATTAAGCTGTGATAATGGTTATTCCATCGAGCTATGATAATGTTTATTTTCATCAAGCTATGATAATGGTTATTTCATCAAGCTATGGTAATGGTTATGTGCTCTCTTGAGTTATGTATTAACGGTACCTAAATTATATTGCCATTTTGCTGCCAAATAATCTTTATTGTGATGTTAGTACATTCATTTCTACCGATCAATTGAATTATTTGAAAATAAACGCTCATTTATCACCTACTCATTTGTGTCTTAACATCAGTCAATTCAGATATAAATCTAAAACGGAATTTGTTGTTTCTTAATGTATTTTTGCCTTTGACCAAGTCATGTCGAAAGCAGATGTATACGAGTGTTACCCGGACGTGTATTTAAGACGCAATTAATGTCGCAGGGTCTGCCTTGCTAGTTTTCAGTTGGTAATGTAATGCTGCTCGACCTAATTGTAAACTTTAATCTACAACAGAATTGGTTTGTGTTGGCCTTGCGATTGTTATTAACATCAAATTTATCGTATTTTCGAGGCGTTGTTGCGAGCGTTATTGACTTTTGAATTAATCAAATCAACTATAACTGAATTAACCATATTTTCTGAATACTGAATTAACCACATGTGTGCGACCGGTCGGAGATACCTGTATAATTATTTTTTTATCTAACGCCAGGCAGTGCGTTGTCGAAGACAGATAACCTAGCCGCATTTCAGTGCGTTATCATAGACACAGTTAGCAGCTGTTGCTCATATTGGCCTTCCCATGCTTGTGTTATGTCTAGCCAGCATAATCATGTATTATCTTCGTCCTCAAATTTCTTGCATGTCAGCGTCTTTTCGCGTTTGCGTAATTCATACCTGAATTCTGTGCCTCCGAGAGTTGTGTGAAAAAATATAATATGAAAATATTTTACAAAACAAACCTATTAAATCTCTCCGTAAAATATTCTTATTATAACCAGGATATTTTTTTATATTTGTTCAGTACAACGAATGTGCACGGATTTTAAGAATGTATACTACGCAATGAGCGACTGCAAATTCCATTGAAGGTTATATAAATTACACATCTTGTATTGCGGCTAGCTTTCCCGTTGGTCAGCCTTCACACGTAGCACCGATCCTCTCACTCAATCCTCATGACCCAATAAGAACGCCGTTAGAACGACACGACTCGCAAGTGCATCAGTCGAAAATATCTATTGGAACCCGAGATTAAGTTTCTGTAAATTCATCGCATTTCATCAAACACTTTTGGTAATTTAATTTTAACCATTTAATAGTAATATAGTTGATGTTTAGGTCATTTAATTTTATTTATCATTACAATCTTTTGATGCATAATTTCAATGGACATGTAGTATTCATTATTTTCCATAGATCAGGTACTGTGTTTCGATAACAACAACGATGATGGCGAAGCTTCACTGCATTGCGCTTCAAATATCTATCGTGTACTGCGAAATGGCTCTTATCGTAGTTTTGTTAATTGTTTGAATTGATTGAAAGAATGTGCAGTCAACAACTACTTCAAGAATTTCGCATCTGAATATCTCTAAATTTCATCCAGGGATATTCCCACAAATATTTTTAAATGAAAATTGTTGGATTTACCGCAAAATAATGTTTTTCCCCCCTCCCAATTTATATTTGTATTTTTATTGTAAAGAATGTTAATGCGTGCACGCAGCTACATTTTGTATAAGGTCAAGATTCAGGACCGGTATTCCTGGCGGCCACTCTAGAATTTTCCTGCTTCTGAAGATGCTGTTATCGTACACATGGCAGCCTTGCGCGACGAAAACAGGACGCGGCGCATCGCGCCACCTATGACGTCACTAATACGTCATCGATTCAACTGTCAATGTTCTACGCATTTCTCAATACACGATGCATCACACCACCTGTGACGTCGCTCCTACGTCATCGATTTGCCTTTTTTCAGTCCAAGCATTCCTCTGATATACTAGCATTAAATACAGTTGTCATTCAGAATTCATCTTCACGTGCATGTATGTTATGGCTTGCTTGTAATCCCTACGGTATAGAAACGGTGAACTTCGTAAACATATATTGTGTAATTTTTTCCACGAATGATGCAAGCGCTCAGAAATCGTTGAGAGTGAATGCATGTTGGAAGTGTCCTTGCCGCACACGTTCTAGCGATGACCTCAAACTTTTGTAACTAATTATAGCCGTGCGAGTCTATTTTTACCTTTTGTCACCGCTGAAGAGGCGAACTCAATGTGAGCGTGCGAAGCAAATGTAAATCTTTTTTAAGTAATAATAATACTCAGAACCAAACTCGTGTGGAGAATCGATAATACTCACCATGATCGTTTAATCATGCAGGAGCGTCAGAAGCACATTACGTTGCTTGGTGCTCAAGCTTTGCTTTAGCTGCGGCTGGCAACGACCTGTTGTTATTGGCCAACGCGCTAGTGTCCGCGAAGCCCCGATTCTTGTGGCGGCTCCTCATTCGTCTTTCTTCGACTCCATTGCCCTCGTGACTATGGAACCAACGCCATGCATCTTGGCCAAGGCTGAAATATGTCGATTGCCCATCGCTGGAAGTACGATCTTACATCAAAGTTTGTTGCGCCCGCTTGGACCCAAAGTACGCTCGATTCGACGTTTTGCGTATCTACTTGTAGTTGCTTCGACGAATCTATATCTATATTTTAGTTCAGCATGCTTTGAGTGTCTAGCTTAGCGTCGAGTGCGCTGGGCGATTATTTAGACCAAGAAAGCTGTAATTACATGCATTTTTTTCTGCAGAGCGTATTTATCTCACATCCCAGTTAAATCATAGTTACAACTTATTATTGCTGCATAGTTACAACTTATTATTGCTGACGTATTAATCTTTGCATTAATTTATCACCCAATTCATTTTCCTTATCCTTATATTCTCGCCTAAACCCTTCACCAGCAGCTGTACACCGCGTGTACATTTTCCTGTGTTAGGCTGCTAGTGCTGACTCATCACTGGAGTGTTGGTGCTGTGCAGGCGGCTACGTTGGCTCATGGGCTTCTGTGGACGCTTTATGACACGTAGCTATGGCTTCCACGTAATGTCCGTGAAGGGTACTCAAGCTCCTGCATCTGAAGCTCCTATAATTGTCGTAGCTCCCCACTCGTCCTTCTTCGACGGTCTCGCTGGGTATTGGTCCAAAGTCCCTGGTCTCGTCAGCCGCATTGAGAACAGCTACATACCTTGCTTTGGCAGTACGTTGATAGAATAGCGTAAACCTCCGGGGCGTGGATATGTATGGGGATGACGAAGTATGCCCGTGTGAGAGAATATGAAGTTGGTATCTACATGTATAATATTTATGCTGTCGTTACTTTGTTTCTGTATTTTACTCACATTAAGTGAGCAATGCTAAAAGATTATCTAGTATTATTTTTCCGTATGCAGTGATCAGAAGTCGCTTTTATTTTACGCCTAATTTATGTTAGTTTTACTCGCTTTGTAAAATTTCCTCTCTTTTCCGTTGCGCTGACGCGTATTGAATGTTACTGTTTGAAGGTCATGTTGTTATGGTCAGAAAGAATTAAGCCCTAGCCGCTGTTTTGCCAATGAACTTGCACAACATTCTCTGAGTCGCACAATCTCGTGCTTTTTTGAAAGTTTTTATTGATATTTTAAGTGATCCTATTTTGCTTGTTTCAGAATTCATCACGTATACTCAGCCAGTGTTCGTCTTACGAGATGATGTTAGCTCTCGTCAGCAAAGCATCAACGAAATAAAGAAAAGGGTCAACTCTTCGGACGGCTGGCCTCAGGTTAGTTGTCGCTGTTTTGCTCTTTATTATCCACCCAATAGAATATAAATGATAAGACAAAATTGAAGATGTGACATGAATAAATGTAGATCAGCATGAAGATCAGTGTAGTCCAGCGAGTAGGAGTTCAAGAAGTGTAAACCGGTCTTGGAGTTACCGGTCTATTCAAGATTAATATAGGTACTGTAAAACTATGTTGGAGATTTTTGTAGCTCCTGTTTGCGTTATTGGGACTCAATTTATTTATTCAAGTTCGTGTCTCTATTAAGTTCAATCTCAAGCAATATTATTTTTTTACACTCATCTATTGAAGAAGTTTTAGACACTCATCTGAAGTTTTTTATTACTCTCATCTATTCAAGAATTTTAAGTAAAGCAAACGCCAAGTAAGTTCGCCATATCTTCATTGGAATCGTTTCGGAGCTTCATTATATGTTCAAAAGTTAGAGATTACAAATACTGTTGATTATTGATGTAACTGTTCTTTTATTCTAATTCTTTTTATAAAAATTTTGCTTCAAGCCGGTATTTTTTCCTCTTCCAGTTTCCTTCGCGGTCTCCTCGTGTATCTCCGATACATCAACTCATTTTTCGACCTTCATTCTAGATGAGTTCATAAACATTCCTCGTTCTTTTATGTGTGGTTTTAATCTTAATATTATTTTCGGGCAGATAATGGTGTTCCCTGAAGGCACGTGCACAAATCGCTCGTGTTTGATCACATTCAAACCTGGCGCATTCTACCCCGGCGTGCCCGTCCAGCCCGTCGTCATGAGGTACCTCAACAGCATGGACACCACCACGTGGACCTGGGATGGACCTGGCGCGTAGGTCTTCCATAAAAACTTGACGGAGCAATCGTTCTTATTTGTTGTCTTATTCTTAATGTTATCCAATCGTGCACTGTTAAATTTTTTCCCGACAATAAAAAGTTTACAATATATTATCGAGGCTATGTAAACAATAGCCGAATCAGAATAGTTTAAAACGTTTTGTAGCACACGAGTTAAATCATAGAATTTATTGGTTGTCGAGTATTTCAAAAAATCTCCCGAATTGATTGCCGGATATTTCTTATTGCTCTGCTGAATTGGAGATTCATGATACTCACTACAGGACAGTTGCTATTTTCAAGTAGATTTAATATGAAGTTATTCTGCTCACAGACTTGCATTATTTTTTCTGTTGATGAAAATAAGTTACCCAAAGTCAATTTGACATAATTGATTTAAACTAATTTTTATCTTTCCAGCTGTCTTTCTCAACGATCCTAACTCTTTTGCGTACGAAAGCATTTTAAATGCTTACTTAAGAGTCTTCTCTATTCCTCAGCTTGAAACTAATTTGGCTGACGATGACTCAGTTTCACAACTTTTGTCAGCTTGAATATCTGCCAGTTTATTATCCCAACGAAGAGGAGAAGAAAGACGCTCGTCTCTATGCCGCCAACGTACGGGCAGTCATGGCTAAGTAAGTCGCCCAAGAGGCCGTCGTTCGAATATGCTACTTTTTTTTATTCACATTTCCTATTACTGCACTCCGTACACCAGTGCTTTATTGCTGATTGACTATTTTTCATAACAAAGTACCCATAAGTTTCTGTTAGTAGTTCAGATTATTCACTGACAAAATTACAAAATTTAACGCAGTAGTTACAATGATTCAAGAAATTAGCTAGTTTTTGTGTCGGTATGAGAAGCTTCATTTCAACTATTTTTTTGTGTAATTTTTATGCCCAATATCGTAACATTTTTATATTCCAATGTTCCCACTCACTACAGAGCTCTAGGAGTACCGGTCGTTGACTACACTTACGACGACTGCCGGATAATGGACAAAGCCCGCAAGAGCAAACTGCCTCCATGTATCGGCCTCATTGAATTTCAGAAACTGCGACAAAAATATGGGTGAGTCTTCTGTCTTTTCTTTCGAATTTTTCGTACAATTTTAGTTTCTCTGCAAAAGCTAATCCTGTCTTTTCTTGTGCCGTTTAATTTTTTACTGTCATTCTTCAAATCACGACGTTTTCGCGGCCTGTTTGTGACAATATTAGCAAAAGCTACAATAATGATTACTAATATTTTACGGCAATTAAACTTAATTTATAAATTTCAATTCGACGTAGAGATTGCATTTACCCAAACCTATTTAGTCATTAAGCTGATGAAATCACGCGCTCTGCCTTTTCATTCAGACTTTTTTATGTTCCCAGATTCACCATCAAGGATGTGGAAAAGTGCATGACAGCCCAGTTCTCCGGTATGGCTGACAAGGACGGACTGTTGAGACTGCCTGGCCTATCGCGATATTTGCATCTGCCCGCAACTGAACCCACGCTAGTGCATCTCTTCAATTTAATAGACTCTGTTAGTATGATCAACATGATTAATTTCAATAAATTAATGAACCTTGAATTTGGTTCCTGGTTTCAAGTTAATCACTTTTTAGCTGGTGTTTTCTGTCGTGCAAAGAGTGCGATTAGATAAAATTCCCGTATTGCCTACTTAACTGCAGTCTGCTGGTCTTATCCACTTTTAGTTCTCGGTTTGACGATGAGATATATTTTCCCAATATTCATTTATTACAAATTTTTATGACTTCGATAATTGTGGTATGTTATTGTCATCCTCTATTCCTATTTTAATTACTACTTGATATTTCAGAAACATGTTCTATTGGCCACCATTTGATGATGAAAGGAAACTTTTTATATACACCATTTTTTTTTCTTTTGCAAACATTATTTTATTGTATAATATTTCAGTTCTTACCATTTGCAATTAAGTTCCTCTTTACATGGCTGCGACATTGAAAAAATCTTGTAATTATATCTTGCTGTATTGATGTATCATCAGTTATGAGGAAGGAGTTATGGCAGTGATGAAAAGTGCAAAAAGATATGATAAGAGCTTGTGGAATAAGCTGAGGGAGATGAGGAAGAGAGCATGAAGTGAGTCTGAAAGAGAAAAATGAATGAACACTAACCAATCAAATTGTCAATACTTCACTTCCTGATGTGTCGAGTGTCCAGTTCTTAGTGTGGCTCCTATAATGTCTTGAGTTATTTGTCTCCTTTTCAATGAATACATTTTAACCTTTTGGAAAGGAATATTGACTGCGTTTTTTGAATATAGTGTGACTATGAGCTGCAAGGCTGGCTGGCTGATGCAAAGATTTGCGTTGAGGTCTCCATGCCCAACTTTGCAATACCTGTAGCGACACTTGCAGGATATGGGCTTAAGAAAAATCATCGCTACATTTTTCTTCTCTTAAGTTTGGATGTTGCTTCATTTCTCACGTCCATCTATTGCCGTCTGTAATATATTAAAACTTTGAACATTATTAGGACGACTAATATGTTTATTCATTTAGCAAGAGATTCAGGTGTAAAATTTATTGACTTTATTAAATTTTATTTCTTATAATGAAGGAAGATGATGTAAACTTTCATAATTTACTTTTTTTTAAATGAGATAAAAAAAGTATTTTCATGATTGCTTACATTCATTTAATAGGTTTTTATCTAAAACCGTACGATTTCTTAGCCGTAATACTGCCGCCGTAATTTCATTACACGAAAAAAATTTCGTTAAAAAAAAGAAAAAATATTTATTTGGTACTGTCTTCTCCTTTAAAAATGTTAAGCACATATGCCTGACATTTCTTGTTCATCACTAATCTTGCAACTTTATTTTCAGAACGGCAAAGGGGCGGTAAGCTTTCGTGAGTATCTGCTTGGCTACTGGGATATTGTAAAGCCTATAATCAAGGACGAGATCGTCAACATCGCATTCAAGCAGCTGGACCCAGACGAGAAGGGCAAGATCACGCGAGATGACCTCACTACTGTTCTTAATGCCATCTTTTTCCTATCAAAGAAAGAATCCGATCAAATTTTTGACGAACTTGATGTCAACAAGAATAAAATAATAACTTACGGTAAGTTTTGATGACGGTGATGTAACCTTTTGTCGGGTTGACGTGTGTCGTCGTTGATCTTGATATTCACCGTCAATTATTCACCTTGCTGAGATAACTCTATTCTACCCAGTTTCTGCACTGGTCGTTAGAGACCTACTACCTCTTGTGGGTAATGAATGATACTTGCTTTGAGATATTTATAAAGTTCGAGGCCTTCCTTTTGGATGATATGATTTCCAGTGCAAAATAGCGTCATGATAAGCTACTGCGTACAAGCGCACTCATCACTTCATGCATTAGTTTACGAAGGACTTTACCTATCTAAAGCTTGCTAGTCTGCTCCTAAGAATTGGAAATATTTAAAGAAGGAAGTAACCTATTTCGTAAATTCATGCAAATGAGCATATAGTTCATTGCATATTGAAGTAATAAACTAGAATTATAGTGAAAAAGGTATTTGTATCAAATTATGTCTTTCGTAAACGTATGTGTGTCAGATACTGGACATGGAGAAAATCATTATGTTGAGTAATTATTATACAGTAGTGGGAAACTGCGATCATTGAGGATTTTTTATTGTATCGTCTCTGAGCAGAGGACTTCCTTTCTCTGAGTGAATGGAAGGGCGAGTACGTGTGGCTGTTGCTGCGGTACCAAGAGAGCGTCAGGGCAGGCATCCGCCAATTAAGCGACTACAAAAGAACACTTGAATCTAGTAAAACGAAATTCGAGTAGCGGGGCCACATCGCTCTCAACCAGCGATGTTCCGATCGCCACTGGAAGGTTTTATGTTCCTGACGTGTTCCGAGGGAAGTTCATAGCAACGTGAGAAAATTTTTATGGTGCTGACGGTGTAGCGCCTCAATATTGTTTCGAGTGTGTCATTTTCAACATGAGAATTCTATGGATTTGATAACATATTTATAGATCTTCGTCGAAAATTCAGCCCTATATTTAGATGTGGAATTAGTTAAATCCATTAGACTCTAAATTCCATGTGTGCTGTTCCGAACCAAGAAAATCTTTTGATTCTATCATTTATCTTTTTGACGTCGTTTGGCAGTAGGTATCTGGTGCTAATGATCACGATCGAGTTTTAACTGAAGATATTGATATACGAGTGTGAATTGAATGACAAAAATTCTCGTTTTATCACTGACTAATTGATAAAAAAAGTTGTTTTAGATCCAAATATTGTACGCTCGCTTCATTACCAGAAATGAAGTGAAATGGTATTAAAAACTCGCAATTTATGTTTCCAAGTTTTCGTATTATATGAAGTATTATTTTAACCTGCGACCTGATTGATTTCTATCAAGGCTATGTTTGTGTGACCAACTTGAGTTGCTAGCAGACAGCAAGTTTACCATCTGCGTAGGCTCACTCGCTACCTTCATCGGTGCATGCGAGCTACTAAAGATAGCGACCGGAGTGCGCGAGTGCTATGCTATATAGCTTTCTCAGTTTTTCCTGCTGTCAACTCGTTGGTTTAATTAAAATCACACAATATCTTTCAATTGTTATTTATTCGCAATTAAATTTATAAGATGGTCTTTAGGGTAGTCAAAGTCGATGTATTTTAATACAGAATCTCCGATTTAATTAGATCATTTCCAATGAACTCGTTTTGCCAGTTGAATAGTCACAGATTATTGGTTTATTACTGTTCACTGTTCAGCAACATCGATGTTAGTACTTACAAGAGCCCAAGTCAAATAGAAAGCTCAGAAGTTTTTAGGCCATTGCAGTGTTGATTTTAATTCTAGATAATGATTTCTTTGCCTGCGTGACCCTGTTATTTGATGAACCTTTTTATGCATTAACCAATGTGATACGTAATTTTAGCCCAATTTACTTAGATTATTAATAGATGCGTGTGCTTTTACTAATGTTACCGAGATACTCCTTAAGCTTAAAGTTATGCGTAGGGTAAATATAGAAAATGATCATTTTCCTTAACTTGTAATTCAGGTACCAATGAATCGACTATGCCAGTATTTAGTATTAAACAAGCAGGCTTCACCAATCCCGGTTTTCCATTTTTCTGAGATTGGCTGCTACCTTGACCTTGAATCTTCATTTTTTGTTTATTCTGATCTTGTAGTGTACCTGGAATATAGATTAATACGTTTAATTGCTGGCAAATAATTCACGTTTTAAAATTTATACCAATGTTGGATACAGCTTTTTATAATTGAGTGATGCATCTTTATCAATCTCGTTACATTTTCAAATGAATATTTCTTTGCATCACAATGCCGTCCGTGAATCTAGTTTTAGTATGTTGTCCTAAGGTTCATGAGCAAGAAAATTATTTCATGAAAAATGCAGGAAAATGTTCCAATGCTTCTGTGCTTTGATAATTTTATTAAATCAACAACAATTAAAACTATCCCACAAGCAAAAACAAGTTTTCTTCACAAATTACTAACTTATTTGGCGAAAGACGTAAGACTGAATCTATTAATGAACTAACGTACGTGCTGTGAAAAGTTTCTTTGTACTTTTGGGCCTTGTCAAAGGCATGAAGAGGAACCAAAATTATACAATTTTAACCAAGTTACTAATTCCGTCTAAAGATAGTAAATCTCATTCTCCTCTTGTTTTCTGGGCCATGCGTCGTCCTGCCCCACTTACAACATTTGACGTCGTACAAATTTATTTTAATTCCTTAACTATATGTACCTAGAGTCCTATCATAAGCCAGGAAATGCACCAAAAATATTGAATTGTAACTTACAATATTCAGAAGCAAAGAATTCGTGACAGAGATCAACATCTTCCAACACAGGCTTCACAAGTGATTTAAATTTGAAAAAAGTCTATGAAAAAATCTTTAAACATTTAATTCCTTTTCATAATGGAGATACCAATATTGCAGTTTAGAGATTTCAACACAAACTTAAAATATGGATTTCGTAAAAAAAAATTAGTTTCCCATGAATACTCTGATATGTTGAACGATAGGCCACTCTAATTATTAGCGACTTTCGGTCTTTATCACTGCGATCTTTCATTTATAAGTGAGCAATGTTAACTAGCGTCATAAACATTTTATTTCAAAAGACACGCAGCATTACAATTTTTAGTATTTAACTCAAGGATTATTGGTAGTGGATCTATCCCAGTTGTTTTTGCACTTGCCTTCAAAACAGAAGACGAGACTGAACATCACCAGATGAACGGACATTTCTCCCGAAGCGCTCTAACCCCGTGCTTGGTCCACACGGCTTTGCTCAGCCACAATTCTCCACTGCCTTCCAATCCTGAATTATTCATGAAATACGTTGTTCAATTCAAGAGCTCATGTGGAATGAAATAATCCGGAATCAGATACAAGTTGTAACGAGTACTTATTTACCACTGATGACCTGCTATAGCTTATAAATTCAAATGTTGATCAAAAAGGACATGCGGAGATCATGTCCACTCAGCTGAAACATTTGCAGCAACATATAGTTTTCATGGATGTCAGATATAATAAAAAAATATGGATGACATGGGTGCAATTTGAGTGTAAAGTTAAGTTCATATGCGCTTACCGGTCATGAGTGCAGCTCCCTTCCATGCTACCGTGCCGGGGTCGAGATCTTTGGCTCGGGTTATCACCTCCAGTTGTTCTGATAACAGGACGCGGTCAGAAGCTAGAAATTAGATTTCAAGTTGCAAATATTCGAAGTAAACTTTCAACGAAGGCTCTACCTTTCACATTAATGAAGATTATTTTTCGTTTCAGCTTTGATTGCGAGAAATATTGAAAAGAGAAGATCTCTGAAACAATTGTCGCAGTTATGTAGAGTGTAACGGATTGCAGTTGTAGTATTTTCCCAGTTGAACGAATTCAATCAAGATGGCAAAAATGGCCCTTGAGCGTCCAGCTGTGCATTTATGTCGCCTTTAAAAATGTAATTTTTTACATAAGCTAATTTAGAAAATTGGACAAATATATAGCCTTTACTTTCAATCTGCGTTATGATCAGGTGGACATACGTAGCCTGTCAATTTGTATTTTTTCAATGAATAAATTCCAGCAATGTTGTGTGAAAATTTGTCGCTGAAGGGTAAAGCAACTGGGCGTAAGAGTAGACTTGTAAGCACCAAACCTGGTCGGTACGCCATGGGTATCTGCAGAGAAATCCTGTTCTGCAGCCACTTGCCCAGATGAGGGAAGTTTGCGCCTGCGCCCACCACCACGATGCACGCGTACAGGCGTCGCCGCGCTTCTTCCGGACCTGCCCGTGAATAATTCGAATAATTCACTGATGCCTTGCAAATGAAAAGTGCAGATCAAGGCGAAAAATTCACTAACGATACGCAAGTAACAAGTGCAGATCGAGATGAGAAATTCATTGATGATTCGCAAGTAACAAATGCAGATCGAGATGAATAGCTAATTCTATTAATAATTCATTGATGGCTCATAAGAAATAAATTCAGCTTAAGATGCTTCTCAAGTGACAAATGCAGATCAAGGCGAAAATTCATTGATGATTCGCAAGTCAACAATTCAGATCGAGTTGAACAATTTATTCATTCCTCGCAAGTATTAAAATGAAAACATTGTTAAAGTTGGAGGATAGCTTAATACAACAAATGATACATAATTATTAGTAAATTGCTACAGAAAATTCATAACAAATTAAGGTTGAAAATTTATTGACGCCCTTTTTATTTAGAAATTGAACTAAACATTGAGAAATTATGTGTAAAAAAAGTTTACTATGTTAAAATTTAATTTGGCATTCAATAAGCTGATTCATGAGTTTGTAAGGCAAAGCTTCCAACGTAAGAATTTCAGTTACTAATTTCAGATAAATTATAACTAGATAAGGTTCAACTAATGTTAACATTAGAATTACGCGCATTTTTCTCCCGTTAAGCTACATCGAAATAAAAAGTTGGATGATTAAAACTGTGCACAATGTTAATGATCATATATATCTAGGTATTCAATGTTGATAATTATATGAATAAGGCTCAATACGTGCACACATCTCTCTAACTGTGCATAATGGCAATTATTATATGAACCCAATTACTTAATATTGGTAATAACCATGATAATAATGATGCATACATCTCCCAAGTACTTAATATGATAATAACCATGATAATAAAGATGCATACATCTCTCAATGCTGGCGTGGATGGCCTGCTCAAGAGACATGAGGCCACTGAGGACAGGGCAGCCGGTCTCTGGCCTCCCGTTGAGGTTGTCATCCACGGCGATGTCCTCCTCAGCGGCCTCACCCGCGCCATCAGAAGACTCCTTGCCGCTGCGTCTCTGTTCACACTCGTCAACTTAATGCCGCGTCTTCCTTAAATGCACGATCAAGCATTAATTCTTCACTATCATTTCTCTATATACTAAATGGTTCACACGTAACAACCAAAATAACGGAAATTTGGGTTTCAACGACTTCGTTATCATTAAATGCACGATCAAGCATTAATGCTTCACTCATCATTATTCTATATACTAAATGGTTCACACGTAACTACCAAAATAACGGAATTTTGGGTTACAACGGCTTTGATATCAAGTGGATCTATAGAATTATATTCGAAAACGTATGTTTCGTCATTCAATTTAACTTGGAACTCAATGAGTCCGAATGTGTGATTTGAGTACACTAAAACCAAATGATTGGTAGGCTGGAGATGAAACTGTTCAAGTTAATTCAAGTGCACTACTTGCGATTGTCTTGATAATAATATTGCTGGAGTTGATAATAATATTACTGGAGTTAATGGCAATATAGATGATAATGTTGCCAGACGTACACTGGTGTCTCTGAGGTAGAGTTTGAATACACTTAAACCAAGTGATCGGTAGGCTCGAGGTGAAACTGTCAAGTGCCAGACTTGAGATTGTCTTAATAATAATATTACTGGAGTTGATGGCAATATAGATGATAATGTTGCCAGACGTACACTGGTGTCTCTGAGGTAGAGGTCGTCGAAGGGGTCCTCGTGGTGGCCGGGGTAGGGAGGCTGGGTCAGGACTCGCGTCGTGTCGCCCGTGAGCTGCAGCAGCGCGGGGTAGCACAGCGACAGCGGAGCGATCAGCAGCTCGTCTCCCAGCTAATACATTACATTATATTACGTACTCAATACTTAACAGGTAAAGACCAATTGAGCGTTCTTGCTAATGAATATTATAGTGAAGACCCGAACAGCTGAATAGCATGATAACTTATGATTACAACCGAAAACGAAAATAATAGGTATATTACGTACTCAACACTTAACAGGTAGAGACGAATTTACGGTTCTTGGTAATGAATATTATAGTGAATTTCAGTACAACTGAGTTGAATGATAACTTATGATTACAACCGAAAACGATAATGATATATTACGTACTCAACACTTAGCAGGTAAAGACCAATTTTATCTTCTTGGTAATGAATATTATAACAATCTCCGTACAGCTGAATTGCATGATAAGTTATGATTACAACCGAAATCGAAAATGGTTTAGGAAAATTTATACTGGATCTCGTTTCTCTATTAGAATATTGTTGAAAATTAGTTCAACCAAAAAATGGTGAAACTCTTTCAATAACACTAATAGAATAACATCATCTGGTTCTTTTAGTTAAAATAAGATATCTCTGTTCGAACTAAGCCAGCCTAGATATAGAATCCAACCTATGGTTAATCAATTTTGATTGATTTCTGTGGCACCCAGTAAAGATGTCTTCCTTCTTTCAAAAAAAAAAAAATGAAAACCGTCAATCATTCAGAAACTATATCTTTATATTAATAATAACTGAAAAGTTTGGCACTTAACCACGGACATCACAACTGATATTTAAATGAAATTGAACCGATATTATCGGTATTGGTAGACCTAATGCTACCACTTACAATAAAGTTACCTCCCTGTAAATGACATAACTACTGGAAGACTCACTTGAATGTCATACGTCACAGGTTTACACCCAGGCTCCATCACTTTAACCTGCAACTCCTGCACGCCACATTTGTCCTGCACAAAATGCTCGGATATAATGGCACTCAGATGAAATGAAATAAATCTATATAAAAATTTCCTCAAGTTCTTTTTTTCATTTAGAGCGATATTGAGAGTTTCCAACATAATCTAAATTTCCAACCTATCCTCGAAATCTGTCATTAAGTATGCAAACACAATAAGTATCATAACAACATACGAGGTCAACATGACAGGCAGCATGCTTAAGGCTGATGATGAGGTCAACATTTAAATACAATAAGTAACATAACATAACAACATACGAGGTCAACATGACAGGCAGCATGCTTAAGGCCGATGATGAGGTCAACATTTAAATACAATAAGTAACATAACATAACAACATACGAGGTCAACATGACAAGGACAATGCTTAAGGCCGATGATGAGGTCAACATTTAAATACAATAATTATCACAACATAACAACATACCGAGGTCAACATGACAGGCAGCATGCTTAAGGCCGATGATGAGGTCAACATTTAAACACAATAAGTATAATAACATAACAACATACCAGGTCAACATGACAGGCAGCATGCTTAAGGCTGATGATGAGGTCAACATTTAAACACAATAAGTATAATAACATTAATAACATAACAACATACGAGGTCAACATGACAGGCAGCATGCTTAAGGCTGATGATGAGGTCAACATTTAAACACAATAAGTATAATAACATTAATANGCTATACATTACACACAATATTATACACGTGGTCCTGCAACATTGCTATACATTACACACAATATTATACACGTGGTCCTGGAACATTGCTATACATTACACACGTGGTCCTGGAATATTGCTGTACATTACACGCGTGGTCCTGGAATATTGCTGTACATTACACACGTGGTCCTGCAACATTGCTATACATTACACACGTGGTCCTGCAACATTGCTATACATTACACACAATATTATACACGTGGTCCTGGAACATTTCTTCACATTACACAATGGTTGTGGCTTGCACAGGATTGCGCTTTGGAGCAACCTCGATGATTTTTATCAATTTCTAACTGGTCATAAATTAACGTTAGGTCTGTTAAGTGGACTTAAGGTATAAAATTTTTGAAATAAAATAATGACTTGAATTGCAAAGGACTTTAACAGGGAGCAATCATAAAATTGTAATAATTTTGAAATTTTCTAAGCATAATGCACTTCCTGCCTATTTTTCACTATTTTGAAACATTATGTTCTTCTACAGCATTTGGATTTTATCAAGAAAAAGTTACGATTAAAAATGATGAATCTGTCACGAATATTCGATGCTAAGCTATCAAAAGAAGAGGAACGAGAGAAATTAGACGCAGTTGACCGAATAAAGGTCACTCAGTGTATGCCAAATTCAAGTGTGCACCGCTGAACTGACTTCGTTAAACAGCAAAGAGCTCATGAATACGTCGAAGCCAAAGGCAATCAAGTTGGCCTTGGCAACTGGAATGAAGAGAAAAAAAAACACACAAACATTGTAGAGGACGAGATGAAGCGAAACTTATAAAAGGAGGTCTAGATAAGCGATCTCATCGCTTATGACTGGTATTGGTGGCACTCCAGTACGTATCAATCATGGCACTCACGGTCCTGTTGGCACTAACACTCCTTGCTGTAAGTATTCGTTATATTTCGCGTTTTGCTGATTTACTTATATGCACGGGCTAAAGTTCCGGGCGAAAAATCTTTAAAAACTTCATTAATACAACACGAAGTTTAAATCACTAATCGCATCACTCATCTCTAAATCACTTTTATCTTCACTTCTAAATTGGTATTAATATGTTTTTGTGAAGAAATTTGTGCAGATATCAAACTCTGAGAAAGAGGAAATTTTTCAGGCAGCAAAAGGTCTGCCCTCAACCACACAGAGCAGCTGCTCGCTCGACATCACCGTGAGCTACGCGTCAGCGGGTGATGCAAGTGTTGCGTGCTCCAGTTCGTGCCCCAAGGGAGAGGATGGAGTGAGTTACATTGATTAGCGATGACAAAATCCTGTTCAATATGCGCGTTAGTTGGTTGTGATGAGACTATAGCTTCTCAAAGAATACATTCCATTCATTGCAAAAAATGTGTTATGAACTCTTAACACTCTAACATTATTTTGTTAACGTATCGCTCAATTCATTATTATTGCTGTATACCATAATGAGCATACACAATGAACATACTATTATATTATTATTATATTATATATATATACATTACTATATTATAATGAACATAATCTATTTTCAAATTCAGTTTTCGTTCAGTGGATATGCCTTCAAGCGATTCCCAACTCTAGATGGCAGCAATCAGATGGTACGTGTGAATTACATCGAAGGATCCCTCGCCGGATGTCAGTTAGTCCCTCTTCAAACCGGTAAGCAACTAAATTGAAAATTAAATAGCACAGAATAATAAACAAATACCGTACAAACAAATTAGAGAACAAGCTTGAAGTGGCAACTAGGAGTACAAGTCTGGGTTCTTCTTTCGTTTCTAGATGACGAAGTCGCGGCCAATGAGGCGGCGTTTGCGGAACTCTATCGCAAATGCAGACCCGAGGAATTCACAGAGGCTGTCCCAACTACAGCTGCACCAGTCGAGACTACTTCAGTTCTGCCCACGACAACAACCGTTGAAACAACAACAACCGAAGGTCCGACCACCACAACAACCGAAACTCCGACCACCACAACAACCGAAGCTCCGACCACCACAACAACCGAAGCTCCGACCACCACAACAACCGAAGCTACAACCACGACCACAACTCAAGTTCCGACCACCACAACAACCACTACAACAACCACGACAACAACCGCTACAACCACTACAGCCCCAGTCCTGATCCGGAAGAAATGCCCTGAAGCTTTCACTCTTGTTGGAGATTCATGCTACATGGTAACACCTTTCCCGAACACACAAGCTGAAGGTTTGAAGTACTGCAACAAGTACGGAGCACAAACAGCAGGAGTCATCGAAACACAAGCGGAACAAGATCGACTTGCAGGTAAAGCAATAAATGAACCACTCCTACAGGTTGGCCGATGCTTAACATCGCATTCCTGTAATTTGATTAAATTAGAGAATTAGGCCGGGTGATTTAAATTCAACGAATAGAAAATAAAACTGCATACATCAATATATTACTGATAAAAGTCAGTTAATGACATATTAAAAATGAATACGTAATCAAATGGGCAATGGGTAGTCTGAGTACTGGCTAGACGGCTTGAAGCTTAGACCTAAAGCGGTGCCGCACTCCAACAGGTGTTCTGTCAACGCGTGCTTGGATTGCGCTCAACGACATTGAGGTTGAAGGCCGCTTTACCGCCCCAGGACTGACAAGCAACATCTTCACTAAGTGAATGAATAGAATTATAAACCCGATTACTGGATAATTCATATATGCTGGCATGAAACATTAGTACCAGAACAATACATTAATCAAGAAATTGAGTTTATCATGGACATAGACCATCCATTCAAGGCACGGATGGATGGTCTATGATCCATTCAACGAAGATAATCATTTTCATCTTACCCGTAGTGCCGTAGACAAAACCTTACACGAGTTGCAAAGCAAAGCTGGACTAAATCGGTTCACAAATTAGTGAAACATTTTAAATATACTCCAAGTCGAATCACAAAATTTTCGGCCAACTTTCGAGCCAGGCAACTTTCGCAAAGCATCACTAGTAAATTTAATTTTTAATAGTGTAAATTATTTCGAGCACTGTTCAAAGTTTAATCATTCCGTTTCAAGTTACGTTAAATAAACTGGATATTTATTTCAAGTCACAATCTACAAAATTTATATTATAAAAAATGAATGCAGATGGAACAAAGGAGAGCCCAACAACTGGAACAACAACGAGGACTGCGTGATGCTCATACCTGAGTGGGGCTATGGCTGGAACGACGACAACTGCCTTGCTTCCAGCCGGTAAGAATATAATATGCAGCGTAGAAACTTTATTGACATAAAGTAATTAATTATTCGGATGTTCATCTGTATCATCTTGTCTTCTGATCTACACGTAAATAATGAATGATACGTAAATCGTTTTCACCCACTCTTGCGTCAAAATATCATCAAAATTTAAACAAATGTAAATACAAATGAATTCGGATTCTTTATACGCAATTTGATTTCAACTTGCACTGCAAACTACAACCTTTTGTCGACATCTTCCGATTATTACCTGGCGCTTGACTTTCCGCTTAAGTTGAAACGAGCTTTTTGCTAACTTTTTGCTGGCAAAAATTACTTGAAACTATCTTTGAAATATTTTTGCGTTCATTAACATGCAGAACTCTGTGTGAGACGGCTCCGTTGGCCGTATACAAGGAGCCAACCTGCGCGAATGGGTGGCGCAAGTTTGAGGATTCCTGCTACTTCTTCTCGGACGCGGCTGCCTACGACATCGGCGCAGCTCAGTGCAGGGCTAAAGGAGGCTACCCAGCATTCATCAACTCGGAGCAAGAGAACAATTTCATCGCAAGTGAGGAATATCGTACATATAATAAAAGGAACAGGCAGGTTCAGATTTGCTTGGTGCAATCGCAATTCGCTGCGGCACTTGAAATAAATCTACGGGCTTTTAATTGTCCAACGAACGATTATTAACAAGAAATATACTATCCGACAGTCTACACGAACATCACAACAATACGGTAAGCATTATCACACAAAACAGATCCAAAAAAGGATGTTTAGAATGATGATACCTTGTATACACAATATATATCGGAATGTAGAGTCGAAATCGTGTCCAATTATCCATTATTAATTCACAGGCATCGTTGACACAAATGCTTTCTTGGCCTACACCGACATCAAAGAGGAATCGGTATTCGTGGCAGAGAACTTCGGTGTTCCATTGTACAGGAAGTGAGTGAAGTCTGATCAACTCTAACGCACATTATTGCACGCCACCCATGAAATCCATGAATGTAGAATATAAAGCCCTGTAGCCGAAAAAAACGACGGAAAAAATTAGCAAGTCAATAGAACATTAAACTAATTGAACCTTAACAATTTTTTTTTCGTAAACTCTATCTTAAAATATTATCCCTCTGAAAACATCTTGAAATATTATACCTCTGAAAACTAAGTGCAACTTATTGTTATGATACATTGTAAGAAGACAAATCAATTTACAATTTTTCAGTTGGAATGCGGCAACCAAAGAGCCTAACAACGCGAACGGTGGAGAGTCGTGCTCAGAGATAAGGAAGGACATGGGCTATCGCTGGAACGACATCAAGTGTGAAACTGTGCAAAGGTGCGTAACTAATTAGAACACTAGTAATTGTTCAGAGGTACGTAACTAATTAGAGAACTAGTAATTGTGCAGAGGTACGTAACTAATTAGAGAACTAGTAATTGTGCAGAGGTACGTAGCTAATCAGAGAACTAGTCATTGTGCAGAGGTACGTAACTAATTAGAGCACTAGTGATAGTGAAGAGGTACGTAACTAATTAGAGCACTAGTAATTAAGAGAGGTTCATTGCCAAATTAGGCAGTATAGAAACTTTAAATTTCAAGCTAAATGGAATGCACAGGCAAGTAGCAGCTTCTAGAAAAATATGTCAAAACGTCAAGACGTTTTCAATCAAGTCATTGTTGAGAAGCGATATTAAAACGGGCCAAAAGAACTTTCTACCGAATAAAACAAACGTCAGTGGAACAATTTACCTTCTTATATTGTAGGTAGGAGAATAATAAGCTCTTGTAGCTTTATGCTTAATATAAAGTTCTTAAGAAATAAATGTAATCAAGGCTTGCACAACTAGAATGCAATCAAGGCTAGAGGTCGCTAACAGATGCCTGCGTGCAGCTGGCATGCACATGAAAACAATTAAGTACATTCGGAGAACTCGAGCATGCTGGAACCTAAGAGTATACTCCTATTGGAATAGAATAGAATAGAAGTGTCGGCACTGAAGAAATAGGCTCATGGCCTGTTGCCGATTCTTGAATTTTTTGGGACTTGATTTTATTGGACTATTGGAATCAGTTGTCTAGCATACATAGATGCACATGAAGAGGAAAAACTCGCATAGTTAATCAATCACAAGCGATACATTAACTCTAAAGGAATGTGATAAACGTCATCCAATAACGCATTCATGATTTTTTCTGAACAGGACGGTCTGTGAAATTGCAGCCACGAAAGCCTGAAACTCCGACCTGATTAAAAGTATGCAAATATGAATAAAATTCAATTGTTACGTATGCCTTAATTAAACTGAATTATATTCAAACGAGCATTTTTTACACACAGTAGCTTAGCGATTTTTATTATTAATTTGAAATTGCAGTGGATCCAGCTGAAAAAAATGAGTTGACCAGAGAGATGTATTTTAGATTACGTTCATTTATTGGCTCACACTTAACACTTTGATAGTCACAATGGCTCACACTTAACACTTAGATAGTCGCAATTAAGTAGTGAAAAACTAGTAATTATTTCTGACTTTATAACTTAATGAACAAAAATTATGAATGAACACTTTTTTTCTGTTCCCACGTCGAACCAAAAAGCGGAACACTCGACGATGAGGACGGCACTTGACTGGAGACGCTTTGGTTATTACGGATGCTTCGATGGGCATTTAACACAGAGGGTCAGCAGATGAAAAAGGACAAGAATTTTTTCAGAAGCCATTTTTCAATACTTTATCGTGTGAAATTCAGGAAAAAATTGGACCAGCAACGAATAAAGCAATCACCAAATCTAACTCTCTTTATTTGACGATTTTCCTCAAGAACAACATCCCTCGACTATACTATTTACACCTATCAGTTGAAGCCTTTCTTAACCAGCTGTTAAGAAAAATTTGACACTGGGGATGTCACAATATTTTATTTAATTGAATGTCAATGCGTATATAAAAAACTTTATCGCATTGAATTTATTTAGAGCGCGAATAATATATAATCGATCTTTTGAAGAACATCGTAAATAGTTAAATAATTGTAGTCGCATTACAAGATTTCAGTTATTATTGTTGGAATCGAGATGACGAAAGTGAGAGTAAAGGTAGAAATATATTGTACGGCTTAAAAAAATAACAGCTAAAAAATTTACATGACTAGAATATCTTTCGACTCGATTCAACCAGTTCAAAAATATCTATAAAATTCGTCAGAAAATCTGTTTAAATCCACGAGCTTTCATTTATCGACTGAAAGAATTTACGTGACGCGAATTTATAATGCGTAAGCAAAAAAACCCTAATGTGATAATACTTAACCATCAGCTTTGTTAAAATTTAGATAAAAATTTAATTATGAACGTATACCCACTTCGCACACACAAATTCCTTTAAAATTAGCGAAAACGTCGCAAGGTATATTTGTGAATAAATTACAAGCGAAAGAATGTAATACAAAGGCTTCCAGCTAAATAGAAATAACATAACGTATCCATGATAAGATAAATCATTACAGGGAAATTTGTTAAGTGCTGCACGGGGTCTAATATAAGTGATAGAAAAACATGAACCATAAAACAGGCGTCGGACACGAGTAAAAAAAGATATGGAAAAATGCTGATAAAATTAGATTAATTAATAATCATTAATGTATCCGCATTCAAACAATAATGCTGATCATTAATGCAGCTCAAATTATTAAGTAAAGCACCAATTTAGATACTAGAATTAACGTTAATTATAGCGCAGATGAAACCTCAACGCGATGAAATGTCGGTCCCGCTCGCTTGGAGATAAAGTTTCGGGAAAATAAAGGGTTATTCTAATTTATGGACCCAATTTAATAAATTCTTACTTAGTTAAGCATAAATTCAAAATAAATAGTTAATATGCCAATGGTAAGAGAAGAATTAATTTTTTAACCCATTCAAATGAATGGAGCTCTGCCCCATTGGCATCTTAATGTCCGAAACTTTTTGAATCCGTCACTTCCTGAGCGTTGGGTAGGACGCATAGGAAATGAAGATCTGGCTCCACACTTCTGGCCACCGAGATCACCTGATCTCACCATGCACATGTGACCATTTCTTTTGGAGTTACGTCAAGGAAGCTGTTTACGTCCCACCTCTACCAGCAACTCTGTTTACGTCCCGCCTCTACCAGCAACTCTGTTTACGTCCCGCCTCTTGAACCGTATCACTGGTACGGTGCACACAATAAGGAAGATATGCCTTCTCAAGTGTGGAACGAGTTTGGCTACCGTTTAGATGTTTGCCGTGCAGCACAAGGGAGACATATTCAACATTTATATGTATGTTAAAAATTTTTTAAATCTTTCTCCTTCCATTGGTATATAAATTATTCATTTTGAATTTATATTTATATACACGCGAATTTACTAAACTGGGTCAATCATTTAGAATAACCCTGTATTATGTGAATCAGATGATATTATTTTTCACGAAGAACTGCAAAGCAGGAGATTAAATAATTACGCGTACTACAGACAACAGTACATCTCCGAAGTTAGATATCGAGGACTTTGAGTAAACATATTACTAGTCAGCTGGAGTAAGATTCACCCAAATTTAACCATTTTTATAGTTTTATCAGCTCCGTGTCTTAAGACTTTGGTTATAATAATTTTCTACACATCTTATTGTGTAAATAACGTTTACATCATTAAAGTAAAAATATATTGAGACCTCCAAAGCAGAAAAGTTTCGCTTTGCCCATCAGCCTATAATATCATCTCAAAATCGTCATCTGAAGAAGAGTTGCAATTTTTTGGATTTCTTCTTCGAAACTTTTTTTATATTATTATGATTTGCTTAAATGATTGGGCCAAATTTGTCCACAACTCTGGGCGAAAAATGTCATGAAATTTTAAAATAGCATGCTTTGGAAATAACAAAAATAAAAAGCCTTAATACAAAAAAATGCTTGAAAACAATGGAATACATAATATTATTAATTAAATACTTACTTTTTACGGTATAGCTCGTCAATGATTCCTGTTTATAAGTAAATGTTTGGAGCGAACAAATTTCACGACTTTCTAACTGACAGGATGGAGCAGCTCTGGAGTGGTTGAGGGATATGGAGTTGAACCAAATCATCAACAAAATTTCAATGCTACCAGTGGTGCTACTTATCTTCCAGCTAGGGAAGCATGAAGTAGGTTTCAATTATGTACTAGCCGTTTCTAGTTTGAACGGTGAAAGAAAAGATCAGCGGTTGGTGACTCTTCACATGATCACACAATAGCCCAACAAATATTTATATAACTTAGAGGCAAAGTTATTCTTACAAAGCCAATCTTACCCTTGCTGACGGTGATAAAACTGAAATAAATGGAGGGCGATGGAAAACATGTAAATCTATTTGCGAGCATTGATATTTTGACAAAATATGGGCGAGCACATTTGTGTACATGTTTATACAAGTTGTTTGAAAAAGTTTTCGCCTTAAAATGTGACGAATAAAATTAAAAACAAAAAAATAGAGTTAAACGTCACAAACTTACCTTGAAAGATGATGAAATGAGCAAAGGAACGTGAACAGATTTTCGAGGTAGTGTTGAATTCATCAATGTAATTTATAGGGAGGCATTCTTCACACAAAGACGTACGATGAAGTTCGTCAACACTAAATCGGACACGATATCAGAAATAACACTCATTCAAAGCTACCAGCTAACCTTGTTTCGAGGAAAACGTTTAAACGGAATTTTCACATTCTTCCAAGACAAATGCAGAATTGTTACGGTCAACACTTGTGCATATATTGACACAAGGTTAAATAGCAACTCTTAATTTGAAAAGCCTTCAGATGCGAATAGCGTTGACGAAGAGTCGATTACTCCGTTATTCTCACGTTTTCAGGATGCGTATTCAAGTTACAGTGTATCTTTAGTGAAATATAAGTTAGGCCTTCAACAATGAAGTTTCCCGGTCAGTGCGCACTTCAGGTTTTAGGGAAGTGATTTTAATCGAATTTAGTTGCTAAAATGCGCTTAAAACTATTAGAATAATACAATTGAAACCATGAGCTTACCGAGCATAATCCATAATACTATTAGTCAAATAGTATACTAAAAATAACTGATAAAATATGAGACCAAGTGTTATGCCGCTTAAATATCTTCTTGTCTTTTTTTTCTTTTTGCTATCAAACTTATGTGTAACGTGCACTCTAAGTTTACCACAATAAATAATATAAATAAAAAATAAATAAGTTAATAAATACCATACTTTTTATGACAAATTTACATGCAATATACGTAACTTGAACTAATTATTCAGCACATTATTGGCCCGAAAAAGCTTGACATTATTTTAGAAAAATTCAAATCACATTGGTTTCATTCGGAAACAAATTTCCGGAAATTTTGATGCACGCGTCACTGCACAACTATCCAGCATTTCCAGCTCAAACTGATTCTCGTTTACATTAACCATGTTCGGCATGTCAAAATCTTTAGGACAATTTAGCAGGTGTCGGAATAATAAGCCAGGCCTATGCGGTGACAATTGCGCAATCAGGCCAGCGATTGAGTAGGCTGGGTTAGCGCCATCCCCTACTCAGTACCAGTCGCAATGGTCACTCAAAAATGCAATCAGTGCGGTCCAGTAAAGGGATGAATCCTAAGAAAACTGCTGGGCTACAGCCCGTAAAAACAATATAGGGTTAATTCAGTACAGCCCTTGGTAATGAAACGAGGACAATAAAAGCTGAGTGTCTATTTAAGTAAGAGAATGTTGACTACGTTGGTGTATTTAAGTGGGATTGCAGCCTTCTGAGCGTCATTCTGCTAGCAGTTTTGAAAAAAGTCAGACATGGTCCTCAAATTAACTCTGGCATTTGCCTTGCTGGCGGTAAGGCCAGGTTGAAAAATTTTTTGATTAACTAAAAATGATCCGAGAGTTCACGTTTAGATTTTGAAATGAAATTGTAGATTTGTAGATTTTATCTCGTCGATTTCATTCAAGTTTGGGATATTTTTATCGATTTAACTTATCAAGTGAAACGATAACAATGAAATAGCTGACCAAAACTCGGCCCATACATCAAAGAAAAGTTACAAAAATGCCAAATTTCCATGTAGATTCCAAACGTGTATTTTTCTGTCCGGGGGTAACAAAAGGTTCATTTTAATGCAGTATTTAAATCGACAAATTTGTATGTGCTTGGCACACATCGAGAATTAAGGTTGAAATAAAAAAAGCACTGCAAGTTACTACATGAGTAATTCAAAACGACGGAAATATAATAATGTTCTCACTAAAACAATACAGGCCGCGTTGGGTCTGCCATCGGAGCCGCTGGACAGCTGCTCCGTAAGCATCAGCGTGACCTACCCGGCCGCACAAGGCGAGTCTCCTACCGTCACGTGTGCATCGCGGTGCGCCACGGGGGACCAAGGCGTGAGTTGAGACAATTGCTCAAGTGTCATATAAAGCACTGTTACAACCTTAGTATTCCTTAGTATTTGTTTGGGACATAGCAGTCCCAGGCCACGATGGATCGCCGCCTCTGATTATCGTTCATCCGCCCTCATTTGGGCCACCTGATGCACGATGAACCGATCACTTCTTCGGAGACTTAGCTCTCTCGTGCAAGCATGAGTTATTCACTATATTACTCAATTTTACATTTAGCTTTCTCATCACTTTACTTACACTTTTATGCTCTCTCAAGCAAGCAGGGCTAATGCAATCGATCACTCCATGTACTGATGATCTTTTAAATTCATTATACTATACTAAATTCGAAAAAATTTTAACAGTGGGTTCGAAATTGAATCCACAATTATTTTCAGAAAAATTTTAAAAATACGTTAAAATTTCAAGATTTTTCAATGAAAAGTTTACTATTTTGTTTAAAATGAATATTCTCCTGAATACTTCAATTATTTTAGTTATGATAAAAGTACAAAGGGGACTATAGATGAACGAGCAAATAGCAAATTTCCAAGGTAAATAATAACCATCTCTTCCATCCTCTATGCGCGCAGTTTACGTTCAGTGGCGTTGCGTACAAACATTTCGCGGAGCTGGACGCCTACAACCTGATGGTGCAAGTGAATTATGCGGGCGGGTCCTTTGCTAACTGTGAATTGGTCACCTTGAAAACAAGTGAGTTGACTACAACGCTCATACTTATTTTTTCATTCGTAAAAATAAACGAACACAGTAGAAAATATCTAGAAAATACTCCCGAATATGGTTAACAAGCGAGAAAAAATGTTAAAACCATTTTTTTTTCAAGTCTGTTCCTGAGGATAGAATAAGCATGATGAAACTTACATAAAGACGCTCGTGAATGCTTACTTTACTGCAGCGCAGTTGGGCTCGAATTTTAGTTATAAATTCCTTTTATTTACAGTCGAACAGTTAGCAGCCGCCTACGATAGCTGCCTGCCAACTCAGGAAGAAGCGACCACCCCACAGGTCGAATCCACGGTTGCACCAACAGAAATGTATACAACAACCACCCCAGAAACAACAACCACACCAGTTCCAACCACAACTACCCCAGAAACAACAACACCAGTTCCAACAACAACTACATCAGCTACAACCACTCCAGCACCAGTTCTGATTCGTCAACGATGCAAAGCGGGCTTCACTCTGCTCGGCGACTCGTGCTACTTAGTATCTCCCGAAGCCAAGAGTGATGCTGAAGGCTGGCAGTACTGCAGCCAGTTCGGAGCCAAAGGAGGCGTGATCGAGTCACAAGCTGAACAAGACAGGCTTGCAGGTAAGCATCAAATCGAACAGAGTTCTGAGTTTCTGTAACTAGTATTTTCGGTAAATTTCATATTAACTATAACAGGCCATCTCGACGCATCAACCTTTAATGCGAAGCTTAGAATGATAATTTCAACTCCAACTCATATACGGTAGGTAGACTCAATGAAATAGTGTGACTCAATGAATGATGTTCCACTGGATGCAAACATGGCAAGTCTGCACACGTAATTTTCAACGGGCAAGAATCTGATTAGCAAAGCGGTGATTATTATTATTATAAACCCAATCAGGTGTCCTCACGACGAGAGTTTGGTTGGCCATCAGCGACAAAGAAACGGAAGGAAAATTCGCCGCCCCGGGAACGAACGGCGTGTCTTTTGTCAAGTAAGAACTTGAACAGGTAGTCAATGGGGATCTTACCCAGCGGCATGGGGTACAAAAAAAATTGAGTTATAATATGATAAATAATAATATTACCAGACATCATTATTGAATTGTGAGTTCAGAGGAAAGTGCATCGGTAACTTAGAAAAAAAGTGGCAAACCCTAGATTAGTTTATGAGATCGGGGTTTTACTCGCAATACTGCATGAAGAAGAATTGATCCTTAAATACACATCTTTGAAGGATATGTAAAGTGAAATTTTTAAATTAATAGACGACAAAATTCGTTAATTCATTTACAAATAATAACATCTTAACCGGTCGCATTGCGCTAACTATATAAAACAGCAAGAATATATGAGCTCAAAATTTTTATGATTGCAAAAAATATGAGGCATTGATCAACATAGTTAAAAGAGCCATGGAGACATAATTGGAAGAACAATAGAGCGACTAACTCCAGTTACTTTACTCGTAGATAACACAGACGCTTTGCACAGATGGAACAAAGGAGAGCCCAACAACTGGAACAACAACGAGGACTGCGTGATGCTCATACCTGAGTGGGGCTATGGCTGGAACGACGACAACTGTCAGGCACAAAGCCGGTATAGGCACAGCGTTGAGGTTTCACCCTACGGCTACGCATACATTACCGACTTTTAGTGCTATTCGTATACGCTGGACTATTATTGTCTGTAGACAAGAGTTAACTTGTCATTCGTGGGATGGAGAGAATCGGGAATAAAAGTTTTTGGTTGAAAATAAAGAATAAAATAATATTTAGGTTAGGTTCACACTATATACTTCCTGGCACGTACCATGCATATGCTAGTCACGGTCCAGTCCAATATTATTTAATGCCTTTCTATAGAAGCATTCACACCAACCGTGCAAGGCAACTGTCGCGCCCATGGTATGAATGCTTATATTGAAATGCATTAAAGAATTTTGCAAGGGACTGTAACAGGCATATGCCTGGCATGTGCCCGGTAAAATGGTGAGAAACCGGCAGTTATAATCATAAGAATCTCGTCATTTCTTATAATATTAAACAGTAAAAAATGTTGCGTTTCATGCGTACAGAGCGCTGTGCGAGGACGCGCCTATTGGCGTATACAAAGAGCCCTCATGCGCGGCCGGACAACAGAAATATCTTGACTCCTGCTACTTCTTCACCGACGCCGCGGCCAACTACGACACGGGCGCTGCTCAGTGCCGGGCAAAGGGCGGCTACCCGGCCGTTGTCAACACGCAGCAGGAGCAAGATTTCCTTGCTGGTGAGCCAATGGAGTAACCTCATATAATTCCCAACTCAGGGCACGTTTTAATTAGTCTAGGTTTCAATTAGTCTGAGAAAGCGTTCATGTGAGGCCTTACAAGTATATGTTTCATATATTTGTGATGATAGCTGATGTCCACCAGTCTCCCTAAATGATAAATGATAGAGACAGGTGGACAAACATTTGTTTACAAATATCCAACACAAACATGACCGCTCAAGTGCTCAATCAACAGTTTAATATTCAAACTAGATACACAAATATTCAAGGAGATGTCGAGTAGACCAACTAAACCATTAAATCCATAAGAAGTTTTAGCCTATAAAAAACATTCGCACAGCTATATTTCTGAGTGTAAGACACTTGAATGTGCCAGGAATATAAGCTGACACAATTTTCCGCAGGCATCTTGACGGAGAAAGTTTACATAGGCCTAACCGACCGAGCCACGGAATCCGTGTTCGTGTCAGACTTCGGAGTGGCGCTGTACAGACGGTAAGTATAAGGCAGCAGTGATGTCATACATATCCATAAGAAAATATTACGAAACGTTTTGAAATAGAGTTAAGAGTTTCCTAACCTATAGTTAAGAGTTTCCTAACCTATAGTTAAGGGTTTCCTAACCTAACCTAAGAGTTAAAAAGCATAGTTTCCTAACTTGACCAAAATCCCAATATATAAAACGTAAGACTTTGTGTTTTTGCAATTGAAACTTATCACAGGAAAATTTTTCATACCGAATTCTGTGAATGCATGAGTAAAGCCAACCCCCTTTCGCACAAAAAACGTAGCTGGGCCTACGGCGAACCGAACAACCAGAACGACGAGGACTGCGTTCAGATGGTCAGTGGCTGGGGCTCGCCGTGGTACGACGTCAGCTGCTCCACTATCATGAGGTCAGCATTCAAGATCAATTTGTAATTAATTTATTAATTATCAATACAATCAAGAACAATGTTAATTAACGAAACTAATTATTATTCATTTTAAGATCAATTTGAAATACAATTAAAATTCGTTCCTGGTGAATGTGCAACCAAGCAGTTTATAGCTTCACTACAATCATTCAAAAAAATTCGTTGAACAATCCCCGGTTGATTAACAATATATTTAAAATCAGTCTAAGAATCGCGTGCAATAACTTTCGTGGTAGCTCAAAATCATTTCCGCAAAATGTTGAGCGAGAAATGTGACATGAAAAAGATCTTATCATATAAAATAGTCTTTGAATAATAAAAAAGGATAAAAATTTCTGCTCAGCTGTTCCACTATCATGAGGTCAGCATTTAAGATCAATTTGTGATTAAGTTATTAATTATCAATACAATCAAGAACAATGTTAATTAACGAAATTAATTATTATTCATTTTAAGATCAATTTGAAATACAATTAAAATTCGTTGCTGGTGAATGTGCAACCAAGCAGTTTATAGCTTCACTACAATCATTCAAAAAAATTCGTTGAACAATCCCCGGTTGATTAACAATATATTTAAAATCAGTCTAAGAATCGCGTGCAATAACTTTCGTGGTAGCTCAAAATCATTTTCGCATCATGTTGAGCGAGAAATAGGACATGAAAAATATCTTGTATAAAATAGTCTTTGAATAATAAAACAGGATGAACTTTATGCTCTCCAAAAAAATCTCATTTCGCACCTTGTGAGCCACGAACGCATAAATTTTATTCGAAGAGTATAAATCATAAATAAAATTATAAATAAAACGTACAAATTTTTTTTACGCAAGCAATTTCATTTTAATCACTAAATCAGAAGCAGATTATGCCAGGTTTAATCTGTGGACGTTTTCCCGCAGGACCTTGTGCGAGATCCCCGCTCAGTAGCGCTGCACTCAATTCGGTTCCTCTCGTGACCACAACGGACACCGAAGAAAGCCAACAATAAACTCTGACGTAATGATCATCTGGGTAGACAGTACCGCGCATGTAAAGCACGAAGTAAATTATTGATGCAAAATATAAAACTTCTATTTGCCCCAACGACTCTAGAGTTTCTAAAAACACAATTTAAAAAAGTTCGAATACGCATATAATAATTTTAGAAATGTTCTTTTAACTTCAAAAGCAAGCCAATGAAAATGAAAGTTTTTGAGCGCGTAACGCGTCCATCACCGAAGCGTGACCACTGAGCGAAGATGACGAAAGCTGCAAGCTGAAATGATGTGCAGATGAAATTTTGTGCTTCGAAAGGAGTTATCTATCTCGTATTGGGAATAATATTGCGACGAAATTTACTTTTTTAGCAATTCCGTCACGTGGACTCGAGTCACGAACTTGATCATCCATTTCGGGTGGCTTAGAATCGACTAAAGCAAAGGAATTCAATGTTAAAAAAATCATGGGTGTGGCTTGCATTCAATTATTTTATGATTGATTTTCACCATTAATGAGCGGTGTCAATTTAATGACACGTTTTGAAAAGTTGATGAAGACAATATGGGAACTTTGAATTAAAGCTTTGTTAAAGTGAAGGCGATTTACAATAATAGTCACAATTCTCGCACGATTTCTAAGCGAATGCCGATTACATAATATAGTGGATTTATGGCACAAAAATGATGGTAGAAGCGTTTCAACAGCTTCTACTTCTTCAACAGGTAGAAGCGTTTCAACGCTACTGAACATTGACAGCAAAAGCGTCACCATTGCGCGCTCTTCTAGATAACAGAAATGGCGTGAAGAAAACTCAGCTCGAAACTTACTAGAGAAATTTGAAGAAATTGAACAAATAGGGTAAATATCAAAGACTCGGAAATTATTACTGGTTTCTGATGCAAAAAGAACGTTTAATTCAAGTGGGAAGGTTAGTGAAGTTTAGCAATTAAATCAGATGGTAGGTTGCAGAACGGCAAAAATTCCTGTAGTTCATGTTTAAAATTTTGCATAAGACAAATACGATGAAATTTTAGAACTTCTACAAAAAAATAGAAGAAATTTTATTTTATCATAAATTAGTGCATAGATAATGATCAAGATGAATATTATAATTATAATTTGCAACCACATGAATGTTTTTTAAGATGCTTCAGTGATTTGTTGCTATGAACAGATAATTTATTCCTCAAGACCGAGTTGGTATTTAAAAAATATCGCCTTGCCACGCAACGGCCGCGGCCGAGGCGTAGCATTAGCACATGCCAGTCAAGGCCGAGTTGACTTCTGGCTCCGACCCATACAGTGAAAGGGGAATATCCGACGTGAAACTTGCTGCTAGGCGCAACTTCAATTCTCATGTGCAATGCATCGTTACTTCGCTAAAACTAGCTTTTAGTGTTTTTACGCATCTCAAATATAAGAGAGAGTTAAATGCAGCTTTTATTGGGGTGCTAAACTTAAGAGATTACTGATTTGGTAATAGAGAAAAATTATTTTTGTCATCCAAAACAAGTTCAAGTTCCAAAAACACAACCTAATTTATGAACAATATAGGCCTTTGATCTAAGTTTGAAACTAAAAACGCATATGCAACAACGACCATCACAAGGGGCTGGCATGCTGAGAGAAAGAACAAAAATTCGCAAAGGCTTAAACGCAGATCGATGCACTGCGTTCTCGATAAGATGTGTACATACTAGGAAGTGCGCAACGATTATTTTACAGATTAATACAATGATTATTTTCGAACCTTAATTTTGAGCAAAAAACACGACATGTCGCTGGAACCTGACTGTGAACCCAACGCACCCACGAACCATGGTCGCCCATTGTCCAAGCAAAACAACGGACCTGTTCGTTGAAACGTCCGTTGATCCTGATCGTTGATCGGCATGGTTAATTGGGAAGCAATTGAATTTCAAATGTAAATATTAAAAACAGGTATAAATTATTTAATGCTTATTATTAGAAAGACACGATTTTAATCGCAAAACTGCAGCCAATGACAGCTATCATCATCGGTTCTTTCACCCTGTCATAGAATCAAAAATTTAAGATCTTTCACCTCATTTATTTCAACGCGTTTTTAACTGCTCAGAAGAAATTCCAGGAACGCTTCTGAGCAGCGCGTAGAATTTGCGACCAATGGAGCATAATTTAGTAGATTATTTGCTGCGAAAAATGCAGCGGCGCCAACAGAAGCAGCAGATGGCCGCTGTCGAGGCCATCTAACGTTCGTAACGAGAGTAAATGTCCTCAGGTTCACGATAATCGCCTCGAGTGAAAGTTTCAGTCAGGCACAGAGGTCAGCAAGCACGCATCGTTATCAAATAATTGAGGTATCAAACGAACACCAAAACAAAACGCTTTTGCCTCAGCGATCTTTTGGCTTTCAGATTTAACTTTGAATTTATTTTGTATGCTTCAACAACAGAAATAAAAGAATGTCTGATATCGTAAGAGGATATCTTTAAGGAAATGAGAACTGACCGTTTACCGTCACAACGAATTCATTCACGCAAATCAAAGAAGAAGCGACTGTAGAAATATACGAGAGACAATAATACAATGCCCAGTTTATTCAAAATTAAGTGATAAGAACGTCTGATTTCTAGAGAAATATAAAGGGATTTTTAATATTATTATCTTATAATTATGTAATACTCACCCTTAGACAGCCATGGATAAAACATGGATAAAAACAACAACATGTATAAAAGATTATTCCAGTGCTATCTGTGAATCGAGTGCTACTCTAAATTTCTCTTTACATATACCACAAGTTAACATCTGAATGTGTAGATCCCACGTACATCTGCTTGGCTTTCTTGGATGCTTTAAACTTAGTAAACATAGAAATTAAATAAAGTAATTCGACTTTCTACAAAAATACAAATTTTTCCGAGGAAGAAATTTCTCATTAGAGTATCCTGGCTACCGTCCAGCAAGGCAGAGTCTCGCTGGTAGGCGTGCATAATATAACATGTCGAGTCAAAAGTCAATCAAGAAGCACAAGAAATAACCTAGGCTCTAGCAAGTTCTCGTCGCTTGGTATTCAACATACATTTCAACTGCATGAAACTATATAAGGAACATTTGTCGCTTACTTGTAATCAGTGCAAAGAAATATATGGACCAGCAGAAAGAAGTACTGAAACCAATTGATTTTGTGACAGAAAATATCAACAATGAAGACCGCTGCGTGGGTTTCGTTCACGCTATTATTGGTCTCAGGTTTCCAGAGCGCCAGTTCGAAGACACATACGCACGCAGCAAGGGATAAATCAAATCAAAACGATCTAGAGTTGCATTACGAACGCCTGCAAAGAGGAGCAACAATAAATTAGAATAACCGTGTCAAAATCCTTTATGAGAAGATTCACAACCCTAAACGGACCAAAGGAAAAAAAGAACAACAGCCATTCCAAACCAGAAAAAATGAATTCAAAGAAACGATTCTTGTGGATGCGACGACGGGCAATAGCAGTAATTACAATACTATTCACGGCGCCCAAATAAATCCAAATGAATCTAGTCGTGAAGTAAAAACAGACTCGTAAAATGAACTTATTGCAGAGACCATCGGGCAAGGCCATGTAAGTGTGAAAGTTCCGCCCAGTGACTCTCCTGGTCAGCTGCATATTATTTTTGGAAACCCTACTTCCCAAAAAAATATAACCGCGAATAATTTTACCTCGAATAGTATTCATCGTGGCAATTCCAAGCTATAAATTTACAACAGTAGCTCTGAAACAGTCAGGGGAAAGAGGAATTCGACGCTTTAGCTCCGTAGCCCAATGGTTAAAAAGAAGAAAAAATGCAATCAGACAAGAAGTGTAAGACGCCACATAAAACGTGCCTCGGGTGTCAAGTTTCCACGTCACTTACACTGCAATAGGCGTCAAGTTAGCCTGTGTCAAGCACGGTATCGGAACCAAAAGCGAATTTTCAGATAACTTAGGAAAACTAATCAAAGTCATTACGGCAACCGTCAAGTAAGAAACATCACATTGGCCTCGTTGAAACAAGTATTGAGTGAGATGTAACGAGCGAACTCTTCAATACGATGCCTGTGCTCCCTTAACCGCGTGCCAAGACTAACAAATCAGCATAGATGGCAATGCAGAAGGCATAACAAAGGCAGAAAGTGGCTGCCATTACACAATAGACAGTTCTCGCGATATCCAAGAGGAGCTCGTAAATCAAGTCTAAGAAGAATTGCGAGCCAAAAAATAGCCGGTAAACCAGATTCACAGAAAAGAAAATGGTTGCGCGCTTGTCGAACTTCTGTCGCTAATCATCCGCCACGTAGAGTAATTTGTTGTCATCCACGACGTCGAATGATTAATTGTCATACAAGACGACGAGTGATTTGTTGCCATCCACGACGTCGCGTGATCCGTCGAATGATTCACCATCCAAAGGCTACAATAGTGGTTCGACACCCAAAGCGGAGAACAGTAGTTCGACATCCAATGCGGAGAATTGTGGTTCGACATCCAAAGCGGTAAATAGTGGTTCGCCATCCAAAGCGAAGAATAGTGGTGCGAAATCCAAAGCATGGAATAGTGATTCACCATCCAAAGCGGACAATAGTGGTTCGACATCCAAAGCGGACAATAGTGGTTCGACATCCAAAGCGCACAATAGTGGTTCGACATCCAAAGCGGACAATAGTTGTTCGACATCCAAAGCGGAAAATGGTGGTTCGAACTCCAAATCTTAAAGCGATAGTTCGTCATCCAAAAACTGGTGTCGTGGTTCATCACAAGAATCGTCGAGTGGTCATCCGTCGAACACAACGTCAAGTGGTAGTTCAACCCAAGAGTAAGGTGGCAGTGCACGCAGCACCAAAACTGGTCATCCATCATTTACCGCACCGTGTGGTAGTTCATCATCCAAAACAAAAATTAGTAGTGGTTCATCGTCTGCCTGGTCGAGTGTTGGTTCGTCATCCAAAACGGGTAGTTTCAGTTCGGCAACCAAAACGGGTAGTTGCAGTTCGTCAACCAAAGCGGGTAGTTGCAGTTCGGCAACCAAAACGGCCAGTCGTAGTGGGCCGTCAAAAGAGTACCATAGTAACTCATGCCCCACACCGAGTGGTTATTCATCATATCCTACCACGAGTGGTAGTTCATCATCTGCATCATGTGGCACCTCAGCATCCAGGACAGAGAAAAGAAGCTCGTCATTCAGTGCGGGGGGTGGCAACAGTTCGTCATCCATAATTAAAAAAGGAAGTTCACAATCCAGCGCAGAGAGTAGTGGTAGCTCATCACCCAGGGCGAAAAGTGATAGTTCATCATCCAGCACAGCAAACGTTTGTTCACCATCCATAGCGAGGACTAGTGGCAGTTCATCATCCGGCGCGTAGAGTTGTGGTAGTTCATCATCCACCTCGGAGAGTGGTGGTAGTTCATCATCCACCTCGGAGAGTGGTGGTAGTTCATCATCCAGCGCGATCAGTGGTAGTACGTCATCCAGGACAAAAAATGGTAGTCCGTCCACCACCGAGCGCGGTGGTAGTTCATCATCCGCCAAGGAAAGAGGTTGCAGTTCATCATCCAGCGCGGAAAGTGGTAGCAGTTCATCGTCCACCGCGGGGAGTGGTGGTAGTTCATCATCCAGCACGCAACGTGGTAGCAGTTCGTCACCCAGCGCGAAGAGTGGTGGTAGTTCGTCATCCAGCGCGGAGAGTGGTGGTAGTTCATCATCCAGCACGCAACGTGGTAGCAGTTCGTCACCCAGCGCGAAGAGTGGTGGTAATTCATCATCCAGCACGCAACGTGGTAGCAGTTCGGCACCCAGCGCGAAGAGTGGTGGTAGTTCATCATCCAGCGCGAAGAGTGGTGGTAGTTCATCATCCAGCACGGGGGGTGGCGGTAGCTCGTAACCCAGCACGGAGGGTGACGGTAGCTCGTAACCCAGCACGGAGGGTGACGGTAGTTCGCCACCCAGCGCGGAGAGTAGTGGTTGTTCGTCGCCCAGCACGGCGTGTGGTGGTCGTTCGTCGTCCAGCGCGGAGAACAGTGGTCGTTCGTCGTCCAGTGCGAAGAACAGTGGTCGTTCGTCGCCCAGCGCGGAGAGTGGTGGTCGTTCGTCGTCCAGCGAGAAGAACAGTGGTCGTTCGTCGTCCAGCGCGAAGAACAGTGGTCGTTCGTCGCCCAGCGCGGAGAGTAGTGGTAGTTCGTCGCCCAGCGCGACGGGTGGTAGTCGTTCGTCATCCACCACGAAGAGTAGTGGTTGTTCCTCATCCAAGAAGAAAAACGGTCCGCCATCCGCCCAGACAGGGGCGCAAAAATAATGAACATGACCATGAAATTTCCAGTAATGCAGTGTAAAATTTATGACTTCCGACAATAGAAAACTATAAATGCGTTAGTGATAATAATCAAATTTAGAAACAAGCAATCAGAAACTGCCATCTATACCAACTAAATGATAAAAATGGGACTTCAAGAAATGTGCACAATGAAACCGTCTTGGCGTATAGGTAATGCAGGAAACACAACATAAAAAATTGGTTAAATTGAGATGCGCTGCTCAACTCGTTATAAGGCGGTCTGATATCCTTCATCCAAGATCATAACAAATTAAAGGGACAATAAATTAGCAAGACCAGCCGCATGATTTGTAGACCATCGAGCTAAGAATAATAAAACTAAATGGACGGATGACTAAAGCACAGTATAGGGTACAGAGAAAATTTCGTAATTCCTCAAGATACATCTCAGTAAGGTGACTTGAAAGTCATCAGCAGAACAAATGGAAAATTGTCGAGCAGTGAACGTCCTGTCAAATAAAAAAAAAACAATTCTTATCTTTCAAGGAAAATGGAGAAAATCTCACAAAAAAATGTCAAGCTATGAATTACTTATCACTTTAACGGGTGTGTGGATTTTTTATCAAAATACTTGAGGACATAAGCACCAAGGCAGTGAAGATATAAAGCCATGTAATCAGACTCGGCGTTGCTGCAAGGCCGCAACCGCATCAGTCAAGCTAAGGAAGTCGTGCGTGGCGCATCGCGCAACGCGGCACTGTGAAGTGTAACAAGATCGCCTTCAACTTCATCAGAAAATATATCGCATAACGAGTGCATTATATTAAGGCTTATTTACCTACTGACTTTGAATATATAGGCATAAATAAAATTGTAAACTGGATTCTATTTTTATTTCTATATAATGCAAGTTTATCAGTTGAAAACGCTTATTTTGTCCTAAAAAAAATATTACGTGAAAATAAGTTGAAATTTTGTGGACCGACTGCGTGTGCTTTATCACTAAATAAATATAAATAAACATCGGGCAAAGTCTCCAATAAATCAAAGTAACAAACGGGATCATATGTAAAAATTTTATACGATTAGATGCTTGATGGAATTGGAACAATAAAAACGACCGACTTCTGTATTCATTTGAGGTAAGTTAAGCTGTGGAACGAGCACTGATTTACGTGGCCTTTCTTAGAAAGTTCATTTCTTTTACATGAGATGATTACGTGCACCGAATTTTCATTCTCCAGTAATTAATGTCGGTGGTTTGAACACAAGGTTCACTACGCTACACTTCTCAAAACGCTTGCCCGGAATTCAGGACGAAGTTACGAACGTTTCTAGACTAAATGAAAATAATAATCAAGGATGTGTCAAAAAAGAGAGCGATGAGTTTTCAAGATTTCAAATAAATTTTTATTGATGACGCAAAAAGGTTCATACCAGGTCATGTAAATCGGTGGGCAACTCTAGAATGGTTTAACTGTGAGCGATTGACCGTCGATCAGCCAGTAAATATGCACGTAAATTCGACAATATAATACGACTAAAAATGGTTTGTCAAGAGACGAGGCGTGTTAAAATTCCTGCAACGACTGATTTCCATTTTAACCTTTCTACCAATAAATAGTTTGATGTATAAATCATCAACGACACGATAGGTTTAGTTGAACATAAATGTATAAATGCAACGCAATATTGGCATACATCTTACAAAATCGAAAATAATTCGAATAACATGAGCGAAGAAGGTGTAAACAATATAATCCTCATTTCAGAAGGCTTTTGTTATGTATTTAAAATCTTCTGCTTCAATATACCTTCTTGCGTCATTAAACACCTGATGCCCAGGCTGAAAAGTAAAAAATTTCGTCTTTTCAAATGAGTCACAGGTGAATAACAATGAACAAATTTGAATGTGGCCACCATATCACTCCCCATCAGGATAAGGGCCTAAAATATAGTTATCAGTTTATCTGTGAAAGCTTAACTTTCCATTACTCTTCGACTCATACGATCTCTTTGCGGTGGCATAGCTGCTTTTCAGCGTCATCTTGATAAGCGCTTACCGGCACTCGAAATCCTACGCAACAATCTGTGTTTAGCTATCAAACTATCTTTTTATGGGACTGAAGAACTTGAACAATTTCAGTTAGACAACTATTTACTTTCAAAAGCAAACAACATAATCGATCGAACTTTGAAACTCCCTAATAATAATATGAACATAAAATTAATTATCAAAAATTTGAAATAGAGTAAAATTTTATTCTAGGGACATGACTAAGGTGAGCTTACTCTAAACTGTAAAGGAAGGTTAATTGTGTACTTGAACGTAAATAGGAGTAAAATTCGAAATAGAGTAAGATTTTATTCCAGGGACATGACTGATGTGAGCTTGCTCTAAAGGAAGGTTAATTGTGTACTTGAACGTAAATAGGAGTAAAATTCGAAATAGAGTAAGATTTTATTCCAGGGACATGACTGATGTGAGCTTGCTCTAAAGGAAGGTTAATTGTGTATTAATAGGAGCAGTAAATAGGAGCAACGTAAATAGGAGCAGCAAGAGCAGCTCTCAGGGAGCCGCGAGCAGTGTGTGTTGCAAGCCGCTTGACGCAACACTGCAAATGACGAAGTTCGCGGCATCACAACCAAGCACAATTGACCTTGTCCTGAGCAACGCCTCGTGCGGGGTCAGCGCTGTATATACGAACGATACAATTGCGAAATCATTATAGCACATACTGTAAGCAGGATAATTTCGACGGATTTCGAAGTTTATTTTTAGCTTCATTCTAAATTTAAAGGGTTAAATCTTCGACAATTTTTCAAGGAAACATGAATAAAATTCCAGATAAAACATAATGCGAAACACAAAATTTGAGAACGCAACAGCAGCAGCATTTTCCCGGTACCTGCCTAGCAGATATTAGTACGTGTCTGCCGTCCACAACGATCCGAATAGTTAATTAATTTGATTATTTTCTACAGACATAATGCAACTGTGTTATTAAAGAAAAATTATCATTGTGAGTAACTCAAAGGAAAATAATTAATCTGGGACAGGACAGGGAATCTAAACGATCACCAGTGTATTGCTGGCTCCGAGTCTATAGGGATTCCAATTGGAACACTCTGATTTTTCAATACAAGATCCAACATAAAGCAACCGATGTTAAAAACTACTTTCGGACAAGGACTCCAAACATAAATACAAACCAATCTTACGTTTTATTGAACTTATCTTTGCACGTGGAAACAATTTGGGGAAGTGATGATTAGAAATAAATTTTAATTGTTTCCATTTACCGGTGTGCACAAATTTTTTTGATGACCAACAGTGTATACGAATTATTTGAATGTAAAGAGACAGGATTTGATGGGAATCCTTGATAGGACCGACAGATAGGAATCTATCCGAATAAAAATTCTTCATAAGTTCAACGATACACACTATACGTCGCAATTTTCCCACAGAACAAACGTTTCATCAGAAACTCCATGCCAGCAAAGAACGAACAACGGCCTTTCAAGATATCCTTACAAGAATACTGTCATTAGGACTCTGCCAGTAATTAAGCGAACAAAACACATCCATGGAAACGACCAAACGAAAGTGAACTACGACCCTTGAAGCGTCAAGGTCGTCAGGGAGTAGCGGCAAACCAGTTAACGGCCTCCCTAGAGCAGTCAACCACCACGCATGACCTCGCAAGCGACCGACCGAACGCGCTTATCGTACGCGCCTCCAATGGCAGGTCAACTTAGCGCTCATCATTGCGTCACAGCCAAGTTCAAATCAGAGCACAACAAGAACTACAGACAACTTGCATCACTACCAAACGCAATACAAATTAAACATGCAGTTAATGATAATTTACATGGTTCTGCTGAGGGACACGATCCAGTCACTGACTCGAGGCTGTGTTCAGAAAATCAACAAAATGATTTAAGGTATCGAGAGAAGCTGAAAATAAATGGCCGTAACGCACATGCACCTAAGAATGGCAAGCAAAATCGATATATGTTGAAGACATGTAATCGGTCTGAGCTTGACTCATTACACTTTAAAGAGCTAGAGCCTGAATACATGATTTGGCCTAAGCAGCAGGATGAATGCTCCGACGAACTAGAAAATGTAAATATTATGCGTCAACGAATAAATACAGAAGAAGCAATGGAACAGAACCGACTCATTCCATGCGAAACAAATCTACTGCCAACATGGGTGTGGAGTCGAGGAAGATCGATCTGGAACTTTTCGCCGGTATGCGCAGTTATCACACAGTTCCTTATTATATCAGCATTATTAGGCCTGAGTGAATCTGCAAGCAGGTTGTCTGTTTCACAACAGCCACGCATCAGCAGCAACCAAGCGTATTATTTGGCTTGGCGTCCAGAGGTAACGCTGCATAGAGCTGACAGAACTTACTTTGCCGCACCGACTGTCAACTATAACGAGAGGAAGCTGGTGATGCAACAGCAGTACAAGTCAGGAAGGTCTGTTGACGACGTGCCAGCTCGAGACCAGAGCACTCACTACCTATCCAATAACTTTAAGCGCAACATTGCTGACAATACCGGTGTGTCGGACAACGAGCTCCTTTACCCAGTAACCGAAGAACTCCGTACTCAGGATGAAGAAAATGCGCTTCACTACCGTCTGCAAAGAGGTGAGTAATATTTTGATCACGCGAATACTTCCAAACTTACACTTTTTGAAAAGTCTCCATCTTGTAGTCGTTCTCAAAAGAGAAACTCGAGAGCTTGCGCAAATGATGAACCGTCTCGGTTGAAATTTAGAAAAGTTCACTAAAAATTACTGAAACGTTACAAATAATACCCAAGACACAACAATAATAATCGAAATATGAACGCTTGTCAGGAATCAATCAACACACATTTTTCGTCAGAGCGAGAAGAGGCAGCTCGGAAATGGGCGCCGATCGTATGGCTGCATCCCAATGAAATTTTTTTCCCGGGCGACGTGCTCGACTTCCTTCGTCACGTCAATGTCAGGTAAGTGTTTGCAATTAATGATGACAATAAAATTTCAAGGCAGAACCCTTCCACGCAATAAATATAATTAAAATGTCATCTTTGCTCCACATGCCGCCGTATTCACTCTCTCAGCGATGAATTTGTTTCATGTACGACGTAGTTCAGTCGACGATGCAGAGGATGTTGCCTACCTAAGAGAGTTGGAGCTGCCACAAGGTCCAGTCACGGAGGATATGTACCTCACTGCGCCCCTCGACACAGGTGCCAGACAATATCAACTATACATCAATCACTCGAAATAATATTAAGAGTTTACAGAATGAAAGGGTTAACATAAAAGAAGCATGTGACTGTAAAAGTTCCCTCGGAATCATAAGAATCAAGATTACAATTTCAATCAACTTTCTCAGATTTGATGATAGTAATTCATGAGTTTAAATTTATGAGTAAAAACTTCAGTCACTTCAACACAATAACACCTACATTAAAATGTTGCAAACGTTTCAACTTATCATTATTGAATCATCGTTAGAGAATTTATATCAAAATTACCTCGCACATTCATTAGTGGGAGCAACACCTAATTGCACAATTTTAATCATTACAATTGGAGCCGCATACTAGCATCATAATTCAATTTACCGCATGCGAGAGCGTGGAAACCGATTAAGGCACTTTCAATGTTGTTCTTGAACGTAAAAATATGTAAAAATAAATAAAATATAGACAATTTTTTACCGATTTCGACGAGCCAGAGTGCTGCAACTGCCCCTTGCCAGCGTTCCTCCACGGCCAGCGGCCGATCAGAGGCGAGGGCCCGCCGGTCTACGCCCACATCCACGCCTGCTACACGCCCCTCACGAGCCCTACCAGAACCCTACCGGTAAACATCAATACTTGCGTCTTTTCATCACTTAGTAATGAAATTTTAATATTCATGCCTTTTAAATGGGCCTAGATAAATTATCAATTAAAAGTGTAAGGCGAATAATCATAACTTGGAAATATCACTCGATTTTCCAAAGTCACGTGCAAGCAGCGGTCTTGAGACTGACTCGGGTTGAGTGGTTTCTTCGGCGATCGCATTTGCTCTTTAGAAATTGAATTTTTGTTTATCAATTTGAACATTTTTATGATCTCAAAATTAACAAGCAACCTTTTTTCTGCTAAAATTTGAGATTAATCGGCTGACAGTAATCGTTATCTACATTTTCATAATCGGCCATTATCTACATATAAAATATTTGTATTATTTATGGAAAATTTGTAGTAAGAGTGCAGACATAATCCATTTGTCGTGTGTCTCATAACAAATTTCTGCTCGCACGAGGGGATAATAAGGCAATGCTATAAGCTAAAACTCACTATGAACGATTCCAATATTTGTTTCAGATGGAATTATTGCTGGAACCATCACCAGAAGGCAAGCTGATAGAGGCGCGGTCGCTACGCCACCAGATCCAGACCCTGCAGCACCCCTTGCCTAGATACCGTCGCCGCAGACTGCGCGCCAGAGCAAGAGGTCGGCGCAGCATACCCGGTCAGGAAAACGGTGAGACGACAATACTTCTACTCGAACAATATAATTTTGTATGAGCTTATTGGTAGTTCACCGGCTCCAAATTATATTCGATAGATAAAATTCACTGCAGATTTTAGTCCAGAGATTCTTATCTTTATTAGCGGATTTGGGATCGTTATGTTGACTGAGTGTTTGTCGTATTGTTGCTGCTTGAGCAGGGTTCGAGCAAGAGATTGTCCCAGGAGGCGAGGATCAAAGGGCAATCATCAGGCAAAATCGAAAATTAATTTCAGCTCAGGAGTCTACTGTGGCTCAATCATTGGAATCGCCGCTAAAACGCGATGAGGAAGAAGACTCGAGAGTTATTGGGATAAATGTTAACAGTGGTCACTCGGCTGCCAAATTTGATAACGCGCTTAACCAAACTGAACCACCGACAATAATAACTCGTCAGCAAGAAAGTTCAGGCGCAGTCAGAAACACGAATTTCACTGCGGATGCCACTCTCAGTCAGCGCGGTTATGATGCGTCCCAAAATGATTCTGATAATATTAGTGGAAGTAAAGCACAGCTGGACACAGAATCTCCGGCAACTACGCAGCAGCCTTTAAATGGTCCTGCTACAAGTCAACCGATAATAATAATAGAGAACTACTCTCGAACTCATGTACACGAAACTCGTTCTTTTATTGATAACTTAAATGTGAATCATTCCATAAATACGAATGACACTTCATTTAAAGATCCATCAAATTCAACACAACAATTCAAAGAACCGACCCGTCGGCATGCCTCTCTCACGACGGGAACACACGGCCACCACTTCACCATCACGTATTGGTTCTTCTACCCGTACAACCACGGCAAGGAAATCTGCACGACCTCCATGATATTCATCGGGCGCGTGGCCAAGCCATTATACAAAGGCAAATGTCACGGTGAGACCGTCGTCATGGGTAACCACGTCGGCGACTGGGAGCATCTTTCCATTTACTTTGAGGCGAGTACCTCTTCTCAAATTAGAATATTCGAATTAATTTAAGGGGAGCATAGACATTAAATTTATTCTGATTTTCCATGTGCCAAACGAAGCGTACAGAATCTGGCAGACTACCGAAAATGAAATACATGGCGATACACTCATCTGGCATATATCATTTCCCGGCAAACTGAAGTAACTAAAGTACCTATATAGATGCAGCAGCATGGCTTAATCAAGAATGATTTACAGTCATTTGTCAATACCAATGTTTGGATTCATTAACAGGACGGAGAACCCCGCCATTTGTACCTCTCAGCCCACAATTTCGGTGCGTTCTACACGTACCAGCCCGCATGGAACCGCTTCGAATACACAAACCAGGACGTGCGTGAGGGCGTCTTCATGAAGGCAAAATACCCTCGGTACCTGGAGCTCCAGCAAGGCAGACTTGTCGTATACTCTGCTAGAGGCTCACACGGCACATGGCCACACAAAGGTGAGCAAAACCACAAAACCTAGACTCGCTATAGAGCTTCTCTGCAATTCTGACTAATTAGACGCGAAACTTAATCCAGGCGCACAGCACTAATAAAGAACATAATTGAAGTACAATAATAGAACGATACGTGGCAGTCAGCTGTATGAACTTGGACCTCATCATGACAAGATATTAGCAATATACTGTGCATTAACAATATACTGTGCAGGTGTACACCTGTACAACGACGTCATGGTGAGGCTGGAGGACGAGGCGGAACAAGGGTACTTATGGGACACGCGTCACCGGGTGCACGTCATTGACTCCCTCGCCGAGAAGAGGGGAAAGCCCATCGGTACTCACGGGTCAGTAGCTACAGAAACAACTTTATCTAATACTAAGTGCAATAAATACGTGGAATATTTCTAGATTGGGATAGGGATTGTGAATCATATAATATCATAGAATAGGATATCATATTCTCATATCATAGAAGAGATTGCGAGTCATGGAATAGATAAGAGATTGTGAAACAACTACTTGAATAACTCTATAGGCGTCTAATTCACATCATACATTCCTCATTAGTTGCACCTTTAAACAAAACAAAGAACCACTTCGTATCAATTAAAACTTCGTCAAAAATTTAGTTTAAAAAAAGTGGGGGGCGCGCTGCCCCACGTTACCCTATCTACAGAAACAAATTCATCTAATATTAAGTGCAATAAAGACGTGGAATATTTCTCGCCTGTGACAGGGATTGTGGATCACTATCATAACATAGAATATGCTATCATATTCTCATATCATAGAAGAGATTGTGAGTCATGGAATACTTATCTTGTGGATAAGAGATTATGAAACAACTATTACCTACTCCGATATAAGTAGAAGCCATAACGGTAAATTTGTTTTCAGCCTAATTTCATCATATTCAAACAATATAAACAATTATTAGTATTCGTTATATTATCTGTTCTAATAGAAGAAAGGTTTCGTTCTTTCGCGGCTGTGTTTGTCGCCATGACCAAGTTATACCTCTGATCATAGGTTTCATGTTATTCGTTAAAACTATGAATGGCATGCAAAAGTAAAAATTACTTCATTGAAGACGTTAAATGATAAATAAATAAAATACATTATTTTTTTAGCAAATGGTTCGACTTTCGAGGGAAGTGGGGCAACCCGAGCTCGAACTGCCACCCTGGAATGCTTGGATACTGCGAGCTCCGGGACGGTCCTCTGGGCATCACTATGAAGAGGCTCAACTTCCCCTGTCACATTCCCAGGCACTACACGTTCCCTAAACCCTAAACATCACGCACGACTGGGCATCACCATGAAGAGGCTCAACTTACCCTGTCACATTCCCAGGCACTACACGTTCCCTAAACCCTAGACATCACGCACGACTGGGCATCACCATGAAGAGGCTCAACTTCCCCTGTCACATTCCCAGGCAATACACGTTCCCTAAACCCTAAACATCACGCAGGACTGGGCATCACCATGAAGAGGCTCAACTTCCCCTGTCACATTCCCAGGCACTACACGTTCCCTAAACCCTAAACATCACGCACGACAGGGCATCACCATGAAGAGGCTCAACTTCCCTTGTCACATTCCCAGGCACTACACGTTCCCTAAACATCACGCACGACTGGGCCATTTCACTACTCGCCATTTTTTTTTTCTTACGATCGAATTATCGCCTCGGAGTTAATAAAGAAGGGAAGTACGGTGAAATATTAGTCCAGAAACCATAATAATCGCCGAGTTATTAAAGAACTTCAATCTCCTTTTAAAAAATAACAATTCCTAACCCAAGTTAAATCGACATTGTGCTTGTTGACGACTGTAAAATAAGGATCTTGCAAAGCAGCTAAAGACGGCCGCGGAATCACATAGCACTTCTAAGCAAAACGCGACTTTAAAAATCATAAATGGTTTAAGAGTGAAGACATGTAATCACATAATTTATTTATTTTAATGCCTAGTCTTGTTTGACAATAACAATCGTGAAATGATAACTTTTTCTTAGCAAGAATTGATCAATTTATGATAAAGACGAGTGCTTTCACTGTCCAGCTTTGCTTGACTACGTAGAATTAAGCTGTTGAATAATGTGTATATACAATGTAAAACAATTATTTTCGCGTTACTTATTTACTCCCATAAGAATAAGTACTGAAAGAATTACTTTACTACCGTCGTATACTTCAGTTATTGACAGGCGTTGATCTCAACATAAATAAATAAATAAAATAATGCACATAAATACAGGCCAGTCAGGGCCCATACTTTCAAAAAAAGTTAAGAGATCGTAAGTCCATCAGCCAATCATTGACGGCCACGCAAGCAAAATCCACCAATCATAGACAAGAAAATAGAGCGTAAGTACTTACGTTCACTTAGCGAGTTTTGAAAGTATGGCCAGGGAGATGAGCAAGCGGTTGGAAAACTGAGCATAATTTGATTTATTCACTTACCTACAGCTTCTTGTAGAACATAGCGGATATTCACATTCGTAAAATTATTTTAATAAATTAATTTAATTAGATAAGTTAAATTAAGAGGCGAGATATTACAACAATAAATGCGTCATTAGTCAGCAATTTTCAGATTAACCAATTAACTATTTAATTAATTAATTAACCACACAACTTATTGACAGAGTATGTTGCTTTATTACGGACGATACTCGGTTATTAAAACTTACCAGGTCATGGTAAGAGCATTAAATTTGGGCGTCTAATGATAGAGAATAATTCAAGTGTAGATTAGTGCTCTGAGTTCAATTGTAAAAGGTTGCTTGAAGTTTAAGAAGAATAATTCAAAGTAGATCGGTGTTCCGAGTTCAACAATAAGAAGTGATGAACTTCTAACTTAACAGAACATAACATAGTGATCTCGGCGCTGAAGTGTAGGCCTATTGTGGCCTGTCGCCTGATGTGGCCTGTCTAAAATCGTGTCATTTGACCGGATCTTTTCATGACTGACGATAGTTTGAAATAGCTACTCGACCTCCATCAGGTTCGACATGGTGCTTGGCATTTCAAATCTGAACATAACTTCAATTTGATGAACATCACTGACCTGGAAGACGAAGCAGGCAGCGAAGCCCATAGTGTCGAGCAGCAGTCGCGTGATATGCACGACGTGCTCGCGCGAGTACAGCGCTGGGATCACCACGCAGCACCGGAAATTCTGAGCAATTAATGAATGACTAATTCTGAATCACGAATACTTTCTACAGCGACTGATAAGCAGCACAAAGTAATGCAATAATTTGTGTTTTTAAATAAAACAGTGCTTTTAGTAACAAAATATGGTTATTAGGCATTATCAATCGTGCCTACATTTTCGGATAAAATAGCTATTAATGTGTGAATAAACAGACTTCATTAGTTAAAATGGACACGTTGAATATTCTTGGTGATAAAATTTGGATAATAACAATTAGATTTTGCAATTATCTATTCAAATGCATCTTACCTACACTGACACTTCAGTTAAAAAATTACCAGTAATAATATCATGCTGCTTTGATACAACAACATTTCCTATCAACCTTGCTTCTGTGTCCACCCCTACTAGACAGTGCTATCTCCTCCTGGTAGTGAAAGGCATGGCTATGAATTTATATGAGACGATAGCTGAAGTAATGACCTAGTGTCATTATAATAATAGTCATTTTAATAATAGTCATTATAATAATAGTCATTATAATAATAATAGTAATGGTGTGAGGGCAGGTTCGCTGGGTGTAAGTAAAGGAACATGCAGGGCGAATGAGAGGAGGAAGGACGAGTATTTTGCATGTAATTTGGTGTTAAGGAAACTGGTGCAAATGAGAGCGGAATGTGAGGCGCGCAAGATACACACGAGATAATATCTGTAATGATAGGTAAACTACGTACCTACGTGTAATGATGGTATGGCTCTGTATGAGAGAGAGGAGGGTGAGATTGTTGGTATGGAGTATGAGAGTGTGTGCGGAGAGGACTGCAGTGATTGTGAATTCGTCAACTGGAGTTGTGGCTCTGATCTAGAGTGTACAAATGTTTTTGGAGAGCACGTGTTGGCAGAGAAGAAGGAATAGGAGGAGCACACAAAGTCTCAATTATTGAAGAAAAAATGCAAAATAAATTAAAACTAATCATAACAAATATCTTAATTCTGGTTCCTCTTTCAGGCTATGCAAAAGTTTTTCTCAGTCGATAAATCTTGGTATCCTAGTAGGTATTTTAATGGCTAATAATAGGTTCTTAGAATGTCTAAGGCAGTACTAATCTTTAATTAACAATAGGTTGCAGTTAAGATATTACCGTAGCTGCAATCACTAATCAGTTATGAAGAAGTTAAGTGAGTATTTTAGCAGTAAAAGTAGTTGAATGAACAGTAAATAGATGTATGAACAGTAAAAGAAATTGAATGAGTATTAAAGAGATGTTGGATAAGTACCGTAGTAATAATATGCGTTTAAAAATTACTTTTTAAAGACAACACTTCTGAACAATCCAGTGTCTTGGATGTTACACATGTACAATGAATTTCTAATTTTATTTTCAAATATTGAAAAACAAATTATTTTTTCAAATTTTTCTAAGATATCAAAATTTTGCAAATTTTCAAAATTATTTATTCTATCAATTGATTCATGCATTGTCTCTGACTTTATGCAATTGTGCAAATTTTCAGATCAATTGGACAGGTCAAATTGTGTCATATATGGATTATAAGATTTGAAGCAGACAAAATTATTTATTTGAATTTTTTTGATAATGAAAATTTTTTTTACTTTATAAAATTATTTATTCTGTCAATTGATTCATGCATTGTCTTCAACTTTACACAAGTGTGCCAAATTTCAGATCGATTGGACAGGTGGAAGTGTGTTAAATATCCATTATAAGATTTGTAGCAGACAGACAGACAGACAGACAGACAAACAAGAAGTGAAGTTAAAGAGAAGTGTTGTAAAATAATATGCGTTTAAAAATTGCTTTTTAAAGACAACACTTCTGCACAATCCAGTATCTTGGATGTTACACATGTACAACGAATTTCTAATTTCGTTTTCATGTATTGAAAAAAAATTATTCTTCAAATTTTTATAAGATATCAAAATTTTGTAAATTTTAAAAAATTATTTATTCTGTCAATTGATTCATACATTGTCACTGACTTTATGCAATTGTGCAAAATTTCAGATCAATTGGACAGGTCAAATTGTGTCATATATGGATTATAAGATTTGTAGGAGACGAAATTATTTTTTATAAAATTATTTATTCTGTCAATTGATTCATGCATTGTCTCCAACTTTACGCAAGTGTGCCAAATTTCAAATCGATTGGACAGGTAGAAGTGTATTAAATATCGATTATAAGATTTGTAGCAGACAGACAGACAAACAAGAAGTGAAGTTAAAGAGAAGTGTTGTAAAAAGAGGTTCAATGAGCAGTAGAGATTAAATGAGCAGTAAAGAGGTTGAATGAGCAGAAAAGAGATGTTCATAAAAAAGCATGCAATACTGGTTACAATAAACAAACACTAGTAATATTTTTGGAAAAGTAATTTAGGAAAAATGTGCATAAATTCAATTACTTTGAATTCCTTGCGTGATATACCAAGTTTATCTTCTATGGCACAAGACCAGATGGTCTCGAGGTCAGCCATGACCGCAGTAAGGGAGCCTGAGATGCCCGAGTGAGTGTTGAGATCGCCGCGCTGCCATGGGAAGTGGATGTGGTATGGCGCTTCAGGGGAAATGTTCAGAACCTAGGAAAAAACATTTTATCAGCGATCAAAAAAACAAAATGACTGGTTAGGATTTAGTAGATGAATTTGTGTCACTGCTGCAATAGAATCTCCTTTAAATGTTCAAGGAAATCATTGCCTATAATTAATAAAAAAAACATGTAAAATAATGAAGCCACACCCATCATGTTTAACAAACATGGTACCTACCATGGTACCCGAATATTTCAATATTGCATAAATATATCCAGACAAATACAGAGTGTCTAGTTTCATAGTTAACTGAAGCCTTAGGTAATTACTTGATCTCCAATAAGGTAATCTTCTGAAGGATGAAGAAGTGGAGGGCATGGGCTGGAGAACTCATCAATTGTTGGCGTCACTCTTCGATTATGAGCAGCTATTTGCTTCAAAGGTGTTGCATACCTGTTGATATCAGGGAAAATTCTTTCAGACAAACTCCTTTGGAAATTTCAACCAATGAAGTCAGAAAAACTTAGCTAACTTTACAGAAGGAGCTTACATTTTCCCTGCCCTTAAAATTGTAATTAACCAGCATCTAAAATAGGATTTCATTAGTTTGAATCCTTCAATGGAGTCACAAAGAGAACACCCAAAATTCAAAATCAAGGGACACAAAAATTCCAAAGATATCATCAATACAGTATAAGCCAGCTAAAGTCCTGACTTTTCAAGAAGAATAATTCACTTCAAATTCTCACCGTTGTGAGCCATCTGATTTCAGTGAAGCCTGCAAGATGTTGCTGACTTTTATGCGGCATTCCTCAACTTCTTCAAGTTTGTCACTGCTCTATAACCAAAATGATTTAATCATGCTACAGTGAAAATGCTTAAGAGAAAGTAAGATATATACTAGTAAAATTATCTTAATAAAAATATCAGTAAGATCTATAGGTAAAAAATTAGTTAATTGAATTCATAGATTTCTATTGCAATATTTTAGGCATTTTTCCAAGGTTTAAAATATTACTAAAACTATAAAACAATTAGCCACAAGCTATAAATAGGCTAATTTAAATTCTAAATTTAGGACTCATAAGTTTAGCTTTGTTTTATGATGATATTATTATTCATTTAGCTTTGTATTATGATGATATGATACTAATGATAGCATCTAATGAGTAATGAACAAATTGAACATTACGTATATGCCATTATTGGAAAAAATATATATGCACAACATATTCCAAGCATGATTGACAATTTGACATTTCACATTTAACAGTACACCAGCCTAAATCCAGACTCCAGAGCATGGTACATCATACCTACATGTATTCATGTAAATTATCATAATCAACATACCTAGTTAATATTTTGGATTTAAAGACCTAAAATCGGATTTTTCTAAATACCTAAACTGTGTGATATTTTTTTAAGCAACTTACCTACTTATCTACAAGTTACAGGCTTGATTGATATAAATTAAATGAAAAATCATTTATAAAATTCCAGCCTGTGTAACCTGCATTATTAGTAGGTATCAACTTTAATTTTCTGGAGTATGAAGATTCGCAGTACTATGAAGAATATATTCACTCAAAAATATTAGATTTGACATTCTATTATGCTCATTGGAATTTGATTGTTCTACTAAGTTTTTTTAGAAATTCAACTAAAAATATATAGGTATTCTATTTTTTATTATATAATAATTGTCTAAATAAAAATACTTACAATCTTAGTCAGAGGTACAATTATAGGGTCTCGTCTTCTTGCTGAGGTCAAATTAGTATTTCTCAATCTCCGTGCAATTGCATGAAGTACAGTGTAAGGTTGAGAGTCTGACGGGCGTCCCAGCCTAAGATTGCGGCTTCCAGGGTGCAAAACAATACAAGTTCTAGGGTCGACAGGAGCTTGTAGTTGCTTTTGATGGTCATAATCTATTTGCGGCTGTTCAATTTCAATGCATGATGGGCCAGCATCCATTTCATGTTTAAAAATTTCACCGTTGTTTGATGTAATTGAGTCCATACTAATGATACTACTGCAAGAACAATTCACTTAATATTTCAAGCCAAGAGCCAGGATTGCGTCGTTTTACGGAATCAATCCGCAACTTCGTAAGAGTTGATTCTACTTTTGTAAACAAAACCACGCGGCAAATAAAGATTTTTTTAATTGATTTTCAGACTTCGGGTATGATGAGATCACACCTCCCAGTCTGAGCACAACTTGATTTTTCTCTGAGCCTTTCTTTCTCTTGCCAACAGTCGTTCACAGATTAATCTCTAGCTCACTCTCACCAGCCGGTGGTTGTTGTGTAAAAGAAGAGATAAAAGGATTAGTTACTGGGCGTCTTCATAGGGTGTTTACAATGCTGCAGCTTAGCAGGTATTGTCCCAGCCGACGAATTGCCGCTGTGCGTATTTTCTGAGGGATATCTCCTCCACCAAGAGCTGACACAAGGTTCCAAGGAAGTGAAAGATTTTCCAAGTTGGAGCGAAACTCCCGCCTCTGGTTTGTGTAGAGCGAACAATGCAAGATGAAATGATTAATAGTGTCCTCGACATTGCATGTAGGACACATGCTGGAATTGGACAAATTGAAACGAGACAAATGAGCCCTCACGCCGGCATGACCAAGTCGCAGAAAATAAAGATTTGCCCTGATTCGAACACCGAGAATCGACAAAGCTCAGAACTGAAAAGAAGAAGCAAACCCAAAATTTTAAGGAAAGTAATTGTGTTTTTCAGTCACTCTTAGTAATATAATTTTGAATTTTTCACTTATTGTTTAGGGTAGATTTGGAAAAAGGCATTGAAGTTCCACGTCGGAATGTAGTTGGATGTCTCATGTATTGTATTTATATATGTATATAGATGACCGTAACTTGGTTGAGAATTGATTTCTGACTGAATGATGACTGAATGGCTCTAGTTGCAGAAAAATCCTAATATCAAAATTACACAACATAAAGGACCTCACTGGACCAGCAACACTCGGGACCCACCTAGCGTGAGGACAGCTAGCGCCTGGCGACTAACATCCTTTTGAGACCAATCACGATTATTGAACACGAAACCCCATGGCAAACCAAACCCGGGTACGAAAATCGCCTAACACCTTGGTTTGACCAACCAATTCTACAAACAATTCCAGCACCGGGACCAAAAAACCCTTGGCCAAGCACGTCTGTAGATCAACTACGCCTGTGTATCAGGCCTGTATGGTCCTAGGGACCAACCATAACTGTGGACCAGGTATGCCTGGGGACCAACCATAACTGTGGACCCGGCATGTCTGGGGACCACATGCCTGGGGGCTAGCACCCGACCACAAGTAATTATTGCTTGTTGTTTGATTCCGTCTCAGGGGATTTTTAAGACCAGGGTGACAAGAGTTATGCCAATAGGAACAGATTTAAAGTAAGTAGGGCGGCTTGGTGTAATTAATCGGTCAATGACAACAAATTAAAGGTTGCCAGTATTTATTGTTAGCTCACTTGACCTCCTCGATGATGATGGCCACTGGACTAACTAGGAGATGAGGGGACGTGACGATGACGAGGTGTCAGGAGCACGTGGTGATGACGAGGTGTCAGGAGCACGTGGTGATGACGAGGTGTCAGGAGCACGTGGTGATGACGAGGTGTCAAGAGCACATGGTGATGACGAGGTGTCAGGAGCACGTGGTGATGACGAGGTGTCAGGAGCACGTGGTGATGACGAGGTGTCAGGAGCACGTGGTGATGACGAGGTGTCAACCTGTCTCTTATACACATCTAGATGTGTATAAGAGACGAGTTTAGATCTATGAACAAGGCACGAAAAGGAAAAGAATCGGCGACAGGCCACATCAGGCCTACATTTCAGCGCCGACATCATTATGTTATGTTATTACATGGCACGGGCGAGATGAACGAGTGAAGAGACATTATGAGGTATCTGAACGTACCTAATGGCAGTAGTAATGAGTGATGTGACGTGATGATTTAGCGAAGTGTTGTCACGGTAACATTCACAAGTGGAGTGATGAAGCAGCTGAAGGTGCATGGCCAGCAGTCACGAGCTGAGTGGCGATGCAGCTGATCGTGTCTGAGCCGTAGTCTCTAGTGGAGTGACGAAGCAACTGAACATGTCTGGGCAGCAGTCGCGATTAGTGTGACGTGATAAGGTAGCTGCACCCAAGTGAAATACAATTAATGTTGTATCTCACAATTTGAAGCGACGGGCATACAGGTTACCACGTGAGCCCAAGGCTTGACAGAGGAAAAAAATTATGACTTTATAAAGCAAGCTTGCATTTTCTCTGGATCTCATCAGTAGGATGAGAATAATTTAAGTGCTGAAATATCGAAATCTCGCCAGCCAACAGAAGTGTTGTATGAAGCTGTGATCTGATTGTGTGGAACCTGTGAAAGCTGTGATGCCTAAAGCGAGGTGGCCCCGCTATGATGTGCTCTGAAATCTCACTAGATAAACTATCATCATACCTGTTCTGGTAAAAAATCAACCCTGGCGTACAACCGCTATCAGGGAACAATTGCACATTGGCTTCAACCATACCAGGAACAATTAAAGCCTTTGGACCAACCAACCACGGCAAAGACCAATCATGTTAGGATGCACACCATTCCTGTGGACCAAAAGCACATGGCACTTAACATAACTTCAAACGAACCTGACATGGAAGCCCACAAAGCCTGAGAACCAACCACTCCGAGAGGGCAACTATTCCCGAGGTTAGCCCCAGCGAGGAAACTAATCTTATCGTAGCCAACGGGGCACCTACTGGAGGAGCACCAACTTCTCATTTTAGCTCAAATACCCATCCGTCGGTTAGCACGTTTTCAGATAACAAAAAATATGTCTACCTAATTTTTGTCAATTCTTTAAAAAATCGGGTCAGGTTGCGCTCTCGGACCAAGTGACTAAAAGCTTAACCGGCACCAGAGTACTCGGGTTTCAGAATAGATCATTATTCAAAAGAATCTGTCTATGTTTTCTGAATGTTTCAGAAAATTATCTATCAATTAGATCGATCAAAAAACTAAATTTTCTATGACCCGTATACGTAGGTCTGGGATTGCCGGACCTGTTATGGGTCAGCCTGGCAAGAGATGAATTACTTCACATAAATCGACGGGAATTTGGTTTAAATGTTTATAGTTTTCTGGACGTTTTAGACTATTCTCTATCGATTAGTTCGATCAGAAAATCAACCTATTCTGCTATTCAAAACACTGATGTGCTGGTAGGACGATATTCTTTCAAGTAGATTTTAACATCTTGGTACGCAAAATTTAAAGTGTTCTCTACATTTTGAAAGCCGTTCGCACTATCATTAATAGTCAGAACTTCAGAAGGTCGTAAGTTCTTCAGCCAAACGCTGACTGATTTTCAAGCTAAATCCACCTATCACAGACGATAAGTCAGCTGTTACGGCACTTGGCTGCTTCGTGTACCTAAGCGAGTTTTGATAGTACGGCGTCAGATGACTTATGATGACTTAAAATTTATTTGCGTGATTCTAGTCCGGTGCGCCAATGGTTGAACAATGTATATAGTTCAACCGGAACTAGTATAGTTCCGGTTTTAGTCACTTGGTCCGGGTCCTAGTTTTAGTCAGTACCCACATCGATAAATTCAAACAGAAAGTTTACGCGGCCCTCGACGTAATCAATAATCATAGTACCTACGCGGTTCTGTGACCCTCGCAGACCGCAGTACACTACTACTCACTCCCTCGTCCGGCTCGTCGTACATCCTCGCACATTCCTAGAGCTGCTTTGTCTTTTCTTAATATTATCCTATCGGGCCCTATCCCTCCCATGTTTCTTTCTCTGTTAGCATTACTGCATCCGCTAATACTTCATGTATTTGGGGAATTGAGCCCCTCTACACTCTACAGTCTTCCAGACTGTAACGGTGTAACCAGTTAGCCTACTCGAGCATTTTTCAAAAAAATTTGTATTGTATATAAGTAGTAAATCACAATTAATGAAGTGATCATATAGTATGGCCTCATTGGCCTGTATGGGGCCTTGCCGGCATAAGATACAAAAAATTCACTGATTTTTATATTAAAAGTTTACTAGCCTATTTAGATGATAAAAAACATATTGATTGCTCTTTTATGCATGTATTATAATGCATACAAAGGAAGCAGTCAAGATGAACAAAATTAGAGGTACATTAAGTATTTTATGGCAAGATATTTCCAGACCATCCATAAATGAGACATCCACGCTGTATATAAAGAGTCACATCACTCACATTCATATACAACAATAACAACATATACCTAAAAATTGTCAATAAGAATTAGTATTGGTGATTGTTTGTCTGGGTCAATGCAGAGACCAACTTGCTTGCAGTTGCAACTGCATTGGCTCTATGTTCTGTAGCAAAGGAAATACCAAGAGCTTGGACTGCAGTCAAAGTCTGAGAAAGCATCAAGTGGTGAACTATAGGTACGTTAGACTGAAAAACATGGCTTAAATCATAGTACCGCTAACCACTAAAGGCTAACAAACATAGTTACCAAGCGCTGTAGAAATTTACCTTTAGCAGGCATATGACCAAACAGTCACTTCCGTCTTCCATCTCTAAGCATTGGCAGGTGCAGGCGTATGCTCATATATGATCACACTAATTTTTGCCATCTTATTTCACCTTCTTGCATTAATGCATTTGCTTCAAGTAGCTAAGTGGCATCATAATCAGTCAATAAGGCAAGTTTTTAACTATGATACTAGCAACTATCATGGCCTTACCTTACCTACAGTTCTTCATGGCCTAGAGCTGCTAAAGTGAATACGATGAGGGCCCGAAATGCCATTATGCCATTTCTCCAGAGTGCTTAGTTTTTAAGTCAGCTGACACAGACGTAAGAGCACGCCAGAGCACTGCATCATTCATCATACATGATGTAAACTCATACATGGTCTGTGATAGGTTTGAGCTTGTTGGCGGGCTGCCCCAAGCAATGTGGGTGATGTGGGGGCCTTTTTTTTACTCCCATTTTAATTAGTAATTACCATATATGGTAACTTACCTGTGAAAGGGTTAAAATTTTTTATCTTTTTATATTCTTCCCATTCATGATTTTGGAGTCATAAGACCAAATTTTAAATTTTGAGTAGATCATAGTTTAGTTTTGATAGTACGGCGTCAGATGACTTATGATGACTTAAAATTTATTTGCGTGATTCTAGTCCGGTGCGCCAATGGTTGAACAATGTATATAGCTCAACCGGAACTAGTATAGTTCCGGTTTTAGTCACTTGGTCCGGGTCCTAGTTTTAGTCAGTACCCACATCGATAAATTCAAACAGAAAGTTTACGCGGCCCTCGACGTAATCAATAATCATAGTACCTACGCGGTTCTGTGACCCTCGCAGACCGCAGTACACTACTACTCACTCCCTCGTCCGGCTCGTCGTACATCCTCGCACATTCCTAGAGCTGCTTTGTCTTTTCTTAATATTATCCTATCCCTCCCATGTTTCTTTAGCATGTTAGCATTACTGCACCCGCTAATACTTCATGTATTTGGGGAATTGGGCCCCTCCACAGTCTTCCAGACTGTAACGGTGTAACCAGTTAGCCTACTCGAGCATTTTTCAAAAAAATTTGTATTGTATATAAGTAGTAAATCACAATTAATGAAGTGATCATATAGTATGGCCTCATTGGCCTGTATGGGGCCTTGCCGGCATAAGATACAAAAAATTCACTGATTTTTATATTAAAAGTTTACTAGCCTATTTAGATGATAAAAAACATATTGATTGCTCTTTTATGCATGTATTATAATGCATACAAAGGAAGCAGTCAAGATGAACAAAATTAGAGGTACATTAAGTATTTTATGGCAAGATATTTCCAGACCATCCATAAATGAGACATCCACGCTGTATATAAAGAGTCACATCACTCACATTCATATACAACAATAACAACATATACCTAAAAATTGTCAATAAGAATTAGTATTGGTGATTGTTTGTCTGGGTCAATGCAGAGACCAACTTGCTTGCAGTTGCAACTGCATTGGCTCTATGTTCTGTAGCAAAGGAAATACCAAGAGCTTGGACTGCAGTCGAAGTCTGAGAAAGCATCAAGTGGTGAACTATAGGTACGTTAGACTGAAAAACATGGCTTAAACCATAGTACCGCTAACCACTAAAGGCTAACAAACATAGTTACCAAGCGCTGTAGAAATTTACCTTTAGCAGGCATATGACCAAACAGTCACTTCCGTCTTCCATCTCTAAGCATTGGCAGGTGCAGGCGTATGCTCATATATGATCACACTAATTTTTGCCATCTTATTTCACCTTCTTGCATTAATGCATTTGCTTCAAGTAGCTAAGTGGCATCATAATCAGTCAATAAGGCAAGTTTTTAACTATGATACTAGCAACTATCATGGCCTTACCTTACCTACAGTTCTTCATGGCCTAGAGCTGCTAAAGTGAATACGATGAGGGCCCGAAATGCCATTATGCCATTTCTCCAGAGTGCTTAGTTTTTAAGTCAGCTGACACAGACGTAAGAGCACGCCAGAGCACTGCATCATTCATCATACATGATGTAAACTCATACATGGTCTGTGATAGGTTTGAGCTTGTTGGCGGGCTGCCCCAAGCAATGTGGGTGATGTGGGGGCCTTTTTTTTACTCCCATTTTAATTAGTAATTACCATATATGGTAACTTACCTGTGAAAGGGTTAAAATTTTTTATCTTTTTATATTCTTCCCATTCATGATTTTGGAGTCATAAGACCAAATTTTAAATTTTGAGTAGATCATAGTTCATAGATGAGGAGATTAAAAATTAACTGATTCTAAAAAATCTGTGGTTTCACTGGGTTCTACTGTTCTGCTTTCTGGTTTGTCACTATCACACTATGCAGAAAGGTAATGGCTATTGCCTGCAGCTGAGGCTCTTATCAATTAAATTGTTAAATCCATGCTCTGTTTAGGGCACAACTGTTTTATATCCTCTCATTTTAACATTCCAGATAGAAAGGAACATATTGTGAAATGGCTGTTTTGAGATCAATTTGCTCCTCTAATTCTGAAGAATTTATGAACTGTTGTCTGGAACCATCTGTATGTTATAATAGTATATCATGTATCTTAGATAAACTGATCTCTCAACATTGCTCACTCAATCAACCTAGTTCTGGCAACAAAGTAATTTCTCCTACTGCGGGGCAGCAAAAATTGAAGTTCAAGTTATATGAACTTCTCCTAACACATCGAAAAGGTAAGATTCTGATTTCTGAGGTAAGGGCTATATTTCTATGAAAGACTTTGCGTGGTTATGGTCTCTGTAAAAAATGTGCACTTGCCTAACTCTGAATTTTTTATGATAATGTGATTGTGAGCTTACTGATTTTTAAGACAAAAACCAATTTACTAAAATCAACCATTATTTTTTTTTAGCTCTGAATACATTTGCCATGTTGTCTACCTATTTGTAAAGCTAAGTTACTTAGTTCATCCTAAAAAATGAAAGTTGTCTAAGTTTCCACTAATAAGAAGCCAATTAGAACTTATTATGGTAGGTATATATTATTTATCTTTCAAGCTTTTTAAATTAGGATGAACTTTTAGCTAATCTTTCCTCAATTTTCAGTGAGAGGGATTTTTTCATAGCTTGTTTCCAAAAATTATGATACCTGTATGCAAGTCATTAATTACCTCAAGTGGAATTGTCCAATGGCCACAGCATGGAAGGTTTTTGTTCATTCGCTTGTTGCTTCCAGTTTGAGATTAGATCTTCTTATTTTATCATGAGTACCTAGCTGCTATTTTTATTTTTTGCCAAAAATCTTTGCCTTAATGTCAAACCCCAAAATATATACCTATATACTCTCCTAGCTGTAACTGTATTTTTCAAGTCGTGAGTTGATAAAGTCCTAATGGCTCAGCATTCATCTTATGATTCTTCTATTAGTGCTAAAATAATTTTTAGGCTGGAGCTGTAATGGTCATTTATTTATTTAGGCAGTATTATCCCCTGATTCTATGATAGTGCAATACAATGAGTCTTTGTGAACTCAAATTCAATTGCCTTGCTAATTTCCCATCAATAATGGGTTTCTATTACAGAGAGCAAATCAACAGTATGCATCACGGACAGAATCATCTGGCTCAGCTGTCAACTGGCAGGCTCGGGTCACAGTGATGGTCTTCATAAAGCTCAAGCAATTGATTCATGTCTTAAACTCTTGGAAAGTTATGGTAAGCTTAAAGCAGTCTATGTAGAGAAATTTTTCCAATATGATACTTTAGAGTAGGGTCCATTTTTTGTGTAGTAGATTGTGACTTATCTAAGGAGATGCACTGAAAAATTTGCAAGATTAAATTGCTGAATATTTTTAATTGGCCTTAGTTGTGCCAGTAGTTTGGTGTAGTGATACTATATAAATATATATGCTAATATAGGTACAACAGTACATAAGAATGAGAGAATGCAGATATGATGCAAACAGTAGGTCATGAAGTGATTAGGTCTTTTCATTGAATTCTAATTTCAGGTTCAGTTGGCAAGGATGGTGTGGTTGATGCTGTCCTTAGTCTCTTACTTGCCCTTGCTAAGCCTGATGGAGGAGAGAATGGCTTAACACCCACCTCCCACTATGACTCGTGTCATGTCACACGTACAACTCAAGTTATGCATGGACCTGATCATGATCCATTATTTTATGACAAAATCATAAAATTACCTGATTACTCAAAGAATGGATTTAGTGGCCATAACTTAGCCAAATGGGAACAGTATGATTCATTTTTCCCTTGTCTTAATGTTGATGTTGTCCACAATCTACATAAATCCAAATTTGATGATAAAATTATTGAATCTTTCAACAAACATGGTAGTGCCAAGCAATCTAAACATGGAGCAAGGAAAGCAACTAAATCACGCTCAAATAAGGTGTCAAAATTTCATAAAGATCAGAGAAGAGAAATCATAGAAGCAAATTCATATCATGACAATTTACCAAAAAACGAGTTAGGCTGGATGAAGTTATGTTCTGGACTGCCAGGCTGTGGGATCAGCCACTGGTTCTTTCCTGAAGACAAAGTGAAGCCTGATGTCAAGAAGTAAGCAATACAAACATAATGGTTGATGAAACTAGAGTTGAGCTTTACTTTGATGGCTGTGTAAATATTCCATGTTTCTGTTGAAACTTGAAATAAACACTACCTATTGATGCTTCACAGCTTTGGTTTTGTTGTTTACAGGATAAATTAGTGAAATAATTTTCTTAGTTGACTAACATTCGTTCCACAAAGTATTTGGATGCTTATTAATAGTATGTATGTTTTATTTTTCAATTTTCATGAAATTTGTAACTTCCCTTTTGAAGAGAAATAACAAAGTTCGGTTATAACGTTAATCTGCTGATAATGTTGAATTATATTTTGGCTCAAAAGTTTATGTTATGGTAAAAGTCTGATTTTCTTCTCATCAGCTGCCTCGGGGCAACAGTTAGTGCCATCCATCGAGACTTGAGTCCTTCCTCTTCTCGTCTGACTGTACCACGGCTGCCTGAAGATGGCTCCTCCCCCATCATCATTTTTCCTTCAATGCACTTTGCCAAAACCGAAGCCCAAGTTCTCCCTGTGAATGAAGCTATTTCTTAAATTGTTCATGCCTATCATATGATCGTTGGATTATATTTTTAAAACTGATTAAAAAGTAAAGCACTGTCTTAGAGAATACTTGTACAATTCTTCAAACTAATTTCATTAACAATATAAATAGTACCGGTACCTCTAGATGTTTCTCTGAATAATCTTGTGCGCTTGAAACAATTCTTCCTATTATTATAAATCTATTAACACATTAAGTGCGGCTACATTATATTCAGGGCGTATTTCATACTGGTGGTACCACTCACTGGTCGGTCGCGCCTCACTTAACGTGTCAAACTAGTAGCTTGTTTTAAACATTCAACTAGCGATGCGTTTATCAGGAACGGCAGAAGCCCTCCAGCAGCAGCAGCATACACAGCACAGACGAAGGCTACAACTCGTCTCAAGGAAGCGGTCGCTTCTCTCCCGATGTCGGCGATGTCGTAAATGCTTTCCACACTCCACAACATTGTCCCTGTGACGGAACACGGGCTTGTCTCAAGTGCGATCCCACCGCCGTGTGGGAGGAGGTTGCTGAGCAGCGACTCTCTCTCGGTGGATGCCGGCCAAAGACATGGGAAGAATATCAGATAAAACTCCTGCAGAGACAAGGAAATGTTAGGAAGAGGAAAGCTGACCGTTTGATTGAGGAGCTGCATAATAAAAAAGATCTTCCGTCCATAATCAATGCTGGAACTGCAACTACACACAAGTCAGTCTGGTGTATTCTAATCAAATTTCAATGTAAATTGAATTTCATCAATTAGTCATTTTCTCTTAGGTTGATTCTAAAAACTTTTGTTTTTTCTATTATATAACTTTTCTAAGTTAAGAATGAACATACTCTTTACAATAATTAATAATTATCTAAGTTTTTACCTGAATGCTAACTAACCAAATCATTATTTCAAGTTTCAAATGTGTTTTGTTAATTCATGAAGCGCAAGTAAATATTTTTAATTTGCAGTGTCTGGTACGAGCTGCAGGCGCGCTGGCGCCTAATTCTGCCTCCGTCACCACACCGCGGTGCCGCCTCAGTGCCTGCCGTGCCCAGGAACACAGCATCGCCTGAACGTGTACCCAAGTTATGTGTTGTGTCATCGTCTCTGTTGTGTCAGCGTGTGCTGTATGCCGTCATCGGCCTACCATCAGACACTTTCCTCTACAATGTTGTGAGTCAAGGGGACTGGTTAGAAAGAAGAAAGCAGACAATTAACAATATCTTATCAATATCATTAGCAATTAGCAATATGATTATCAAAGTTTCTATTATCAAGTATTGTTGCTTTCCTGGTGGGTTATTAAATGGGTCTAAATGAAGGAGAAGACAAATTTTTCGCACTTGTACAATTAGGCTAGCATATGGATGTTCCTTGCCAAATATTTTATTTGCAACGAGTGATAATACCTCATGATATGTAATTAGAGTACTACACGTTTCAACATTTATTAATTTGTACTTTATGCCTGCAGACTACGGAGTGTTTTTCAGTGACCCGTGGCACTTGTTACAATGGGGTTACTCCTGAAGCTTTACTACCAATGCTCAAAGAGTTCGCAATCACTGCAACACATTATCGCAGGTAAACTTTACTCTGCTTAAATCCAAATCCGCTTTAATAAATGTCGTCCTTCCATAGCCACTTAATGTGTGCTAATTTAACTTTCATATGCATTTATGAATGTTTGATTTGCATCAAAGTTATGCCTTTGGATATTTAAGTTAATGGTTATGTATGAAATGATAGAAATGTGTTGCCTGTATAAAATCGATATTACTGTCAAAATTGATGCCTGCTTAAATAAATCCCTGACTCCACTTGAATTTATATTATAAATTTTCAATGAGATTCTGTATTTTTAGCCATTAATTTTTTGTACTATTCAGACTTGAGTTGCTGTGTGAGTCGTTCAGCAGTCGCGGCTGCAGAAACAGTTCTGATGATGCCATCTCTGCTGCGTTCATAACATCACTTCGCGCTCTTCTCCACAATTTCCGGTGATAATATCCACTAACAACCTTCCACTGTGAAATAAACTCACTATTATAGTTAGGCGGCTATAAATCTGTGATTTTAATGTATGCAATCACATTCTCGAGCGCAGAAAACTATCAAATAAATTTTCCCTTTTTTTTTGTTTGTCAAAGTTCACTTCAATCTATTAATAGACACTTTTCACTGTCATCAACGTTAACATGATAATCAAGGTTTTCTGGTAAAGTATCTTAAGTTAACTCCACTGAACTCTGAAAATTATAATAAATATTTACATTTTTATATGTAACGTATTCTATTTTTAGGAGCAACTTTAGGAAATAATTAAGTTTAAATAGTTTACATTTTAACACTTGCGTAAACAGTGTCATGTTCAGCTATTTGCTTATTATTATCTCTGTATTTCAGGGGCGAAATATTGCAACTGCTGGGATGTGATCACTTCCTCCAACTTCGAATGTCATTGGATGACTATTTGCAGCGTGTAAATTTCCTGGCTCGTATTTGCTTCATCAGCGACGATCAAACTTCGTCCTTCTCAAATAAGTTGACGCATCATGACGACCTTAAAAGCTTTACTCCTACTGCTACTGAAGCTAAAACTCCGGTTGACGATCAAGGTCTAATTTGTAGTGGTAAAAGCACTCGTAAGTCATACAATAAAGAAAATAGCTCGGATTCCTGCATCCAAACAAAGAACGCACAATGGCGGTTTGGACTGCCTGGAGGCTTGAGTTTGCTGGGTTCTCTTCTCAATGAACTCGTCGAGCCCTGTTCAAAATCTTGCTCTGTGCTGCTGCTCAGACTACTTGCTGCTGCCGCTCAGCCGTTTCTCAGGTACCTTATTCATGTCCTGAGTTTCTGTGAACTCATTCAGTGCTATTTTCAGTCATGGATTGAGCTGATAAAGATGTTATTTGGAGTTGAAGCATTTGAACACCACTTACGCGTTCATCTGGACTCACGGTCACATGAGTCAAGCATCAGTCCAGCACTCACCATTAACTTTTGCCTTTCCCATCAGGAGTCTAGAGCGCTGGGTGTTCGAAGGTATTCCCTGCTCTTCTGTGGTCTCCGTCAACCACGAAGCGCTGAGTTATAAAGACCGTCGCTTCTACTCGGAAGCTTTCAGTGTGCCTCGTGGCGGCATAAAGAACGGTGTTCCTCAGTCCCCAGTTCCTGCTCTCTTCACTGAACTCCTGCACTCCGCCCTGGGAGCCGGCAAGGATATGAATTTCTTGAAAATTATCGAGCCGCAGGTAAGCAAGGATATATACAATTACTAGATGTGCTCGTAATTTTATAATTTAGATATTAGTGCAGTGTGCAACTTTGATGTTAACGTTGATTAGTGAGTTCGTAAATACATTCTTTATTGTTATTTTTTTTGCTGTTGTTTGCTGTTGTTTGCTGTTTGCTTGAATAAAATATCCTGCTAACTTATTCTGAGGAAGAGTTGGTGTTCTGGTGTTCAAGTGTTGTTCCATCAGTCGTGAGAACTGCCGATGTTATTGCGTTTGGCTCCTAATTAATTGATGTGGTTAGTCATGCCATTTGCTCCCCATGCGTGTGATCTTAAACCTGATGTAGTCACCCTGTACCCTTTGTCTTACCTAGAACTACCATTAATTTTACACCAGTCTCTCATATAGATCTCTGTAATCCTTTAATAACTTAACGTGCAATTATCAAGAAGCTTTACTTGCAGCACGCGCTCGTTCGTCGCCTGCGCTCCGCCCCCAGCCTGCGTGTGTGCGTGAGGGCAAGGCAAGTGGGCGGTGTTCGGAAGCAGTGCACTGCGTACGTGGCGGCGGTGCAGCGAGTGCTGCGTGTCCAGCAGGAGCTGGTGCTCTCACGAAGGACTGAGTTGGCTCATCGCAAACAGCAGCAGATGGATGACTCGGTCAAGGCGCGACGGCAGGCAGAAACTGACAGGCAAGGTATGTGTCAATCGTTCTGAAGTCTCATTCAATGAGGATACTTCTGATTGCTATAAAAATGAATAGCGCTACCTATATTAGAAACAAGAATATTGGTTGAGGAGTTGAGTAACATCAAATGAAAGTTGAATGATCATCACACGACTGTATAAATGATATTAATTATGTTAGTGAAAAAAGAGGATAAGAATCGAGTAATATTTTGGTCGTTCATTGGGATCATATGTGAACACAGACGCCGCGGCGGCTGCACTGCGGGAGCGGCAGCAGCACCAGCAGGCGTTGATGGCTGCCATGCGTGCGGCGGATGCTGAGGCAAAGAACGTGCGGGCCCGGGAACTTCGAGCTCAAGAGGAGAAGGAGCTGCAGCTCGAGCAGCAGTGGCAACGCCAGCAAGAACAGCTGCAGCTCCAGCACCTGAAACTCAAGTGAGATGATAAAGTTACTTAGCTCTGTTTATTCCAGTCTTAGTATTATCATTCTGAAATGTTCCTCTTTGTTCCATTTATATATTAAATATCTTAGCATGGGAATTCAAGCTCGGATTTATCTAACATTTATTTTATTTAATTTTATTCGTTCTTTTTAGAAGAACCTTATCTGACATTAGGTATCACTTTCGTATGAATTTTAAATTTAATTATATCAATTTATTCAACCATGAATTATTCTGACAAGAATTCAGGCTACTGATCATATTATATTTTATGACGTACTAAACGGTTCGTTTTTGCCCCCCCACCTCTTAGGGATGCGGTAGAGAAGTTCTACGGAAATTTGTCAGCCGTAACAGATTCCCGGGACTCTGACCACGACCGTGTGAGGGCTCAAGAGACACGTGCCCATGCGCTCTCTAAAGAAGAGTCGGACGTTGTCCTGCCTGACGATGACAAGAACGCGTCGGACTGCAGCGACTCCGAAGAGGAAAGTCCTTCTGACGTTACGACCGTAGTTCGTTTGCAGCACCAGCTGCAGAAACAAACATCCTCGGACGATGTTGAGGACAGCCTGGAAAACACTGCACCGGCCGACGAATTTCGCCAGAAAGTTGACGGAGATGGTGCTGTAAAAGTAGTACCTTTTGACTCCATGGGAAACCTCGATGAGAAATTAAATAAAGAACTCGAGGACGTTTGTCCTGAATTAGTGCAGAACTTGGGAAAAGATGACGAAGAGCCTCTTGCTGCCGACGCAGTGGCAGCAGACAATTGTACAGATTCAGAAGCCGCCATGACAGCGTCAGCCATGAGCACCTCATCTGACGCTACTGCTGGAGGCGATGCCCTGACTGACCTATCGCCTGATGGTTGTCCTGATGACGAAAATGACACCAATAAAGTTGGCAGAGAAAAAGAATTCTTGTCGTGGAAGGAACTCTCCCGGGACGAGTCATTGAAATCAGCCTTGGCTCAGGACACACAAAAAGAAGCTTTGCGTAACAAAAATCGTTTCATGGAATCCAATGTATTTTCAAATGCCAACGAAGAATGTGTCCACAATAATCGAAATACGCGTAAAGATACTATCAGCTCAATTTTTTCTGACGATTGTTCAATTGATTTGAATGTTAACCAGATTAGAGTTAAGACCGTAATTGGCGAGGAAGCTGCTGCAATAAGGAAGAAGATACTAGAACAGGAATATGGATTGATCATAAGTGACGCAAATGCAAACTTGAACGTCAATGAATCTGTGGGCACAAATATTAATAATTTGAATGCCAGAGCAACAGAAGAAGCTGTCGATGTGGAAAATAATGAATGCACTCCTCAATATAATTTGAATTGCGAAGACAATCCAGGGACACAAGTTGAAATAAAGTTAACGTCCCTAAAAGAGAAAACTTCCGAGATGGATGAATATTTGCACAACAGACTTGCTAATGCAGAGAACAAGAAAAAAATGCTAGATCAAGAGTACGGCTTATTCGAAACAGAAGCAATCCTAAACCATGATGTTGACACTCTCGCCAATGTTGCATTTGGGAACAAGGGTCGTGATGTAGCAGACGACCCTTTTGAACCTACAAGTGCTATCTCTGACCGCGGTTTTGATTCTGAATGCCTAAGTGGCATCTCAGATCAAATAAAAGTATCTGATTTGACTCAAGAAACAGCTGATGGTTCTCGTAGCGATCCAAAGCCATCAGATTCTCTGGAATTGGATACTGGGAGCGTAGCTCGGTCGTCAGCCACCGTCATAAGCAAGGAAGAAACTTACAAACTAATCATCCCCGTAAGCAACTCGCCTCTACAAGAGGAGCAGGAGTCTCGAGACGAGCAGGAAGAAAGTCTTCATGGCAGCGGCGTGCCTGAGGTGCGTATGAAACGTCGAGGTGTTTTAATGCGAGTTTGTTTGGCCTCATTGTCTCACGGCAAGTGTGATTGTAACACTGAATTTGGTTTTAATTACTCTCACTTTAGCTCTCACCATAATAATAACTTGCATTATAAACATTATGATAATTTTGACAAATGCACCTTACGTCCACTGCTATTTCTTATGAAATCCTGCATATCACTCTAAAATATAAAAATTTATTTTAGAATTAAAGAATACTTCTGGCTTCATATTCTGAAGAGGGTAATAAAGAGACATTCATTTCTGTCTAATGATAGTAACGGACGACACGTGACACTTGCTATCATTTACTTTTCATATTATTTCTCGCTCCACTGCTCGGGCCAATTACTTTTCTCTGTGATGACGCACCACCACTCACGAATGCTTTATTCATCGTGTTGAGTGCAATAATGTCTTACATTCACCCTTCACTTTTTGCTAAACTCACTATACATGTTTGTGGCTGTGGCAAATTATCCGCTGGTCAAGTCGTAATGCCCGATTAAAAATAATCACGAAGTGAGAAATCTTACGACGATAAGTGAGAACATCGTGATTATTTTTGGTTATCCAGCCCTGGGTTGATGATTGCACCAAGTTTGTGTGTGCAGTTAAATTCACTAACGTGCCTGTACAGGAAAATGCAGCACCGCCCATACGATCACCTTTGCCCCCACACTCCCTCTACTTCGCACTCTCTCTCAACGGTAAGTCGCAACTTGATGATTATGATTATGTGACGATTAATAGATTACGTTTTAATTTATCTCTTTTTTGTCGCGTTTTATAGAAAGTTAATGTTTATTTGGAGTCATGATCATAGTATGTAAGTCGCTATTGCCCTCCAGTATGGTATAACATTTTCATCTACTTATTTTCATCTACCGTTTACACAGATAAAACGCCTCTTTTGGACATCCTCGGTACTGCTCTCAATGGGCACCCATCGCGATGCTCGTCTGCCGTAGGCGAGAAAAATCCAAGAAATTTGGAATCCTCGACCCAAGACAAGTTTCAAAACTACGATGAAAAATCGGACTTCTCTTGTTCACTCGTACCTAAGGAAGCCGAAGAATTTGGACCTTCAGCTGCGAACGTTGATCAATCTCCTGTTACAGTAAACAATAATGCATCGCTACTTTCGGCAGAAAACGCGGACATTGAACCTAAAACTTTACATGGCACCAAACACAACTCTGGTTCGGACGACAGTGACCATAAAAATAAAGATGATAAGAACGAGTTAACTCTATTGGGCGTGTCAGATGATGAAGATGCAGATCTGGTGCCAGACGGCAGCTTGATGACCGTGCCCGTGCACATCCTACGAGCGCTGTCGCTGGTCGTAAACACGCAGTGAGTTTCCTTGTTACGTTTGTTTACTTTTATTTGCCAGATTATTTGTCCAATAACACAGTGAGAAATTACGTGATCCACTCTGTTTCGTCCATTATTTATTTTCTGGTCAATGTCTTTGCGGTGACGGTTGAGAATTTTACTGCCTTCTCAAAAACAAATAAAAATTAAAAATCTGCAGCCCTCAATTGAGCATATAATTAATTATTCCTCTTCCGATTAATATACGATTCGAGGCCAACATAAGTGAAGAGACCACATTGGTTACAATTGTTTTGTTCGTTTGGTTTAGTAAATAATTTACGGATACACATCTTACCTCATACATGTGACTGTGGGATTAATAAATCGCTGCTGTGTTCAGGTTGTCGGTATGCGGTCGTGCTGCAGTGCTGTCGTTGCTGCACACGCACGGTTTGCTGCACGACTTCACTGCCATCAGGGAGTGGCTGCTGCTGCAGGACGCTGCATACGCCGCGTCTCTCACAACCGCGCTCACGAAACATGTCAGTTCTGCACCGCCTCGTTGCAGGCGTATAAATACCGGTATTTATTTTATTGACTTTTTAGGTCTCAGTCTAGATGCTTCAATCATCTATGTATTTTTATAAAGATGATAGAATCTTGGTGTCTAGAATCTTCTATCACTTCAAAATATATATAATTATAAGTCTATAATCTTCAATCACTCAATTAATTGAAAAATATCTGTTGATAAAGAGAATAAAAAACACACGTCTGGATGAATTACAAAAAAAAAAGACAGATTCACGGAAATCAAGGTACATACGCGTTTGGATTAGTAAGAATCGTGATTGCAATAATGAAGCCAATATATTAATGTTTTCCCTTACGATTTGATACTATAAATGTGAAGCTTTCTTCAGAAGAATCTAAAGTTTCAGTTATATTTCAGCAAGAGTCCGGCAAACTTCCTGTGACTGTGTTGACCCCCATGGTGCTGAACAGCGTCATCAGCAGCGCTCTGGCTGAGTCTGCTCGCGGTAATTCAGCACGAGCTGAGCAGCTCTCCTTCGTGCTGCTAGAAGGCGTTTCTCCACCGCCGTCTTTTACTTACGCAAGTGAGACTGCATGTCGTGAAATAAAGTAATGAAGAAAACTAAATTACCTGAAGATGAAAGTACCGATATTCCGATAAACTTTTTAGTAATTTATTTTAAATCATTCCATTACAGTTCCTGACCGCAACAGGGCTGAAATTTAGAATATATAGCAACTTGATTTGAGAATGCATTCATATTATACTTGGCGTATAATATAAATTATGTCATACTTCTGTATACAAAGTATACAGAATATGCAAAGTAAATGAAATATACAAAGTATTCAGTATATACTGAGCGCAACAAAGCGTTGAAATGTAACTTGGTAACAGGCTCCATCACGTCGCTGGTGCGGCTGCAGTACCGCGTGTCGTGGCCCTCGTGCGTGGTGCTGACGCCTGAACTGCTGCAGGGCTTCTCACGCGTGTCCAGCCTCCTGCTGAGCGTCCACAGCGCCCTACACGCCGCCGATGTCATCTTCTCTCATGTCAAGCTCTTGGGTGAGACTCGGTGAAACCCATCCTAGGTATAAAGAGAATTATAGTTATGCTTCTTTTTTTAGATTGGGTGAATCTATTTTCTGTATAAAGAGTTCATGCGTTTCGACTACATCGGTCAGGATTATTTATCAGGATTGTTTAGTAATGATTTTTTTTTTTTTTCATTTTTTTTTTCTAGCTTGTATCTCGCAAATGAGGCGCTCCATCATGCACATTAATTCTCTTCCACTATAATCTTCCTCTACGATCTTCAACATGTTCAGTTTTAAGCGATGTTCGTTTATTGACATTTCTTGCTTTCTCATTTCTCTCTTGGCAGTTTTATTGCACTCGTGATTTTGAATTTTATTCCACATCAGCATCTATTATTTACATTTATCCCCCTGGTGTACTAATTCCCGAGCACAATTCCAGTCTCGTAAGTTTCCTTCACTCTATGTTATGTTGTGCTGCAGGTCGGCTGGAGGGCCGCAGGTTGACGCGCAGTCCGCAGTTCCACGCAGTTTGCCTGCAGCGCCACAACATCGCGCATTTCTTGCGCTCGCTGCACACCTTCCTGCATAGCCAGGCGAGCTGCCTCTTTCATGCGTCTGCCACATAATTTACCTTAAATTATTAGTTTATTGGTCATATTTTGTTTATGGTTATTGCCGAACTCGTCTAACAAAAGTTTGAGTATTTTTAAAAACTTGGCTATTCATTAGAAAAGTATAACGAGTCGCCACAGATATAGAGGAAATTATTTAGTCATGTTTGGAATTGGAGAGAAGCTTTTCGATGACAAACGTTCTAATGACAGCAGCGAGCAGGGTAATATTATGCCGATTGGACGAACACTGCTAAAAATAAACGCAATTAATCTTCACGTTTTATAACTAATCTCAACAGAAGAGATATCAACGACTTGCGCTATTTTGCGCAATTAAGAATTAATATTACAATACATAAATAAGCTAGACAAGAAATTAACAGAAAGGCAGTTGACGCTGACAATGATAGCGCAAGGCTTGCACAGGTTTTGAGTGTGTGTGGTGGAGGTGATGATGAAGACGATGCTGCTTGTGATGCCCTCGTGGGTGACTGCTCTTCCATGGACCAGCTCAGCGAGTCTCTGCACGCATCTCTCACTGCTCTGTCTAAACGGTCTGTTACAAATGCATCACATACCTTGATTATCATAATACTGTTTGCCAAGTTTATTATTTTCCTTAAAAATTATTATATTATTATTATTATTTCGCATTTTTTCGCTTAGATTTGTGGTTAATAAACGTTGGCCATCTCTTGCAAAGAGATGGCCAACGCAGAAAGCAGCAGAGATGGCATCATTGGAACTTTAATTTGCAAAGAAGTTCATTTATTTGAATGAATTCAATAACCATAATATTGTTGACGTTTTTAAATTGAAAGGATAGCATAATATGTGAATATATCCTCGAAGACAATTTAATTTTGTTTTTATAAGGCCGAAATTCCACGTATAATTCATCTTCTTGACTTGAACCTGCAGGTGTTTCCTGAGCTCCAAAGCCTCGCCTGTGCTGGCGCTGCTGCAGAAGCTGCTGAGCCTCGTGCATCTATTCAAAGCGCAGCTCATGGCGCACAACTGGATCTTGCAAGTAATTTCTTAACAAACAAACGCGTATTTTAACTAACTATTCATTCATTAAGTTCCAGCTACTGATAATCAATGTTAAGATTGTTGCTTGGGGTATTCGGTGGCATCAGTATTCGGTGGAAGTGTTATTTTTGTGGTGATAGCGATTCTTATGAACTTCTCTGACAAAATTATTCAAGAATCATGTGTTGGTTCTATACGTTTTGTCTCAACTAGGTAGATGCTGGATTTTCACTCCTAGTAGTTTTTTTTTAATTTAGTAGATCTCTTAGCAAGACGTTTTAAGTATGCTTGAGTAATAAAACCTTAGAGTAAATTTCCACTTCAACTATTCGCTGATAATTTAGTTTTGACTAAGAGATTTGCTATAGTAATTTTGGCTATTTCATTAATTTAACTAACTCAAAATTCAGTGGTGTTACCAATGAGAGTGTAATTTCTACCAGGCCACCGACTCAGGCGGCTCTGAGTACCGTCACAGAGCATTCGCTTCCCTCCAGTCCACTCATTCAACGTTCCGCTCCAACGCTGCCATCTTCACCAAGCGTGAGTTCTTTTTTCGTCCTTTTGACCAGCAAATAATTTCAGTATTGTAATGTGTTACATAATTATCTTGATTCAGTCACGATCTGAAGTCCAAAAAATTATTTATTAAGTATCGATGTTTGTTAACTAGCCAGTTTCAACAATTTTGAAAGTGCAATAACGCTGTTACATGTTGTTATTGAAATATTTTATGTTATGAAGTTTAAATGCTTGTTTTCCGTACCGTTACCTTCCTTTTGATTGAAACGTTAACAAAGGGATATCATTCGTAAAGAATCAGTTATAAATAATGAACAGTTATTCCTATGTGTGCAACTGTGCATTTAAGGTATTTTACTACTGTTGAATATTTTGTATGGTGATTCCTAAGTAATTTTCCTCTTCATGTCATGCATATCAGTGATGCAAAGCTTCAGGATGCGCAGGCGCTGTTTGTAAACAGGTAGACCGGCTTAACGTCATCGCATTCTTATGAAAACCTCGTATGATTAAGAACAATTTGTTTTACTTTGGTACGTTTATTTTTCATCAAATCTAAACTTGATGGTTGTTTTTGATTTTTAATTTCTTTTCAACGCTATTATTTCTGCCTAACATTAAATAAATTAAGTTGTTGTCTCGGTTCGAGTTTGCAGTTCACGGCTCCAGGAGCTATTGTTGCTGTTCCTTTATTTAAGAGCTACTTATAGTATTCCTTTATTCGTATATACGGCACCTGATGATCCCATCATGTCGATTACTCCTTTTTTTTTTCTTTTGCATCCTTCCCGCCTGATTGTCGACTACTGATACTTACCTTTCTTGTCCTTGTCTTGACGTTTAGTTACTCGAATTCTACCGCAGATCAGCGATATTTGTTGCGGAATTTTTTCAATTTTTTGGCGCACCTCGCTGTAATTTTTATACCAGTAGCGTAGTGTGTTCAATGTTAGTTCTTTTTTCGTCCTTTTGACCAGCAAATAATTTCAGTATTGTAATGTGTTAGGTACATAATTATCTTGATTCAGTCACGATCTGAAGTCCAAGAAATTATTTATTAAGTATCGATGTTTGTTAATAGCCAGTTTCAACAATTGTGAAAGTGCAATAACGCTGTTACATGTTGTTATTGAAATATTTTATGTTATGAAGTTTAAATGCTTGTTTTCCGTACCGTTACCTTCCTTTTGATTGAAACGTTAACAAAGGGATATCATTCGTAAAGAATCAGTTATAAATAATGAACAGTTATTCCTATGTGTGCAACTGTGCATTTAAGGTATTTTACTACTGTTGAATATTTTGTATGGTGATTCCTAAGTAATTTTCCTCTTCATGTCATGCATATCAGTGATGCAAAGCTTCAGGATGCGCAGGCGCTGTTTGTAAACAGGTAGACCGGCTTAACGTCATCGCATTCTTATGAAAACCTCGTATGATTAAGAACAATTTGTTTTACTTTGGTACGTTTATTTTTCATCAAATCTAAACTTGATGGTTGTTTTTGATTTTTAATTTCTTTTCAACGCTATTATTTCTGCCTAACATTAAATAAATTAAGTTGTTGTCTCGGTTCGAGTTTGCAGTTCACGGCTCCAGGAGCTATTGTTGCTGTTCCTTTATTTAAGAGCTACTTATAGTATTCCTTTATTCGTATATACGGCACCTGATGATCCCATCATGTCGATTACTCCTTTTTTTTTTCTTTTGCATCCTTCCCGCCTGATTGTCGACTACTGATACTTACCTTTCTTATCGTTGTCTTGCCGTTTAGTTACTCAAATTCTACCGCAGATCAGCGATATTTGCTGCGGAATTTTTTCAATTTTTTGGCGCACCTCGCTGTAATTTTTATACCAGTAGCGTAGTGTGTTCAATGTTAGCAATAATTGCAGGACTACAGTCTAAATTGGAAATACCTCTATATGTTTCCCCTCTTAACACGTTGACTACGATTGCTTCATCTTGTACTATTATTTCATTTTTTGTACCGTTTTTAAACAGGGTTGCCAGACGGTCATTTTTTCCGGACAAATTCCGTGATTTAGATTTTCTCAATTGCGTTGGCCGGCTAAAATTTATAATAGGGGTACTTCCTAATTGAATTTTAAGTACTGGGAAAAGAAAATAAACGGAATTTTTACAGCGGAACCTACAAATAAACTAGTATATATTGGGTTATCGGCATTTTTTGGCCTTTTTTGTTCACGGACTAGGCCGATTTTAGGTAACCTGAATTATGAACCACTACGTCCTGGAGAAATACATTTCGTGGTACGCATATGTGCCACTTCGGAGTCAACGTGTTAAGTAACACGGCAGTTTTACATTTTCTTTAATGTGCAATGTTATTATTTTTTCTCTTCTATAGCCAATTTTGCAATAAGTTATGCAATTCTTAGGTCATTAATCTGTTTCATATATACCCTCGCCCACGGGACTGACAGAGTTTATTGAATTTTTATTATATATATCATTGTTATATTTTTATTAATATATATTTCATTGTTATTATATATTGAATTTTTATTTCTTATTTTGTTGTTGCAGTGTTGACGCGTGTACGGGCGACGCAACACGTGCAGCATGTCGAGGAACTCCTCGCGCTCATTGACTACAATCAGCATTACTCACCTGAATCAACGAGATGACCGATATCAACGCTTCAATTCTGCTCAGCATTACTTACCTGAATCAACGAGATGACCGATATCAACACTTCAATTCTGCTCAACATTACTTACCTGAATCAACGAGATGACCGATATCAACGTATTGATTCTATTTCCAGCTAAACGCCATAAAGGTTTCATAGAAGTCTCTTATGAATTAGCAATCATTAATAAATTGTACGTTTTCCGAATTAAACACTTTTTTGAAGCTTCGCTGAGTGTAGTATCATTAACAGGTAAAAGTATTTCCCGTGCTTTCCAATTTCGATTTTTTTATCCAAATATCATTACTTAGATTACAAGGCTGTTTTCGCTATCGAGTAAACCGCGCCACCTCAAGTAGGTAGAAATTAGCAAAGCTGTTTTTTTAATACATATATGTGCATATTTCTCATTCCCTTTGCTTAAATTATCTCCTGGGCCTATACTTTCAAAAAAAGTTAAGAGATCGTAAGTTCATCAGCCAATCATTGACGGCCTTTCAAGCAAACTCCACCAATCATAGGCAAGAAAATAGAGCGTAAGTACTTACGTTCACTGAGCGAGTTTTGAAAGTATGGCCCCTGATGATTAGTTATCAGCTTAGCTTCTCTTTTGATAATTATTCTGATTGACGTCCTTCGTATGTGTAAGCTATTTACAGAGGATCTTGTTTTTAGCTGTAGGCTCGCAACTCAACTGCCGTCTTTTGCCATTCCTCCTCCGGCCAAATATCAATATAATTAAGGTGCTAAAACGTTAAATCATTCCGTCATCCAATCTGATAACTAACTTTAAGCAAAAATAAATATATTTCGCTAGGATAGTGGAATTTCTTTAGGGGCTTGATTTTTAAAATCTTATGACTACAATTATATAATTTAGTTGGAATATTTCTTACCAAATTCCGCACTAGATTTTACCTCATTCAATGTAAATTTTTGAATTTATATTGAAAATATAACTTCTACCCCGCTTTTGATGTTGCAACTTCCAGAGATGCTTCTCTCTGAAAAGAACTTCTATTCAGTTATGCTTCATGCCCCCACGAGGCTTGTAGTTGCCTTGACACAATCTGCTTATTCTCATGGATTGAAGTGAGCGCTTGATAAAGACTTTTTTGATTATGTTAGAATATTGGGTTTCGATTCATCTGCCGAGGTCCTTAAAAGGTTAACGACGCTCTTTCTAAAGATGTATTATTTTCTCTGCTTTAAGCGCAACATTTCTAGGTTTAGTCTGTAATCATCCGTTATATTAATTTTCGTCTTTCCTCTTTGTTATACATTACGCCATTTTGTTGAATCTAAATACAATGTCGTATAGCTTCTAAATCTCTTGATCTCAATCTTAGAGCAATAAAGATTTCCTGCTAAGTTGTTTTTAATCCTGTATCCGTTCGACTGGAATCCAGTCTCCGGTTGAAAAAAATGCAGAATTGATGTTAGTTCTTTCATTGCCATAGAAGTAAGCTATGTACCTCGAATTCAGATTGCGTTAATCAGAGATTGGCTTGGCGTTTCCATGTGTAGGTGATTACGAATTGAACTATTCATAATACGTTGTGTATGTTACAACGTGAGTACTCTGAACCGAGACGTCTGATGATAAATGGACTCATGACAGTTGGTATTTTGTAGACTACGTGATACGAGTTCAAGTTTTAATCCATATTTGATTTTTTCGAACGAAAACGTTCATCTGATCGATCTGCCGACCCCAGGCAGCTAAAGGATATTCTGACGGCAAATTTAATTTTTTATCGTTAATATTGATAAGTGAATACATTGCGTGCGTGTTAGGAAACTGTACCTACAACGCAGGTGCGCTTGAAGTGACCTTTGCTTTAAATCGCCTGTGCGCTGCGTAGCGAAGAAGCAGGTGGCAACCGGAGCAATGCAAGCGTTGCTTGAGCTGGAGTGACGCATGCGCAGCAGCGTCATCTGCTACCCTGTAGCGCGTGTGCATCTTGTAGCTCTTCTCAGAATTTTCTGTAAGACCCCCTTGAAAAATTCCTATCTTCACTTTGGTTGGGAATATACCTTGCAAGATGATTTTATATTTTGGTTTCACGTATGATTTTAGTTTTTGGTACGATATTTTCAGTTTCTTATTTTGAGAAATTCTTCAGTTCGAACAACATCTCGTGTTGTACTTTATTTCTAACAAATCTCTAATTAATGTATTCCTGATTCAAAAATCAGTATGATCCAATGTGAATGTTCAAGTTTTGATGTTTCCAACCAAATTATAAATTGGCATCCCTGAAGCCAGATTGTAGTTCGAAATAATTCGAAACCAATATCGTATTTTGTATCGTAAAAACATTAAATGAATGTGAAATACGAATGGATCAGAACAAGTCATTTGCCTGTACCTCAGCCAAGTCGGATGCTCGGTTCTCCGTACCACGCACCTGCCACCCTCGGGCTGTGGGAGTCGTTCAGTCTTTTCATGCTTCGCTATTATCAGAATAAAAAGACGTGAAATTCTAGGAAGGACATTCTTGGGATTTTTACGTAAAGTTATGGCGTGACATCGAGGATCGCCAATATTCTGTAGCAATAACCACCTTCTAAACACATGAACTTATTCAATGAATGACGTCATTGAATATTTAACGTTATTAAGCTAATAAATTCAGTATAAAAAAATACATTAAATATGTAAACATTGGATATATTATTATAGTAATTGCAACAGGCAACAGGCCATGGGCCTATTTCTTCAGTGCCGACACTTCTATTCTATTCGAAAATATATAATCATAAAGATTACAAAATACGCACGGTATTACCGATTCAAGTTTGCCTCTAATCGGACAATTTAAATGGAAGGTTGTAATCATGATATTTTAAATTATTTAAAATCTAAATAACAGTTGAACCACCCACCTCTCATAAATTAATAATTGAGCGACATAATATCAATAAATGCTTTATAATGGAGAAGGTTTGTCAGAGCTGCTGTTATATGTGGTGGCTTTCATATAAATGAATCGTGTCAAATCTCGGATTCAACAATTTGAAATTCAACCTGATAATTAAAACTATGACAATAACTATGGAATATTTCCTTCGTGGTTTCCACCTGACGCACTTGAACCTTCAGCACTCAAAATAATAAATGGATCACTTTGTTAAAAAAGTGACATACTCACCCACAGCACGAAAGTAGCTCTGATATTGGGTGCCGAGCCAAACAGGGTCTGGAAGACCCACACAAGCGCAAAAAGTGTATCAATATTTGGACAAGTCTCGTTCATTTTTCTGAGTGCGATCTAATTACGCATAGTTAGCCTGCTCACCTTTACTGTAGTTTGTGCCGTCGATGCTGGCCGTGATCACGTGCTAGCTGAACCCCATCTTGGCAACCCGATGCTCCTGCACAGAATTAGGGTGTTTTGATATCCAATTTCAAACTTTAAATAAATTTTAACTATAATAGTCCATAATATAGATTTGATTGATAAATGTCAAAAGAGGAGCACTGGACTGACTCGACTGTTATAAGAGAAGCAAGAGCAAAACAGGAAGACTGAGCAAGTTAGGGCTCAAGTGCCCTGTTCGCAGAGTGGCAACTCTAGAGTCAGGGATAATTGCGCTAGGTGGATCCTTAGTAATTACATAAACAGTATATCGCAACCATCATCTCATGCCTCCAGGTCTTACTAGTTACTACTACGGGTAGAGGCCTGGGGCCATACTTTCAAAATTTGCTAAGTGAACGTAAGTACTTACGCTCTATTTTCTAGTCTATGATTGGTGGATTTTGCTTGAAAGGCCGTCAATGATTGGCTGAAGAACTTACGATCTCGTAACTTTTTTTGAAAATATAGGCCCTGAATAAGAGGAAAAAGAGGCAAAAAAAAATCTCGCATCGAGTGCCAGATACTGTGATTGAGTATGATTCCGGCCGCACGGGATCATACAACTGACTTTAATGATGAAAATAATGTGTATGTGCGACTTGCTGAATTTAAAAGAGTCTACGACGAGTGCAACACAAAAATCTAAACTTTTTGTATTTTCAACCAAAAATTTTCATTTATTACTTAATTTTAACTTATAGAATCAAGGACGAAGTAATACAAATTTTTGTATTTGGAAACAAACACATAAAAAATACCTCGATAGAGCAAAATCAATAGATTCTTCTAGAAATCACGTGTATTTAATTTTTTTTATACATGTCTCAAATTGAACAGAAAATTTCTATCTCCGAACGAAATTACTTTCAGACAGACGGTTGTGCACCACAAAACATCTGTGTAGAATTAAGGGACGTCCAGTCTTATCATCCAACACATGCTACTGATAAGCCTCGAAAAATTGATGAACATGGAACAAAAATAAGAAATTACTGGCCTGGATATATAGCACCTTTTGGTTCCCAAAAACAGTTATCAGGCATATTCAGGGAAAAAGTACAGATGTTTTTCGAAAAAATATTCCATTGACGAAAAAACTTATCTATTTTGTGAACATGATTCGACCGTTTTTTTAGTAAAAATTCAGATTGAATTTTTCGTACATTTTTCATCCATGCATTTCCGGTGGGTGTAAAAAGTATCAGACACAAAGGAAACATTTCATTTAATTTAATATTATTCAACAATATAAAACAAACAAACACTATTCTAATGTAAATTTACATGGGAAATACAAATATATCAAAATAACAATATGATTAAATGTTGACTTGATAATTGCAATTTTGTAGAAGTTAAGGTTCATAGAGTATCCAACACTCGGTGAACAAATTTACTCAATACTTCGTTATGTGACTTTTAGCAGCCAAAACTGCTTCTCGCCGATTAGAATATTTATTACAAGATAACCACATGTGCTAATAAGAATTTTAGCCCACTCTTCCTTGCATATTTCTTTCAATTGGATAAGATTTCTTGGATCTCTCTCCTGTACCCTCAATTTCAATTCCCGCCCAGATTTTCAATTGGATTGATGTCAGGTGATTGTCTAAGCCATTCTAATAACTCAAAGTCCCTCTCGTGATACCATGCAAGAGTTGCCCTCGCCGTGTGCTTAGGGTCATTGTCTTGTTGGAATATCCAACCTCGAGGAAGGTTCAATTTTTCGGCCGATTCCACGAGAATGCTCAGATTCATTTCGGAGTTCATCCTTCTTTCTATGATTTTCCATTTTCCATCTATGATTTTCCATTTTCGAGGGCGTGCAGAAAAGAAGCAACCCCTAAGCATTATGCTGCCACCTTCGAACTTCGAAGGTGGCATTATGCTTCGAAGTTAGAAAGATGTCTATGGCGTTCTTTTGCATTCTAGAATATTCCAATGTTTTCCGATTCCAGAATATTTCCCCCAAACATAATGAATGAAAAATTATTGGCGAATCAAATTATTTTTTATGATGTGTTAGATACTTTTTGAACCTTGACTTTTACAAAATTGCAATTATCATGTCAACATTTCATGATACTGTTGTTTTGATTTGATATTTGTTTTTCTATGTAAATATAAATTAGAATAGTTTTGGTTTATGTTATTTTGTTGGATAGCTTTAATTAAATAAAGTTTTTCCTTTGTGACGGATACTTTTTGCACCCACTGTGTGTAAGTTGCAGTTGCTCTGATTACTGTAATCTTGTTGTTCATTGTTCTTCCCGAGGTGAAGTACTTTACACTTGTCAGCATTAAACCGTAGCTGCCACGTATCAGCCCAGTTAACTAAACTGTCAAGGTCATCTTGTAATTGCGCTTTATTTGACGCATCCTTCATTGAATTATAAACTTTTGTGTCATCGGCATACATGGAGCACACGCTGGACACTACTTCTGGCAGATCATTTATAAAAGCAAGGAACAAAATAGGCCCAAGAACGCTTCCTTGTGGCACGCCACTGCACACTGATGCCCAGTCTGACACGGTTCCGTTAATACTGACACGTTGTCGTCTACCTACTAGAAAATCTCTGATCCATTGGAGTACGTTTCCCTCAATCCCCAAGGACTTCACTTTACGCAACAGCCGCTCATGCGGAACACTGTCAAATGCTTTGGCAAAATCGAGGTACAATGCATCCACTGGCTCCCTTTCGTCCAGCAGGCGAGTCCAATCGTTCAACGTAGACAATAAGTTAGTGGTGCAGGATCTGCCGGCAATAAAACCATGTTGACAATCTGATATGAGATGGTGAGCATTATATGCTAATTTAGCATATGAAGACCACATATGCTAATAGGAATTTTAGCCCACTCTTCCTTGCATATTTCTTTCAATTGGATAAGATTTCTTAGATCTCTCTCCTGTACCCTCAATTTCAATTCCCGCCCAGATTTTCAATTGGATTGATGTCAGGTGATTATCTAGGACTCTAGGCCATTCCAATAACTCAATGTCCCTCTCGTGATACCATGCAAGAGTTGCCCTCGCCGTGTGCTTAGGGTCATTGTCTTGTCGGAATATCCAACCGAAGAGGAAAGTTCAATTTTTCGCCCGATTCAACGAGAATGCTCCGATTCATTTCGGAGTTCATCCTTTCTATTATTTTCAATTCCCCAGGGCGTGCAGAAAAGAAACAACCCCAAAGCATTATGCTGCCCCCTTCGAACTTCACTGTTGGGTCGGAATTCTTCGGGAGAAACGCGAAGTTCTTCTGTCTCCAAACACGACTGACACAGTTCTGATCTTACAATTCAATTTTATTTAAGGTTTACTCACGTGTTCTTTAGCAAAATCTCGGCGGTTCTTCACGTGAATTTACTTCACGAGAGGGGTTTTCTTGGTGACACGTAATTGGAATCCTCTCTCTCCAAGAACTGTCCTAATTGTATTCTTGCAAACATTTGTCTCACTTGATCGCAAGTCTTTTTGCAGCTCAAAGCGAGTCATTCGAGGATTATTCTATACTTTTCGAACGAAACTTCTAGCTGTACGGTCAGAAATTTCTTACGGCGCCCTGAATGCGACAGATGGAATGAATGCGAAAGATGGAATGATTTCCACCCCCGTACACTATCATTAACAGTCGAAATTGGGATATTTAACACATATGGATTTTTATATCCCAAACCATCTCTGTGTATTTGAATACATGATTTTCTAGTTGATACAGACAATTCTGCAGTTACAGGCATAGTTGAAGAGCGTAAAATTTAGGCCACCTTCTAATGACGAGAAGAGCTGAAGAGGTAATGAAAGACTGCAGTTAGAAAGATGTCTATGGCGTTCTTTTGCATTCAAGAATATTCCAATGTTTTCCGATTCCAGAATATTTCCCCCAAACATAATGGATGAAAAATTATTGGCGAATCAAATTATTTTTTTTACGATGTGTTAGATACTTTTTGAACCTTGACTTTTACAAAATTGCAATTATCATGTCAACATTTAATGATACTGTTGTTTTGATATGATATTTGTATTTTCTATGTAAATATACATTAGAATAGTTTTGTTTTATGTTATTTTGTTGAATAGCTTTAATTAAATAAAGTTTTTCCTTTGTGTCGGATACTTTTGCACCCACTGTATGTTAGTTGCAGTTGCTCTGAGCAATATATAAATAATAATAAAATATAATATAATTAATTAGGCTATTCACATTACATTTACATGTATGCGCTATTTGATTTACCAATGCTTTTCCTACGGTAATTAATGAACTAAAAATCGCATAAAAGAGCAGATTCAACTTTACATGACTGCAATAAAGCCCATAGTATTTATTGAAAGAAATTACAATTTTCTCCAAATAGCAATGCACTTTTTGCCCTTGTATGGGTCATCCTGACACAGTTTGGCCCGGCAAAATGGCGTATCCTTGCTACGAACACTCCGTGCACGGGCTGTGGGTGAGAAATTGTCGCCATTTGAATGAATATATGACTCAATATTTTTCTGAGTGAATGATTTACCCAAAGCACCGGAAGAAGAAATCACGGCGAGACACGTGGCAATTAACCGGCAGACGTGAGTCATCCGTACCCACATGTGGGTAGTTCCCACGCTCGTCTGCTATAAGAGGTGCGGGTCGCCCGCTGTAGGGACATTAGAACTCGAAGGTGCGAGTGCCTAAGACGTGTATAATTAAGTTGCTTCTACACGGGGAAAGTACTAAGCTGCTAGTGGTAACGGCAAGTAATTTACACTTCGAATATCGGGCTAAAAATATGTAGAAAATTTTTACATTTTATTTTTAATTATCAAATTTATCAAAGAATATGGTCAAAAGTTTTAAAAATTTCCCCAAATTTCGAAGTATTGCGTACTTGCCGTTAATTGTTTTGCTGTTGTTATATCTCAGAATATGAATAGTTGGGTGACACACTTTTGGGTGACACACTACAGTTGGGTGAAATAGTGACACACTTTGTGTATGTAATTAAAGATACGCCCGGGCTAATTTAGTTTCAGATGGTTCACACAAGCGTGCAAAAATTTCATCACTATTCGAAGAAAGTCTTCATGTATTCCTGAGTGTGCAGTGTTTCATAATTAATAAAAATATGTAACACAATTATATTAATTTCATAATAATTAATTATATATTCAACATCCGATCATAATTATATTGTATTGTGATGCAGAGGCAGACAACATTTGTAACTGTAGATGGCATCGAAACTGGTAGCATGTACGGTTATACGAGCAACATTTCTGATGTCTCTAGTTAATATCAAATATTTAATAGTTTTAGGGTAAATAGTTACGGGTCATACTTTACCTTAACAGTTGTAGGGCAACTAGGTACTGGTAGGTTATTATATGAACGGGTTGTACGGTGACTAGGTAGAAGCAAGTTACTATATAGTTGTTCGAGTTATGATTGTGATGACTTGGTTATTAGATGTGCTGGTTGTACGATGACTAGGTACAAGTAAGTTATAAGATGTAGATGTACGGATTGTACGGTGACTAAGTACAAGTAGGTTATTAGATGTACAGGTTGTACGGTGACTAGGTACAAGTGGGTTATTAGTTTTACAGGTTGTACAGTGAATAGATATAAGTAAGCTATTAGTGATACAGGGTTTATCGTGACCAGTTATGTATAAGTCTTCATCTGCACGGGTTTTATTGAAACCAGTTAGCGCTACATAATTACAATAAGCAGCGTAAGTAGTTACAATCGCCACTACTTAGACTAGTAACATCGCACCCCACCACAGGGTCAGGATGAAGTTGCAGTTGGCGGTATTGTTGGCGGGCGTCGCCCTGGCGGTGGCGGGACCACTCCACGAGCCTTCACGTGACACCCACGGGTGAGTGGAACGTCATCGGTCCTTACCTAAATTAACCTAACCTTGCTTAACTAACCTTACCTCAACTGACCTAACTTCAAGTAACCCAACATCAGCTACCCTAACATAAACTAAAATAACTTCAACTAACCCAATATCAACTAACCTAACCTCAAAAAACCTAACTTCAACTAACCTAGCCTTAGCAGCATACCTAACCTAACCTACGACCTATTCATATTTCTGAGTGATATAACAGTGTTACGTCTGCTCTCTGATCGCGCTATGGATGAGAACGTGTGTCACTATTTGTAAAATGTTTGACCCATTCATTGTTCACAGTGTATATTTTACTCTGTCTGCCCCCTGCCTGTTCAGAGAGTAAGAAAGCGTGTCACTATCTGGATAGTATATGACTCATCAATTTTCTTTTGTATCTGGTGCAGAGCGCAAGTACTTTGGGTGTGTAAGAAAGCGTGTCACAATGTGGACAATACACGACCCATTAATTTTCTTGTTTGTTTGGCACAGGGCGCAGGTACTTAGGGTGAAGGTGACGGACCTCGCGGACCTGAGGTACTTGGCGTACCTGCAATCGCGTACCACACTGGACTTCTGGACTGAGCCACGTGCCCTGGGTAGGTGACTAGTTAAGTGGACTAGGTACTCAGTACGCAGGGAATGTTGGGCTGATTAGATGTTGGATGAGGGAGCTCATGCAGTCCCTCAGAAGATAACTTTAAGTCTTACCTAAACCTGCTTCTTTTGTGTCTTTACTTAATAAGTATCTATCCGTTAACCCACCTCCTTCTCTTCTCAGGACCAACTTATTATCCTCACTATATGAATTTTCCCCTCAGACAACAACCTACCCCATCTTCTCAGAGAACAACTTAATACCCACTGGAGATAACTTTTCTCTCAGTCAACAATCCCTTATTCTTCTTAGGATACAACTTAGTGCTCTAAGGAGTTAACATTTTACCCTCAGTTAACAAACCCAACCTCCTTCTCAGAATCCAACTTAGTACCCTCACTAGATGATCTTTTCCCCTCAGTCAATAACCTCACTCCCCTTAGGACACAAATTACAACCTTCAGGATATTACTTTTTCCCTTCAGTTAACAACACCGCTCAGGAAACATTTTTCTTCTCACAGGCGAAATCGACATCATGGCCCGGCGTTGGGACCTTCCAATGTTGAAGGCGGCGCTTCAGCACCGTAACTTGCAGTACAGTGTACAAATCGCCAACGTCCACCGTCACCTCGCCGACCTGAAGGAGAGACACCTGCAGGCCAGAACCAAGGCTGGGGACTCCAGGATGTCGTGGGATGCCTACTACAATTATGACGAGGTACCTACTTCTATGTATCAGTGTCATGGCTAGGTACAGGAGGTTTTTAAGTAGTTAGCGAATCATATTACGCCCACTATTCTCTACTTTGTACACGGCAACCACATCCTCGCTAATGGTTAATTACCTTAAAACTTTGAGGGCCCTACTCTGCATAAGGTGCCACCCAGGACATGGGGATCACGGAAATCAGCTTATTTCCGCTTCGGTTCAAGGTTTGAAGGGCAGCCTATGAGCAACTTAGTGCAAGCTTGGTAAGATCCGGCCCGGCCAACCCTTCTCATACTCTCAGGCGACCATAAAGAGGGAAAGGAGATTTTGACCAGAAACTGATTTTGATCGGGTGGCTTAGCAGGCCCAGACTAACTCTAAGCCGACTGTAGCGACTATGATTTTGATAAGGGACACAGCGTAGTCCCTGATTTTGATTGGGGACAATATTCGCCATTGTTAGTTTGTTACTATGAACTGGGTGCCCACATCTTTGATATCGTTGGGTGCACTATTATTTCTTTTTTTACTGGGCACCCATTCATCGTGATGGTTACTGGGTGGTCAGTAATTATTTACCTATGGTAGCAACTCCAGTTTTACTACTATACTTATTATGGTCACCTAATGGTCACCTACATTCCTGTGATGGTTATTGGGTGCCATTGTACTTTTGTTTCTGTTATGGACATCCGCATCCCCTCTTTAGAATGCGTCGTTGTCCATAAATATATTATGCTAGTGGGCTTTGAAAATATTTCATAACTACTCATGACCTCTCGACCCCATGATCCCTCTGATCTCCTCCGTGACCCCTCGACCAGATCAATGCGTGGCTGGACAGTTTGGCCGCCGAATACCCGTCCATTGCGACCGTGACGGACGTGGGCACATCGTACGAAGGGCGTACCATGAAGCTACTCAAGCTGTCCACCGGAGGGACCGGCAAAGACGCCATCTTCACGGACGGCGGTAAGCCTTTGAGGATCCAAAGGATATTAGTATGTACGTAGTTTTGGACGTAGCAGTCCCAGGCCCGACTGGAGTTTCGCCTGTATTCTGCCGGCTTCAACCCTGGCAGGCAAGCTGTCCTCACCACCGAGGTCCTGATGGTCATTCTGCAGTTACCGCGCATCTGCCCTAAGTTGGGCCAGCTGATAAACTATGCTGTTGCTCGCTTCTAATCGGCACTAAGCCTAGCCGCTGTTATACTCCCCAATAAGCTCTAATTGGCCACTCATTTGCACGAATTTGGCATAGCGTCTCTTTCCAAAGCATCCATGTTTACCAAACAATATTCGCAATTGCCATTTCCTCGCAGGATATGGCATTCACTCACCCGCAATCGCCATATCCACGCAGGTATCCACGCCAGAGAGTGGATCGCCCCTGCTACAGTGACGTACTTCATTCAGCAGCTGGTGGCTGGTGATGGTGTCGGTCTGCTGGACTCGGTGGATTTCTACTTTATGCCGGCCATCAACCCTGATGGTTATGCATACACCTTCACTGACGTGAGCCCAAAATTCTGTCATCATGCTGTCCATCATGCCTTTCATCAATCCTTGTGGTTATGACTACGCCTTCCGTAAAAAAAATTGAGATTGGCTCAACTCGGCATCAAGAGCCACCCAGGACTCGAGGAGGGTGTAAATCAGCCACTAATGTCCGCCTCGGCTCAAAGTTTGAAGGACACCTTCGGCTCGGCCAGCCGGATACCTTCGCTCGGCCAGCCCTTGACATACTCTCAGCACAAACTTGTCAAACTCTCAGCGCACACTTGTTATACTCTCAGGACACTCTTGTCATACTCTCAGTACACACATGAACTCTCCGTGCACACTTGTCATACTCTCAGGACACACTTGTCGTACTCTCAGGACACTCTTGTCATACTCTCAGGACACTCTTGTCATACTCTCAGCACACACTTGTCATACTCTCAGGACACACATGTCATACTCTAAGGACACATTTGTCATACTAGTGTGGGTCTACTGATGTCATTCTAGGACCTTGGCAGTCCCCGAATTTTGTTAGGGTTTACTGCTGTAAGTCCATTATGCTTTTTATCACTAAAATGGCTATGCCCACCACTTCCATCCCATTAGTACTCCATTACCTGCAATTTATAGGCCCAAACAACCAGCCATTGCCAGCAATATAACTATTAATTGATTCACCACAATTGCCCAACGTTGAATTAAGGTACACTCAAAGAAGTGAGTGAGACTTTTTCCAAATATCTATGCATTTTTCACTCTAATGTGGGTCATCCTGACCCAGATTGAGTAGGCAAAAAGGCGTCTCGGTGCTACGTCCTCTCTCTGCAAACTAAAATGAANTTAATTGCATGATAGTTATTTAGCGAAATAAATAAAAAGTAAATCTAAATAAACAAAATGCAAATATAATTAAAAATAATTAAATCAATAATTAATTAATTAACAATAATCAAAGACTAATTAAAGACAAAATTTTCACTGTAATTAGATATTTCGTTAATTAATCAAGACATAATATGGAGCTACTGCGTAATATTTCATAAATAATAATTGACGCATTTCTTCATTGCTGAAAACATTACAACATAATTAACAAATGATAATGAATTATAAACATTATCTTCTTGATTATCTGTTACTAATAAATGTTAATTATAATTAAATCATAATAGTGAATTATTACCATTCGTTTTGGATTCTTCTTTACTAACAAATGATAATTATAAATAAATTCGTTAATTATTAATAAATTCTAATAACGAATCATCAGGATTCGCTTGCCAACGCAGCAGTGGCCGCCCTGACCGCCGTCCACGGCACGCAGTACAAAGTGGGCTCTTCCACCAACACCATCTGTTAGTATCATTATTATAATAGATTAAATTATGTATTTTTCTGCTTAGTGATATATAATGTTGCTCATTTACTATATCATATTTATTTCATATTATATTTTTATAACCTTTCATAAAGATTGATATGCCATTTTCAGTGCAATCACGATTCATATAATGGTTATTCATTAAACGAATTATGTACCTAAATTAAATAATAAAAATTAATAACTCTATGAAATAATTATATTAAATTAATAAATAAAATAATTGAATTAAAAATTACAATAATAAATATATAAAATAATGAAATTAGTAATTTGATCAAAAAGTTCAATGGATAATTAATGTAAAAAATTAACATAAATAATGAAAAATAGTTCGTTCATTAAATAAATTAAAAAGTTATTCACTTTTACGCTAGTGTGGGTCAACCTGACTCAGTTTGGCCCTGCAAAAGAACGTATCAGTGCTACGTCCGCTCTCGCTCGCAGTTCATAAGAAAATGTGTCACTATTTGTTCAATATGATCCAATAATTTTTCAAATAGAACTATAAATATTATAATATATATAATATAATATATATATTATAATATATAATATAAATAAAAATAGAACTATATTTTTCAAATAGAACTATAGAACAAAATTTCTCATTACAGACATCGCCGCTGGAGGTTCAGATGACTGGGCCCTCGGTGTAGGTGGATCTGAGTACGCATACACCATCGAGCTCAGGGACGAGGGGCAATATGGGTTCAGGCTCCCTGAGAGTCTGATAATACCCACGGCGGAGGAGACGTGGGCTGGCTTCAAGGTGGTTGCCCAGTTCATCGCCGACAACCCCAAGCCGAAATAGATTAACTAGTCAATCAATACTCATCGATTTTTTAATATAATTAACTGGTCAATTAACTGGTCATTCAATTCTTATTGATTATTTATTTAATATATTTTCGATAGAATTTTGTAAACTTGTAATGGATTCCTTTCAACCTGAATTATAATAGATCAATTGGTGGCTCAATTTGTATAGATTAATGAGGTATTTTCAATATGTTTCCTTACTTGTCCAGTAGCTATCCTCACGTACTTTAAGTGAACTTGGTTCATCACATCACCGATGATCCAACTCATGCGCGAATAAAATTTTTATTTGAATAATTAGTTTCATTATTATTCATTAGCAAATAAAATATATGCGATGAAAACAAGTACATATTGAACAATATTTATCACATTTAAGCTTTTATTTGAAATTTGGGACCAAACTGACAGTTTACTAACATGTTTATGTTGTTCAAACATGATAATATTCTGTTGCAAAATAACTTCTTAACAACATGAATTATATATTTTATATTTATTTAATATTTGTTCATTTATTAGGTATCATTTATTAAATTAGGTAACTCGCTAAGCTTATAAGTATACTAACTAGTAGAAAAAACAAATTCGTAGTATGCTTTTATAGGTGATATTTATCATCATCTATGTTGATCTCTGATCTTATATCTAGGCAACTGGAATCATCAGAACTAATAAATTGTTAAATAGAAATTCAAAATATTAGTTTGATGATAAAATTTTTCTCCCATCAGTATGACAGTAACTTTCTTGAACAAGACACTTATTTAAAACAATTACAAATAGTGCAGTGGATGAATACACTTGATGTTCACATGATTTGGTTTCCATGATAATTTCCACGCACAGCAGGCAATCCAAACATTTTTCGCGCTCATAGAATATGGATGCGAAGAGCAAGTCAGTGTGCAGGTGTCAGGCAGATGTTCAGCAGCACGAGACTTACATGAGGTCACTGACACAGCGCGTACAGAACGCGGGTATTTCGTTCTACCCTAAGCGTCAACGCCTGCAGGCATCGCAATATTGCCGAGCGCGCCACGACTTGCAGCTGTTGCTGCTGGTGACATCGATGCTGCTCGAGGAGTGATCTCGGGCGTGATTACGCGACGCGCGGACACGAGGCTTACATTCTGCAATGAAATCAAAAATAAATTGCGACAAGTAATATTATTGATGTTGAATCCCCTTTCTTGCAATAAAATCAGTATTTGTTTAAATTGTTTCTGAAAGAAATTGTACTTTTCTCGGCAAATATCGTGAGAGTTTCGTTACAAAGGAGCAATAACCATCGAGCGTCAAGTAAACCAAACCACAGTAGTTTCTTTGTAATTTCGGCAACGAATACGTTTTAATGCCATATGCCTAATGCTTGTTAATGCTTTAAAGTTTTTTACGTTGCTACGTTTTAATGCACCGTTTCTTACATTTTAAGTGATTTACTTTAACCATAACTGATCCGATCCTAAATGACTTAATTCAGTACTTTCACTTAACTATATATTTTATAGATATTATAATTTCATTGAACAAGAAAATTTACAGAACTGAATAAGAAAAGTTGGACCGATTTGTCAAAAATAAATTAGATATTCTATAGCGTATGATTATTCAGATTAAAACCATTATTCGCATTTGAAAATACAGTTATTCAAATTCATTTTTTCGATGAACAATTAGGTTATTTACGTTAATTTTTTATGTAAAATTAGGTTATTTACGTTATTTTTTTCAATGAAAAATTAGGTTAAATAATTAAATCTACAGCGACTCCTAAAGTGAATTTGCCTAATGTGATCACACTACGTACTATACGAGCACCAAGCCACGTGCGTAAATGTAGAGTGAAATAACTCATTCTCAAACAAGGAGGTAATGACAATATTTTATTCGGCGATCTAGTCTTATTTGATGATATCCGATAATAATACTTATATGTCTGAATAAAACATTAGTTTCCATGTCGAAAGTAAATGACTTCTTTTGATTCGTTGGAAATGTGCTTCGTAAGTACGAACTTAGTAGGAACAAATTACTGTTCAGCTCTTGCTTGCACCAGCATGGATCGAAGAGCGTAGACATCAAGCTGGAATTGATGTTTCAAAATTACATAAACAGACCCAAATTGGCATAGAACAATTGTTCTTTGTTTGTGTAAAAAAATCACTCGAGTTTATTTTGTATGAAAATTGCATTTTAGCTTTAAATTAAATGGTAGCCAACGGAATAATGTTAAGCAATCTGGCACACGTTTGGATGACAAATTCTAGCAGGATGACAAGTATTACTTGACAACGTGTCAGATTGAGGAGATTAAAAATTCATGTTGAATCTGCTGGAATCGACTTTTAGTAGTTTTTTTATTTAGCAAGTTACTCGTTTCCTTCTAAGTAGGCTTTCTGTGAGAACGCTTTTAATTTTTGACATAGGAGTATTTCTGAGAGTATAAGAACCCTGTCGAAGCCTTGATTCATTCCATGACCAAGAGTGAGGTGCTCCACGTGCTGCTTCAGGTCAGTGATCTCGTTGCACGAGTCAGGATACTCATTATATAGGGTCCGGCGTGTTAGCCAACGCTCTGTCCAGTCGTCAGAGGAAATGTGCGATGCGGCAGACTGAGTCTCAGTCGAATTCAAGTGTGGAAAAAACTTGTCCACGATTTCGCTTGCTCGCCGGCTCCATTTGTGCGCATATCCAAAACTGAAGGCAATGAATCGCTGGCGAAAGATAGTTATGACTGGTTGTAAGAAGTGTTTTAGCTTATTTAATGCTTATTTAAATGAAGTTATAGTTATATATTCATTTTGTTGCACATCGATACTATAATTTTAAAGCTTCTAGGGCGGCTTTTTTTCTCGTAATGCATGGCCCTAACAAGTCATGATGATGTTGTCGAATATAATCATTAGAGGATATGTTATTCTGCATTAGCGTCATTAAGTTAAGATATATTAAGCAGACGTAACATTTTAAATTAATACACAGTTACTTGAAGAGACTAATTTTTTTTATACGATTTACAATCTTGGCAGTAAAAGATCGAAAGATAAATCGAACTTTTACTCGTTCTTTGTAAATTATTATGGGAACGAAAGTCACATAAAAAAATAGAAATAAAAATAGTTTTATTGACAAGTAAACTTCAACCGATCTGATTATAGTAATGCTCAGCGACCCTTATCCTTCTTACCTTTCATCCATGGAGCCTGTTTCACACAACCATTGTTTTATACGAATAATTAAAATTAATGAAACTGCAATTGCGACATTGTTAACAGGCTTGTGCGGTATGGGCAATAAGTTACAGTTCAATAAACTTGTGCTGGTGTAACTTATTGCCGTAGTCAAAAATAAAAATTATATACGGGAAGATTGGTCATAAAATTATTTCCATGCTACAATTACATAACATGAAATTCTAATGCGATATTGCGCAGTGAGATAAATGTAGATGACTGAATGCAAAACAGACTCTCATTATTTAATAGAATATTTACGCTGTACTAGGCTACAAACTAATTTATATTACAATTTGCGTAGATTGCAGACTTTCGGGTATGGTTTTTTTCTTCTTAAGGTTCATTCAACAAAAGCTCAAACTTATTGTTTCGACAGTCGCGATAATTCTTCGTAAACTAATAACATTAAATATTGTTCAGGCGTTAACTAAGCTTCTTTCATATTTGAACCGAACAGAATATCCTGTTCAGAATGTGCCAAAAGGTGTAACTTATTTAATTAGTATATTATTATTGATTTAATGACCGATAATTAATCAGTAAAATAGGCCAATGCTTGTTCGAGGGGTCCAAAGTCATGACTGCCTCATCACGTGCACAGAGATGGACCGAAATATGAAAGCCTTCAGAACAATGAGAATAAACTCATGGTAAATTTGGTCCTCCATATGGCGTGACCGAGAAACAGATCTTCTTGTTAATTTTTCTGATACCGCACCTTACGTTACCCGTTATGAATGGATGAAAAATTTGCATTTGTGCTCAATAAAAGAAGCGATAAGACAACGGCCGGCGAATGGCAGGGTTGTTGTACAATGACAGTCGAAGTAAGAGACAACGTTGCCATTCTTAAATCAGAATTAAATAAACTCTAAGCCTAAAAGAGTGAATATTTTAATCTTCTATATTTTCAAAATGTTTTACGAATCAAACAAAAATTACTGCAGTGTTAAATTTGAGATTGTTAAGCGTAACATAACCATAGATGTTAATCTCTAGGTTATTTTTGTAAGAGTAAATTCATGTTCTAAGTGTACTTTACTTATTGAAATCAAATTCCAGTTACTTACTAGCATGGAGTTAGTGATGGAGAGTCCTGGGAGGTGCAAGGTATATTGAGGATCAAATACAGCTTGTCAATAACGTCCTAGCCTGGAGATGGTGATGTAGAGTCCGGGAGAGGAGCTGGTTTCTAGGTTCATTACAAATAGTCAATTACGTTCTAGCATATAGAGATGGTGATAGAGTATCATGAGTGAAGAGCTGGATATTGAGGTTCGAATACAGCTTATCAATAACGTTCTAGCATGGAGATGGTGAAGAAGAGTCCTGGGATTCTTCACCATCCTAGATGGTGAAGAAGAGTCCATGGGGAAGAGGCTGGGTATTGAAGATCAATGTCCTGAGAAGCTGCGCGTCGCATGCTGGGCAGGCTGGTGGCGTGGTGGCAGCAGTGACGCAAGGCCAGCAGCCAAGCCCGGAGTTGTTGACCCGGAGCAGCAGAGAGCGTCTTCGCCTGCTCCTGTTCTGTGGTATAGACGCGCTCACATTCTGCTCACCGCAGATTGATTGCTTTGAGAAGCCTTCGAGTGTTTTATATTGTTTAACGCTCGCCATGCTTTTATTAATAGTTCATAACCCAAGCGCTTTTTCTTTTATGGTACATTATAGTTATATTATTATTCAGTATGTGATTTAAAAATTTAAAAATAACTTTTTGAACCACACGCGTTGAGAATATTGTAGCTATAAGAAAAGGTTTAGACTTAAAAACTACATGGTTGTATTTGTAATCAAACCACTCAATTCAGTTCAATAAATTTAACTCACTTTTCACCGATTTTGAAGTCTGTTAAAAAAATTACATTTAACAACTTCCATCATGCAGCAGAGTGTAATGGAACACTCATCAAGACCATTATCATTAAGCTCTCAATAATTAATAAGATTTCTGAAATGAGTTCCATAAGCGGCCTGTTAGCAGCCTCTGCCATCTCATATAAATTAAATCATTGGCTCAAATTTATTTTGACCTGACCGCAATAGTACCCGGTG